TTAGGCCATCGCTGGTGTTGGCTACGGGGATCAGATTCTGAGCCCTGTGGCAGTTCCTTTTCTGCAACGTCATGGACCAGGATGGACATTTCAACAAGATAAAACTCGTCCTCAAACGGCTAGGGTTGCAATGGATTTTCTCCACCAGAACAATGTCATGTTACTGCCCTGGCCTGCAAATTCACTGGATCTCTTCCCAATAGAGCACGTGTGGGATGAAATGCAGCACCGTCTTCCACATCCTCCAGATAACGTTCGTGACTTGGCACGAGATTTGGAGAGGATATGGCAGGCCATTCTCCAGGCCTTCCATGCTCATTTGGTAGCCTCCATGCGTCGTCGATGCACTGCTGTGCTTCACGCACACGGTGGTCATACCCGTTATCGACTTTGTGACTTTGTCATGTGACCCCTTCTCGATTTGGAACTTTACATCATCGTTACGGATATTGTTCATGTTCTTTTGACATTTTGTTGTGGTCCGATACTTCAGCTTATAAAGTGTCTACATCATTTCGTCTTTGCTTAGTTGTATTCCAATTATGAATGAATTTTCTGTGTGCACAGTTTCTTTATGTGGCTAGTCTATATAAATTTTGAGTTCAGGGACTGTGAGATAACTAGTGTGTATGGTATGAGCACTGTTTGAGCACTGTTGCAGATATATCATGACAAAGGTTGGTTGGTTTGTTGTTTAACACCGCACTCCAGCTATCGAGTCTGGAGCAGACAATCCAGTGATCAACATCATCAGCATCATTCTATGCAATTGGGATACAATGACGTGTCAACCAAGCCAGCGAGCCTGACCACCCGATCCCATTAATTGCCTCTTAAGACAAGCACGGGTTACTGATGACCAGTTTGAACCCAGATCTTCACAGGTTCATGACAAAAGGACACCGAATAAACACAGTACACTGGACATGGGAAATTATGTGACTGATAACTGCTTCATTCCTTAAATATTTACTCACATCATGAGTCCAACTAAAATACGAAAAGATTTGGCAAGTCTCTATTGCCTCAAGTTGAGGATGAAATTAGGAAATGTTCATGATCCTTTTGTATTTGAATATTTGGGGGGGTTTATATCTCATTTTTCATAACATCAAGTTATCCCTTTGAATATATGACAGTAAATTTTTGTATTGATAGTTATCAATAGGTGTTCGGTATATTTTAAGCTATATCGTTTAAATCTACTCGCCAATGTGTGGTCATTTTCAAACAAATTTCAATAAAACACTCTTACTCTTTCAGGCAAGTTCTAATTTGCTTATGTACATATGATGCCCTAAGTGTGTCACATATCACGTAAGCTCACATTAGTGATACATCCAAGTTACAAAAATATAAGACGCTGCAATTTTTAGCATTGTTCTCTGCAGTAGAGTTCATGAACATATCATGTCTGCATTCGGACAGTAAATACAGATTTGAAAAACAAACAAGTTGAAGTCTACATGCATTGTGCTGAGTGTCATTAAATGAGTTTTTTTTCAGTTCCTTTTTGTTTACATATATAAACAACTGTAACAGAATTAGCTTGTTATTTTATAAATGTCTGTTCATCTTGAAGTCTGGGTAACTGAACCTGAGCATTAGCTTGCCTGCGCTGGTTGTATGAAGAATTTGGTATCTGCTTCATTTTCAATAAACTTCAGAAATTTCTACACAATAAGCAGGTTTTATTTTATTGAAAACAGTTTAACTGCACTCTGCATAGGACTAGTTGCTAAAGTGAGTGAGTCCTCACTCATCAGACTAGAATAACAGTGTTCACGAATCATGTTTCAAAGTAACAGGACAGTGGGTCCTGTAGGTTTCAGGTGTCTGTCTGACCCATTGAAAATTCACAGGACCCAAAGAATAAAATTAAACACACATTTCAGATATAACATTTGTTATAATTGGCATTAAATTATTAACAAGTATAAGATTTACAAACAGCAAACAAGTGTCACATGTCACATATAACAACTTTGGTCAAAGTTGTTGTGAAATATAGTCCAGACACTGGGGCCGGCGGGTTGTAGACTTCTTATCAGACATTTTCGAATCTGCCAGATTTGTCAGAGGGTCAGACGCTATTCGTGAACACTGGAATAATTTTTGTGGTAATTTTCTATCAGTGCATGGGTCTATAAGGATTTTCTTAAATGTGTTATGGATCTTCATGACAAACATTGTCAATATTCAATGATCCTACATACAAAATGATGGAGGCAAATTGTATATAAAATACTCTAAGTACTACTGACTGACTTGAGTATGGTTTTACGCCATTTTTAGCAATATTCCAGCAATATCACGACAGGGGGACACCAGAAATGGGCTTCACACCCATATGGGGAATCAAACCCAGGCCTTTGGCATGACAAGCGAACGCTTCAACCACTAGGCTACCCCACCGCCCCCTCTAAGTAGTAAGGACTTATGATTCATGACAGACCATGTAAACATGTATGCAAAAAAAAATTAAAATCACTTTCAAGGGAGGTAACTGTTCTAATGTTCGAGTCCATCCATTTTTATGATGTCTGTCTTACTTAAATCATTTTAGCTTTATGTTTTAAGTTGCTGCCTCTACCATGTAAACAGAAAAAAGAAAATTCAAAGAAACTAATCTAAGCTGAAATGGATCTGAACAGAATTATCAGATGAACACTGTCTACAAGGAAGCTGTAAGAAGTCCGAGAGATATGAGGTTAAGTTTATTTTCCTCATTATCATTTAATGCAGACTGAATATCCTGTTTAGATTTTAATTTCACATTGTTAAAATTCAGACCACACCAGATGGGATAGCAGGTCACTCACTATCACTGCAGTAGACTTTTTAGGAAAATTGGTCCATGAATGTGCACGAACTTTGATTGTAACATCCTGTGCTCTATACACGCTCATAGCATTATTTTAACATATCAGGGTGCTGTTGCACTTAAATATATTATATACTAACACTATATGACTGTCCAGATATATGTTAAGTCACCAGAGTAAGGATCACCTTAGTGTGTGTTCCGAATAATTTGAAATAATCGAAAATTGATCGCAGTGACTATATAAACGACGAAGCAATTGATAATCTTTTCTCATAATCGAACACAAACAATTTTGGAACACTTGTTTGCATTAACAATACTTTTCACAAAGTTGTGTTTGTCTGTGTCGTTAAGTTTACATTTCATAAGCACTACGAGCTCGTTCCAGGTCAAGATTGAATTTATCTTAAATACTCCAGGAAGCATATGTTCATAACATAATTGTAATTGTCTAAAGACGTCAAATGCTTTTTGTGCAGTTTGCAAATAAAACCAAAAAATAAATGGGTTTGTTTTATATGCATTAACAACCATAACAGGAAGACTAACAGCTAGTCTCTGAAATGAACATATTTTACAGAACAAAAGGTTTTTAAATTAAAATAAAATACAATAAAAAGGAGCCCAGACTTTCTTCATTTTCAGAAACGGTGGTAATCTTTACTTACCACACATTCTAGACTTGCATCAGCACCATTGGGTATATTTGTTTCAGGGTCTGTATGGCAGACTAGAAAATTTGATATATGTCGCTAACCAATTATCGAAACGGTTTTAATGAACCAAACAGCAATTATGAGATTTTAACAAATTCCAAACACTAGTGCTAAGATCACTTTGTGCAACAGACCCCAGGGCCATGCAAGTGCTATCCCAGGGCCATGCAAGTGCTATCCCAGGACCATGCAAGTGCTATCCAAGCATCATGTTCTCAAAGTTTGTTCAATATCTTTCAAACTACATTTCAAATTTATTTTTTTCTTGAAAAAGAATACTCAGCAAGACAAGTTTATCAACTATGATTGAGTGAGTGAGTATGGTCGCTTTTAGCAATATCCCACCAATATCACAGTGGGGAACACCACAAATAGGCTTCACACATTGTACCTATGTGGGGAATCAAACCCAAGGGGTCTTCAGCGTTTCAAATACAGACCCTTTAATCATTAGGCTACCCACCACCCCTTTATCAAACAGGATAGTTTTCAGGACATATATTCAATTGCTGCATGACAGTTGAGAGCTATTTTTGAACTTGAAGACCTGGAAATACTACTAAAAATCTTAAACATAGTATGATGTAGTGGGAAATTACTCTTGAGTTTTAATGTTAGATTGATGCTGTTCAGCTATTACAGAGCAATACATTCCAGAGGTTAACCAGGGTTAACTTGAACTGGGCATAATATTATTTACAAAATATTCTGCTCGACATGAATTTGTTTTATTATATCTTTTCTTTTACATAAAATGAAAAACCTACACACCATATTTCTCCTCGATTCTTCATGGATTGTAAAAGACATGCTTTTTTTCCAAATTTAATGGACAGAAACTCTCTGATGTATCACCATTGAATACCTAATAAATCTGCGAATAAAACTTAACGGCTGTTTGCAGTCCGTAAAATATCTAGGAGATTATTGATGTCTACACCGTTGAACAATAGATAAAATACAAAGTGAAGGAGCACCACCGGGTTATTGGTCAAGTTGCCTAACGACCACAATTATTTCCTTCATACAAGGAAAACACAATGAATTTGAACTGTACTTGAGTAGCAGATTTCAGAATATTAATCGATAAGAATGAAATAATTACAAAACTCGGCTCTCTTAGGTCACCGATACCAGGTAGTTTAAATTTCTATTTACAAACACTGTTATTTGTGTGCAAATGTGTTTCAACCTTAGATACTGGTTTTATTGTGACGGCAACATTTCCGTCCGGTTGCCTTGTCGCTTCTCCATAAACACGGCCAATTTCGTCCTCCATGATGGTTTGAGGTCAGAGAATTCGCAAACAGAGATTGTACACGAAAATTTGGACTCAAAACCACCCAATAATACCAGTTTTGATCTGCACCACATCTTCCCAACCCCATATCTTCTCGCGACCCTTCCCGAAATACTTTTCGCCGACAAAAGTTACAATGAACACTGGGAAAACTTACCCAAAAATCCTCACAGGACCGCCATGCACTGCTTCTCTCGGGCTGGCTAATTATGCATAATTTATGCAGGAGCTAAGCCCGTCGATAAATCCTAGTCTTGTGGCAATACTGACGTACTGTATGTGACACAAACAATTCAATATGGTTATAAATAATCTTTTTAAGAATCTACATAGAAATACACCTCAAACAGAGACCCTGAGGAACGTGATGGTATATTTCATCCAGAATCAGGGCACATATTTCACAACGTGCTAAGGAAAGATAACTCTGTAAATCATTTTCGCGCATGCATTTTGATTTTGATGAGTCGGGCTCTTCGAAAACAAACAAAAAGAACTAGATAGATGAAAATTGTTTCAAACCAATTTTATCTATATGCACGTTCCGTACATCCAGCTTACGAATTCTTTAGCAAATCCACATCTTTTTATAGGTCTATGCTACTATTGATCGGTAAATTGTCTCTAACGCCCTATTTTCATAGTTTTATATGCTCACTTTTTCTGTTGTATTTAGGTACGCTGTGACCAGACTGAATGCCTTATTAACAGTATTCAAAAGTCTTTTAATGGATAATCATTATGGTTTAAGTCTAGAACCTCGGAACAGATGGAGTATAAGCTTTCTGTTTTAATAGATGTGACGAAGAACCCATACGTGTGTGCTTAAACAATGACCAGTTCCATTATTTCAATGAAATAAACAACTCTTATATACTTCTGGTTGATATACGTCATTGGCGAAACTGTCACCAAAGAGGTGTGTCACTGTTTGTGAATTATATAAGTATGGGGACAATTTAACGTAGGTTGTGGCCTCATTAGTCATTACAAACGGGGGTGTGGCAAGTGCGTGGCGGAAATGACCGACAATTACCGAAGGATTGGAAGTAGGCTTTCCTTCATGCTTAAATGGCCTATAATTCTCATACAACGTGTAAGTAATCTTTCTTATGAAAAATCAAATTGATATTTATATATGTATGGTAAAGTTATCATCCATATATTAAGAGTATTATTAAATCTGACTGACTTTTGAGGGCATTCCCATGATGCACTTGCGCACTTAGCATTGTGGGATTTACTCTACAGCGAGAAAATTTTCGCTTCATGTCGATGACACAAACCACAGCAAGATAGTGTGTAAGTATGGAAATATACTCCTTATCATATTTCGGGGGCTTTGTGTTTGAAATGGAGTCTCTAAAGAACTACAAATGAAACCAAAACGTAATTTTTGTTTCACCATTGCGCCATGCGGGCTACCCAAAACTCATGTCGATTTTTGATGAAATCATGTCACAACTGGCCATGTCTTTGTCGTTTTTTCCCGTCTTTTCGTTTCACTTTTGGAACCGAGTTCTTCCTATTATTCATTTATAGTATCTATTAAAGTGTTCCAAGATAACGTACGAGTCTACCCCTCGCCTAGTGATTAATGTTGTGTGAAATTGTTTTGCGTTGTTAGCAGTGATAGGTTCGAATGCAGGTCAACTAGGCAGAAACGGAATACCAGTTCTTCTCGTTTCTAATTTTCACTATATATAACTTTATTCTTTGTGGATGAAAAAGGAATGTGAGAAGAATATGAGAAATGAGAAAACATATAGAGTTTTTGTTAGGATTTGTGTTAAAACCTCACTTGAATGTTGAAAATAATCAATGGTCGGTCAATCAGAGGCTACGCCTTTGGGCCTATTTAGAATCTCATACACCAACCCTTGAATATGGAGTCAGGAGTATGCGGAAAGAAATACTGAGTATGCTTTTCGGGCATATTCTCAACTTGAATATTTTGAACTTAGATCGAATTGTTGGCTTGGTATATGACCAGAGATCTTCGATTCTTGAGATTAAACTGAAGATTCTCAACCAAGAATGGTGTAGATATCTTGCTATGATATTCCCTGGATTCTATTAATTTAAGAACGATTTGCAGTATAGTTTCAGTTCCTTCCACCATATTCACTAAAATTGGAGTTAGATGTAGCAAACTGTATTCAGTTAATACTAGTTAAATCAAATTTGGTGCTTAATTTGAAGCACTGTATTCTCACACAAACAAACCCTGGTTAAAGATCATGCCTTAGAGCACTCCAAAAAAATTACTGGCGGACCCTTTCAAACTACAAAAAAAATCAGAAATTTGTTAAACCCCAATTATTGCCTGGTGAAATATCTCAATTATGTAATTGGTTAGTATTAATTTCAGCTCTTCTTGAGTTGATCAGTTAACTGTAAGTCTTTAGTTGGGGTATGTGCCACTGCTAATAACATGTTTCTTTTGTTGGCAGAACTAAAAGAAGAAAACCTTTTTTTCATCATTTTTACTTTGTACGTGCTCTTGGTGTGCTGGTTTGAAATCTAGCAGCATACTGGACGCAAAGACAGGGAAGGGTGGTGCTTCTCCACACTTAGGAGGACGGTAAGTATACACTGAACAGTGTCTCATAGATTAAAATCATGTTTTACTCCATTATGATACCATTGTGTATGAAGATCCATAAGATGCAGGGAGATGGTGGGGTAGCCTAATGGTTAAAGTGTCCGCTCATGCTGAAGACCAGGGTTTGATTTCCTAAGTGTGTACAATGTGTGAAGCCCATTTCTGGTGTCACCAGCCGTGATATTGCTGGAATAATGCTAAAAGTGGTGTTTAAATCATACCCCCTCACTCCCATAAGATGTTGCATTAGGTGAACCCTGTTTGACCCCTTGTTCATCAGATTTTGAGTGCAGAATGCATTGGCTCTTAAACCATTCAGATATCAATGTCCTGAAACAGTTCAATCTCATTTCTCTACCACAGTGATTATGAATTTATCACAAGGAAATTAGCAAATAGCAATCACTATTTCAACCTTGCAAGTCTGTGTAGATCCAGGTTAGAATTGGTACAGAAACTGCATCCTCAACCGAATGCTACACTTAATGGTGAGATTAAGAAGCCTCAGTGCTGGTATAAAGTTCAGCTTGAAGTTGGGGGGCGGTGGTTTAAGCATTTGCTTGTCACGCCAAATACCCAGGTTTGATTCACCACATGGGTACAATGTGTGAAGCCCATTTCTGGTGCGCCCGTCGTGATATTGGTGGAATATTGCTAAAAGCTGGGTAAAACCAAATTCACTCACCTGAAAGGGCATCTAATAATGGTGTCTTGAATTTTTACTTAGAGATATCAATTTGGAGTAAATGATAATGATTTTTAAGAGATTCACAGATATCATAGAGCAACACTATTCAAGATTCACTGCATTAAAGTGATGACTGGGGCAAATGGAGACATTGTTAAACATCTGAGGCAGGATGCTCTTCAGTTTTGGTGTGAACTTGTGGATGGAAAATGACATTGAGTATTTGTTGTTTAGACTATGAGTCAATGTTTGCCAAGAAATGTTCCCAAGAGAATTGTACTTATCAGGCACCAAGGACTCGTTTGAATTTGCTTGACAAGTTCATTATCGCTAAGATACAAGGAATTTATTACCTGTCTTTGTGGTTCATTGATGGTTGTGTCCATGCTTCCGTAACCAATCTTGAAAGTTAAGCCTTACATATGATGTGCATGAACTCATTTGCTTTGATATGTGAAACTTTTGGTCACATGATTGTGTACACAATATTGTTGAAGGGTCAATTTTACTGCAAGAGCTAAGATTTGACATAAATACTTGTTGAAAGAACACATTTTTAACTTGTTTGATGTTACATATGTTGGTATTCACAAAACTTGGCATCTGGTAAACATGATACAGTCTGAAAGTGATTTTTATGACTTTCTAGATTTGGACATAAAGTAACTTTATTTATTGACAAAACCATTGATATGAGGTGTGTAATATTTTATTAGCCCTTAGCAATATATTGCCAACCTTCATCAATTACCTTGTTTCCTTTTACCCATGATTTGGTTTTGTATTAAAATTGACCAGAACAATATTGTTAGCAGTCTGCTGTTTGTCCCATTGTGATATGTCATTACATGATTATGGAAGACATGACTTGCTCAGTTGAATAAGACTGTGGAGTTGTGTCCCTTAGCTGGCAGGGTATGTTGAATTCAGAGTCATGATCCCAGAAACACCAGCATTAGTAGCCTTGTTTAGTCAGCACCATAGTCCTCAAGGGTTTCAGTAAAGTTGCTGCATCACTTGGGCTATGGCTGCATCAATTAAGGAAATTACTGTATCACATAAGCTGTTCAATGTAAGCTGACATGGCCAAACTGATTGGAAGCAGTGTGGTACTCTTGAGTTCTACCCCGTGAAGCATTCGTAACTACTCGCCTGTTTCCGTAACCTACAAGAAGACTCGTACCCCTATCGTAGAATCGTGGCAAACCATTCAAATTGCGCGCAGTAAAACACATTGTGTAGGTATTTTCGCATGCAAGGCAGTAATATCCCATTTTAACACCGCAGGCCGAATAATCGGCCACAACGTCATGAGACACCAGACGCCAATTCATCGGCGAGGCAGTAGTCACGTCAAAATGAGATATAGTTTTATTAACCTACCTGACTTATGATTCATATTTTAAATCTATCACTTTTCACAATGTCTGAAAACATTTATTACATTTCAATTGATCATATATTATCAGCAGAATTAAAATTATAAACTATTTTTCGCAATGTTATTGAAAACGATTCTCGGACACATGCCATGGCACTGGCTCCACAATAAAATTGTCAAAGAGCAAAGTAACGATGTTTCGAGGAAGTCATTAAATAAATTGAACAAAACTAATGAATAAAATCAACAACAGCATTCATAAAAGTTGCCGAATGTACATATTAATTACTATTTCCATCAGTTTGTGCAATCGTGTAATGCAAGTAAGTCACATCTCAGGTTTCACCGCTTCAATCTTCACGCTCTGACACGATGTTATATGCATAAAGCATTTTTATCACAGGTCATAACCTAGCACGATATGTCCAATAAGTTCCATAATTTACGTATAGGTAGCAAAGGTTTTCCGTTTACGATCACGGTATCCATTTATGTAATATGATTGGCTGCCTTGGGTCATGTGCCTGATTTTGACCTGTCACGATTCTTATAGCAGACTGGCAAAAAAGCGTCATTAGAAACCAATTCTATCAAAAAACATCGCTTCTTACAACTGGGAAAATACTTAATGTACAGTGATATAGTTGATGTTCAGAGCTTTCGAACGATACCCGCCATCAAACGAATCGCCTCTTATGTTATTCATACGAAGCTTCGCAAACGGAGGTATTTTCTGCTGTTGTCATGTTACCGAGCGGAAAACTACTGATATCAGGAAATAGGCGACCATACATATTATTTTAAAAACTATTACGTTTGGTTATGCGACCACGAAGCCATAAGGGTGGTTACAGAGTTATCTTTCCTTGGTAATAGTACTAGACTATTTTCACCTCAATGCCCGTTTGAGCTCTGACAGGAACCAGTCGTAAATATGGCCATGAGAGGGGTACGAGACGCCACCCGGAATGACACGATTAGTTACGAATGCCCCGTGAGGGTCCGGGTTAGAATATTGATCTTAAGTAACCCATGCTTGTCGTAAGAGGTGACTGACGGAATCAGGCGGTCAGGGTCACTGACTTTGTTGACACATGTCATCAGTTTCCAATTGCGAAGGTCGATGCTCATACTGTTTATCACTGGATTGTCTGGTCCAGACACGATTATCTACAGACCACCGCCATATAGTTTGAATATTGTTGAGTGCGATGTAAAACTAAACTCACTCACTCTTGAGTTCTTTGTACGATTATGAGGCAACTTTCACCCAGGGTCCTTTTCCGTAGTCTGTTTGTGTCTTTCTCTTGAATACTTTCTGCTGTATACTCCACAATCTATATTTATCATTGTATGTCTTGTCAGGCTTAATACAGCATCCCTGTAAACCTAATCAAGTTACTGATTAAGTATAGCAGTTGTCAAGACTGACTGAAATTACAAATGAAAGGTGATCTGGAATGTATTCTCCAAATTTCTCATGACAATAGAAATAAATTTATCCCAAGAAACATATGTAAAGATGTTCAATTTCTAGATATGCAATTTAAACTGAAATGTGTATTGTTCGTATCATGACATTATAGACACCCCTTATAAACCTGATTTCAACTCGTCCTCAGGAGATCTTTAACATTAGACGTACGGACTTGCTCTAGCAGACTGTGGACAATTTGCATTCCTCCTGTTCTGAAAATTCTTAAGTGATATGTTCATTAGTCAGTTATCAACTGAAATTGTGCAAATTTGTTTGATTTGACCATGTTCTAAAACCTAAAATTTTGTTTTCAGAAATTGTTGAAAGTTCAAGAAGTCGATTTTTACCTAGGAGAGCATAGAGATTAAATGAGAGTTGTGTATGTGGAAGTATACTTGTATTATTCTTAAATGTGTACTTGATTTTTAGATCTATTCACTCGTTAACCGATAATACCATGCTGCGATGTTGCTGGAATATTGCTAAAAGCAGCATAAAACCATGCTATTAGAAAGATAATGCAGAAAAGACAATGTCCTAGAAGAAATGAAAACTCTCTGCATGCTGCTTTCTTCTAATTTTGCTTTCAGAAAATTTATGTAGTATTTCTGTTGTAGAGATTTGTTGCCTTATAGAAATTGTCTTGAATTGGTGCTGTGTTTGGCTGAAACAGCTGATGCAAAGAAACAAAAATGTCATTGTTCAGTCAAATAGGTTCTAAGGTGCAAATGTTTGATCAATCAATCTTGTACTGCAGACCTTAGGATGTCATTCAGCTGTTGTCACCAATATGAAAGGAATATGAGATCACTGAAATGTCTTTCAATGTGAAACAGTAAATACCCAAGAAAGTTGTCACATATCATCCCATTGAAACAAATTGCCATTGAACTTTTATCATTTCCATGCTTGTCCCTATTGTAAGATCCTGTGGTTGTTTGCAGGGACGAGAGACCACCCACTCTCTCAGGCCCAGGTGCGCACACACCTGTTGCTAAGAAAAGATGGATTCCTCCAAGCAGTGTGAAAAGAGAGGTCCCAGCCCAAGAGGACAAAAATGATGTTGTATTTCGTAGAGTCAGAGGGTAAGTGAATCCTGATTGATTTGTCACAGGTATATCTTTAACATGCTGTATAAGAAGTTCTGAGCAAAATCAGCGGTAATAGGGTTCACCTGTTGGGCTTGTGGGAGAAAAGGTCCCAAGCAGTCCCCATAGGCAACCAAATTGATGGTTCATTTGGATGATTTGGTTGATTGCGTGTAGACTTGATCAATGTGGATTCTCATGCTGTGACATCCATCTGGTTAGAGTTGTATCCACAGTTTCAATGTTTTTGATGAAGCTAAATCAATTCTTGTTTGTTAATTTGACTTTGTATTTCTCATCTCCAGAATTCTCAACAAACTTGCACCTGAGAAGTTTGATAAGTTGAGTCTTGAGCTTCTGAATGTGGGCATTGACACACAAGTCATCCTTAAGGGAATAATTTTACTGGTAAGTTGTTTTAACTACATTCTGAATGTCATATGTATCTCTTTGCTGGTGAATAATTCTTACATGATAACTGTTGACTCGCAGCTAAGTTTTCACTCATTTGATGCATGGTGTAATGTTTTATGAAAAAAATTGCAATGATATGTGATATGACTTAAGAGTGAAATTGAGCTTGGTGTGTCGTGTACGAGTCATCTAACATGCTGGAATTCACTGAGCAGTGTCCAAACCTATGATAAAGGGTTTAAATTGCAGATTCCCTTGGTTGTTTAAAGGTTTTTATTCTCATTCAGTGTGGGTTTCACCAAGGTTGTAAACATGCAAGACCTGCATCAGGCACATTTTCCTCCCACATCAAACTGACTCAATGATTTTAATGAAATACTGTTCAAAGCAGTGTTAAAACAAACTCGCTTAAACATTGACTGTCAAGCATATTTAGCTAGGCCGTGTGTACATGTGAGGTTGTTTTTCTTGCTAAGCAGACCTTAATTTTTGCATATCTCAAAGAAACAGGTCTGTAAAACCAATTGTGTATTAACTACTTGCTTTTATTAATGTTAGGTATATATGTTTTACTTTTGTCTGGTTTGGTATTTTGAGTCTGTGATACTGGCTTCTCTGTGTTAATGAGTGTATTATTTGTCTGTTTTACATTGCTGTGAAATAATCGAGGTGACTTGCCTTCCCCTCAAACATGTAAATAAATATCAACTTTTGTATTTCTTTGTGGATTTGATTCTTAGTACATGTTCGTGACATATGGATAATATTTCCTGTGCTCATTAGACGGGGTAGAATTTCAACTGGGCTTCAAGCTTTTCAGGAGTGGTGGGGTAGCCTTGTGGTTAAAGCATTCGCTCATCACACCGAAGACACGGGTTCAATTCCCCACATGGGTACAATGTTTGAAGCCCATTTCTGGTGTCCCCCGCCATGATATTGCTTGAATATTGCTAAAAGCGGCGTAAAACCATACTCACTCAATCAGCTTGTGGCTAAACTATTTCATTAGTATGATTTGTGTGGTTATAATCTTTTGTACAAAATCATTGGAGATGAGTAAATTATTAAAAATAATTCTTTTGTTCCTAGTTGTCTTGATTTGCTCTTGGTACTAATCAAACTAAGGTTTGGGTGTATAGAATGCAACTAATAGGGATTACTGCAAAGCATCCATGGATTTGCCATGAAAATCTGGTAGTCATGGAAACAGGTATGCTGGCCAACTGCCAAGCCTTTCATGTGCCCATCCTGAGAGTAGATTAACACTCATGTTTAGTGGTAGCTGCTCCCATGAGCATCTTGCTGTGAGGCCTAGGGGTAAACTGACCGCAGATATTTGTGTTAGTACTGGGTGAACTTATTATAATCTATTGATGAAATTTGGTGCAGGGGTTTGTGAAGGTACTTAGATGCTTGTAGCAGTGTTTGAAGTTCAGCATTGAAGTCAAGAAGTCCTCTGGGGAAGATAAGGTCACTAGCTTTCAGGACTTGAGAAATGTAGAAGGTGTACATGTTTTATCCCAGAATTTTGGTAAGACTTCTGCCCGTATCCCCCCCCTCGATTTTAACGATAAGGAAATATTTCTATGAGTGGCATTTTCTTAAGTCGGATATGTCATTCAGCATGTTCAGATACAATTAAAGAAACCTGTTAAAACTCATCATTATCAGATGAGGGATATATATTCAGGTGATATGATTTGACTAGAATGAAATTTAAGGGGGGATACGGGCAGAAGTCTTTCCAAAATTTTGTTATTTGTCATAATCCACCTGTGGAAAATAACCAGCAGACTAGTTGGATGTCACCAATGGTTTCCACTGTTTTTACTTGGACCGATTTCATTAATCCTTTGATTCCAACTTCATAAGACATTGATCACCCAAGGGCATCCATATCCCACCTTAATGTTGTCTGGAATTGTTTTTCTTCTGGTTATGTTGATGAAGAAAAGGTTAATTTAAACAATCTGGTGTATTATCTAACTATAAATTTCATTTCAGATTTTTGAAAAAGCATTAGATGAACCGAAATACAGCTCCCTCTATGCCCAGCTCTGCCACAGACTATGTGAGGACGCACCCAACTTCGAACCTCCCCAGTCCAACATCACAGTAAGTTGAAATCATTCACCAAATATGTGTATAATAATGCTGTTAAGAGATTGTGTATCTCTCCCAACTGTTTACTTATCCAGTGACAGAAGATTAAACAAATTGACCCCCATAGGAATGATTAGCTATGCCATGGTATTTCAAAACTTACCCTTTTCTCATGTTTGTGCAGTGATCATTAACTCTTTCAACACCAGTCAACCAGAGGCATTTACTGCCATGACACCGAGTTCCCAGAGACCCTGAGGTCATAGATGAAGCCTATGTTTATGAAGGAAATTATAAGCTTGCAAAACGTTATTGCTACTACATCCCATACACTATTTAAAAGATCTAATCCTACTGTTGATAAATATGAAGTTTATTTTTATATTATTCAAATAATACATCTACAACTTAAATAAATGTATTTTTGAATGAAAATGCAAGCTTACATTTATAACGTCCAGATAAACCACGAAAGAAGCAAAAACTATGGCGATTTTTTTCCATTTGTGACATGTGATAACATGCCCGTGCCTTTTTCTTTTATATTTTCATTTTTACGTCATCAGAAAATTATTATAAAAAGATTTCTTAAATAATATGTATGGTCGCCTATTTCCCGATATCTGTGGCTTTCCGCTCGGTAACATGACATAACGGAAAATATCTCCGTTTTGAAGCTTCATTATGAATAACATGCGGCTTAATCGTTTGATGTCGGGCATCGTTCGAAAAGCTCTGAACATCAACAATATCACTGTACCCTTGCCAAGAGTATTTTCACAGTTGTAAGAAGCGATTTTATTGGATAAAGATTGGTTTCTAATGACGCTTTTTCGCCACAGTCTGCTAAAAGGGAAGTGATTGGTCAAAATCAGACACGTGACCTAAGGCAGCCAATCATATTACGGACAATGGATACCGCCCTCGTAGGCGGGTAAAAAACTTTTAGATTTAGGACGAAAGTTTTGGGTAAAATAATGCTATTCTGAACATATAAAAAGAAATCGCTACCATGTCGTGAATTATAGGTAAACTTATTGGACGTGATCGCAGTGGTTAAGAAATTATGACCTGTGACAAACATGCTTCATGTAAGATATATTTTGGAACATACGGCCTGATGCCTCTACACTGGCGTGAAGATTGAGGATCGCAGATTATTACATCATGGAGGACCACTACAAACTGCGCAAGCAGGGTCCGAGAGCGAGATGTCACTTGTCAGTGACTTGACATGGTCAATAACCTAGATCTCACATCACCATCTAAAAGTAGCAATACAGCTCAGGCGTATTTTGATCGCACAAAAAGATGGAAATAGTAATTTTATATGCGTAATCCAAACAGAGCCATAGAAGTAATAGATCAAGCAAATGTCGAACCAGGTTTCTCCTCAGTTTTCCTAGATTCCCAAGAAAAACTCATGACAACGATTCATCACAAATGTCGCAAACCAGATTATGGTACCAGAAGACCGTTGGCTCAAGATACAACAGACCATTCCACCAGCTCTACTCTCTCCGTTACCACTGCGACAATGGCAGAGCCTACTAGGTCTTCTCACATCAGCCCAAGACATGACTGTCACCCAGGCAGATTACAGTTACGTCCCCTACAGTAAGGTCCTCATCAGCGCGCATCTCAGCGATGTACAACCATTCAGTCTACCAAAACATCTCAGACCATCTACTATGGTGGACCAAGAAATGAATGTCTGCGAAGGGATTTGTTTAGCAGAGCAGGAATGCAAAACCCATCTGTATGTGAGCCCAGCGTCACTCCAAGGTTGGGAGCTCATCTCACCAACCACACGAGATATCAGGGTTATGGAATCAAAGCAAGAATGCAAACTCCATATAAACAGTCTAGAAATAAGCTGTAATCAGCAGCCATTCTACATTGGAGCACATTTCTACACAAATGCGCCTAATGATCCATACAGACAATTAGACAGTGGCGTTCTACATAAACAAGCAAGGCTCAAGCAGATGGAGTGAACCTTTGAGACTAAGCTTTCAGCTGTTCGAGTTTAATACAAGATCTAAATCTACATGTCCAGGCAGTGCACATTCCCGAGCCAGAAATATACTAGCAGGCGGCTCTCTCTAGGCGTCATTCACCATCACCCGACAAGGTGGATGATCAACGAGGAAATTTTTGCACAGATAATCAGAAGCAATTAGGAAGCCAGCTAATAGACCTACTGCCACGCGATTCAACAATCAGCTTCTACCGACATTACCGGTGTCACCAGTCCCAGATCCCCAAGCTTGGGCAACCCGGACTCTAAGTCTATCATGGGAAGGCCTCAATGCGCATTTATCCGCAGCTCTGGATTACGAGAGGATACAGTTTGATGACAATCATAACACAGCGCACCTCGGATTAAGATGGGATTTCATTGCAAAGAATCAACTGCCAGGTCAACCAGACAGATTATTCCACATCCCAAGCGCTATCCTCTATTCTCGGATCTACAATGATACACAAGACCTATCACTGTGTCCGGTAAGAGCTCAAAGTTTATTCTGACGATCCAAAACAAGGAGAAGATTTCTCAAGCGTTTATTCATCCTATTATAAGCCCTCTGAATCAAACAGAAGTAATCACGGACCACAATATCTATTTGGAAATCAGCCATAGACAAAGGTTAACAAATTGAATGTTGTTGATTTTATTCATTAGTTTATTCAATTTATTTAATGAATTCCTCGAAAACATCGTTACTTTGCTCTTTGACAATGTTATTGTGACCCGCTGTCGGCATGTGTCCGAGAATCGTTGTTTTCAATAACATTGCGAAAAATAGTTTATAATTTTAATTCTGCTGATAATATATGATAAATTGAAATTTAATAAGTGTTTTCAGACATTGTGAATTGTGATAGATTTAATATATGAATCATAAGTCAGGTAGGTTCCTAAAATTATGTCTCATTTTGAAGTGACTACTGCCTGGCCGCTTAATCGGCCTCCAGTGTCTGGGGACTCATAACGTTGTGGCCGCTAAAGCGGCCTGCGGTGTTGAAAGGGTTAATGTGCTTCCAGTATTGGCTTAATTTTGTACAAGTTGTGGGACATTGTTCACATGTTGCTGTTCTTGATGTTTCTCATTTTCTTTTCAGACCTTCCGCCGGCTGCTTTTGAACAAGTGCCAAGATGAGTTCGAGAACAGGTCCCGTGCAACTGAAGGTAAAGTAATTTTTTAGTTATTGCCTTATTAGTAACAATATGAGGGATTTTAGGCTCTGAAGTAGCTCCTTTGTCATCATGATATCAATAGTGGGGTTTTGTCCCATCCAGAGTACTTTGTTCATAATTATAATTATAAAAGTTTATCTCTTGGTTTATAGTTTTGGGTTAAAGATGTTCTTATCATTTTCTGGTGCTCCCTGTAATACTATTGCCCGAATAATGCTGAAATTTGTATTATCCAAATGCATGTATTTTACTTTATAGTAAACTATACCAGTATGTTATGATGCTTCATCTGTGACTATGGAACCCACCTATTATATTGCTTTTGAAACCACAAACCAGAGACCTGACATAAAAACTAAACCTTACAAGTGTATTTTTCTCAACATCCTCATTGTGTTCTTTTAGTGTTCGACAAGAAGGATGCGCCACTTTCAACCGAAGAACATGAACAGTACCATCTGGCAAAGAAGAAAATGCTTGGAAACATCAAATTCATTGGTGGGTAATAGCTATCATGATGAAGATTCAGCAATAAATTTTAGTGAGCCAAATCACCAGAATTTTGTATTGTAAAAGTCTAAGACAAAAATTAAATACCTTAAAGGCATAATATAATCTATATAAAAATATGAAACTAGATCTGAAGTGCCAGGAATGCCATTGTTTCCAACATAATAAAGGCGCATCCTGGAGTGTGGACCCCTTATATCTGTACCTTTTTACAACTTGAGAAGTATTTCAATTCTCACTTTGGGTTTGTCTTCCAGGCGAGCTTGGGAAGCTTCAGATGCTGCACGAGGGGATTCTACACAAGTGCATCAAACAACTTCTGGAGAAGAAAAGAAACACACCTATACGGGACATGGCCGAGGATCTCGAGTGTCTCTGTCAGATAATGCGGACCGTCGGCCCTCGTCTGGACTCACCCAAGGCGAAGGTATGTTTGTTGGAGATTTCATCTGGGTTTTTTTCTGTCTAACAAAGAATGTAAAAGTCTATTAGATCAAAAAAGTTTAAGTCAATTTAATTTATGATTTTGTAGTTTGGTCTTTCCATCTTTCCTGTAGCAGACTTGTTTGGATGGGCAAATCAATTAAAATTACATCAGGTTTATTACTTATCATTGTTTTTGGCTGTGGTTGTGTGAATCCATAATCCAAACAGTAAGTGTTGCTTTCAAGGACAAACATTGCTTTGGGCAATTTCATAGTATGCATATTCTGGCTGCTGATGTCTAAGATTCCAGGTTGGAGATTTTATTTGTGTTTTGTATTGTTCCAGGCATGGATGGATCAGTACTTTGAACGAGTCAGGCTCTTCAGCCAGAATCTCGAGTTGCCGTCTAGGATTCGTTTCATGCTTCAAGATGTGATAGAACTACGCGAGAAGAAGGTATGAACTGGTTGATATGTCATTTTAACCCCAAGTATATAGTGGGAGATGGGTCATATCATTCGTTTTGTTTTTTCTAATGGTCTTGGCTCCATTATTTTAAATACAGGCCGTTCCCTGTAGTGTTCAGTAACAAATACCAAACAGATTGATTTGAGTGTATGCTGCAACATTGACATTGATATGTTAGTGTTAGTAGAGGCTATTTACAGACAGTTGCCATATAGCTGGAATAGTTTCCAAAAGCAGTAGTGAAGGATTGTTTGAATTTGTTCTTTAACATTGTCAGTTAGCTAAAAGAAACTTGATCTTTCAGAGATGGGTACCTCGGCGAGTGGCTTTGGACAACGGACCTAAAACAATCACTCAGATTCGACAGGAGGCAGTTGATGTAAGTATTCTCCTAAGAATGAATAAACAGTATGTTAACAAGAAATTCTGAGTAATAAGTTTCTTGACATTTATTACTTTAGAAGCTAAAGCTGCTATTTAGAATGTAGCCAGGCAACATTTGTAATGTTTTGGGGTTTTTTCATGAAGCAGTTTTACTGCAAAGATTATGAATAGTACTGCTCGTCACTGAATATGTTGGTCCAGAATCCATTATTCGCTTGCCATTGTTACAGAATATTGCTGAGGATGGACTTAAACAAAACGCAATGAAAACAGAATGGCCAATATTAATCTGACCATTTCACAATGCTCGTGTTTTCTTCAACAGGAACTTGGTGTATTTATTCCTCCACCATCAGCTCAGAACCGCGGCCAGGCATTGATGGGGGGTCGTGCAATGAACGGGACAATGGGAGGAGGAGGAGGAGGGGGGAGCTGGAAGCAAGGGGGCATGGGGGATCTCTTCAGTATGCCACCGCCAGGAACCATGGGAAATTGTAAGTTACTTCCCCATGAGGGTTCATATGAAGATCAGATTGGTCTGCAGCAGCAAGTGGTTGTTTTAAAGGTCACATAAACCCTAAGGGGTACAAATACATAAATCACTAACTGGCATCGTTATAAATGAAACCCCGTCATTAAAACTACTCATTTCGACCTTTAATTGACTTAAATCGACCTTTTTGACAACAGTGCACAATTCTCACCCGCAAACGAAATTTCAACCAATCAGAGCGGCGCGCCTCTGTGACGTCATATGAGGAATAGCTTTGAGGGCGATGCAGAATTCATCTACATTTTAGGGGGTAAATTATCGTGTTTACAGGTTTGTATAAACCTGAAATCGTGACAATTGTTGTGGAAAATGAAAGCTATATGTTCTCACAATCTACTGTTATTTATTTTTGTCTCCTGCTTTGCCTAGTTTCGAGGTGATCCCATTTCTGTGTTTTTTACCTCGATATTTAATCATGTCATGTAAAAGTCTGTTTGTATTCTCAAAACAGTGTCGGCCCATAAGTTTTCACATGCAATACAGCAATTAATACTCCCTCGTTGTAACCCGTGTTAGGTGGTATAAACCTACACATGTTATTTGTCATCATTCACTTGATGGTCACTTAATGAATTTATAACAGGTATAATTAGTGGTAACACACTTAGATTACCCGACAAAGGTTCCCATTTGGCATTTCTTGTGTCTGGAGTAAATATTCAACATTATAAACATCGATCAAAGGATTAACCGATAACACGCTGATTGATTAATTACTTTTATCTTACACAGCGGAATTGTCAAAAGGTAGTGTTTATGTATGTAGATTTACTAATCTATACTGAATACACTCTGTCGTGTTCGGTGTCTGCGTAAAAACAACGTCCTTCTTTCAAAGGATTAACCGGCAATACATTGATTGATTGCCCATTATTGGCTAACTAAATTACTGTTTTAAAGAAAGGCGGACATTATGCAATTAGTTGCCAGGTGTGCTATCTTGGGTGACCAATGAGACTATACACCAATACCTGAAAAAGATTTATCACTTTTAAACAGTATATTAAACTGTTAAAAGACACATCATTTGGAACAGTTTTGTGGATATTGATGGATACATTCCTCGAACAAGGTAATGGCCTGATATTGTTCCTATAACTTTAATCTGTTTTAATTTTAATATTTGCATTTTGTTTTTATTCATTTGTCGTAGCATTCAACAGAATCATTGTTTTCTCCGTGAAGTGTAATGAGACAGACAACATGCACTAGAGGTGTGTATGCGAATTATGATTCACATTGGCAAACTATAAAATGTCTAGATATTACAGTTCTGTTATAAATTCACTATAAGTATCAGCAGATCGTCTGCTTTTTATTTAGTTTCAAAATGCATACAAGTGTGATAATAAACTAATTAGGGATTATAAGACCAAATATAAAGACATACATTGACTAGTATCTACATACTGGTGAGTGGACATTAACCATGGAATGTAGCAAGAAATTTATCGCGCAGTATTGTGACTTCGACCCCACCTCGCTCGCCTGCGGAAGAAATCTTTATGTTATAAGTTGTGTCATGCAAAAATCCGTTTGGTTATGATTCCAATACATATATTTAACAACGAGTAGAAAGTAGTCTTGATTTTCTAACTTGATGAAAACAAACTATAATCTCATTATTCTAACAGATTTTTATTTTTAAAATGGTATTTCTGTGGGAACATCCGCCAGTCTGAGGATAAATGGTATTTAGGTTTGTTTTCACCGAAATACAAAATCAAAACTATTTTCTACTGGTAGTAAAATATGTATTTTATTGATGGCCAATAGGATTTTGCATGACATAGCGATATATATCATAACAATTTCTCTCGTGGCAGCGAGGTGGTGTCAATATAATACTATTTACAATATTATTGTTACTTCGACCACAACCCATGTCGTCGTTGATGTCGAGAAATTTAAAAGGCAATTTACATGCTCAGGGCGTAGGTGTTTTTTCTGCCACATCTGTGCTGGAAGCAGTTTCCAGGATACTATAAGAACCAATACATTAACTTTTGTTGTCAGCATTCTAGATGCCTTGTGTGCTTGTGGGTACTGAAAATCCCAATAGGATTGTCATTCTGTGCTTACGTTTCACTGTTTCTTGCTTGCAGTCAACTCTATTGGGACTGGCCCTGGTGTGATCCAAGTGGACAACTTTGCTTCCAGTTATCAGAATAGCATGGGACGAAACAGGAACAACCAACAGAATCAAGGTTAGTGATCATGCTTGCCAATTTTTTCCTGGACTGATATTGGGCCTAAAGTCACTATACAGCAATGTTGATGATGCATCTAATTTCACTAAAGGTTAAAATGATTTGCTGCCAGGATTTTAGCCGCCTCATTGTCCACAAAGAAATGTCATTGGTCCTTTGTCAGTTTCTCTGTCTCGGACTTGCGGACTCGATCATGCTATTAACCATTGGTTTGCTGCACACTTGAATCATTTTCTGCAGTAGAGCCTGAATAATGCAGACTGTTGCTAAAACAATGGGAAACCAAAACTAGTATGTTTACTTTCTTGCTCTTTTGCAGGATTTAATAACAACTTCATGAATCGCCGGCCAGACAGTGGAGGTAACAGTCCGCGTAACCAGCGTCACAATCAGCAGAACCAGCAGCAACAACAGCAACAGCAGCAGCAGCAGCAGCAGGGGAATCCAGGCAACAATCAACAGAGTCAATACTACAACAAACAGCAACAGCAGCAACAGGGACAGAATCAACAAGGTAGCGTGTACTGCATCTGTCTTATTGGGGTTCTGGCTCACACAAAGATACCAACCATTATGATTTGGTTTCATTGTCATAATTATTTTATAACCCCAAAATGATACCTAAATATTATTGGGGTTGTGATAATCATCAAATTCAATGTCCCAAGAAACCTCTTGTTGTATAGGGGACAGTGGGATAACCTCATGGTTAAAGCATTTGCTTGTCAAATGGGAAACCAAGGTTTGATTCCCCACATAGTGCAATGTATGAAGCCTATTTCTGGTGTCCCTTGTCATGATATTGCTGGAAGATTAAGAGCAGTGGATATCCAAACTAACTCACTCGCCCTTAGTGTTATGGAGTCAGAGACCTTGCACTTTCCATTGTCAAATAATTAATGAGATTACTTTGTAAATTTGTTCTCAAATGCTATACCGTAGTTTCAATTTGCCCATCATTGACGTTATATATGCGTTGCAGCTACTGGCAACCGAGACTTGCCACCAAGATTCCAGCGCATGTCGATCAACCACAGTCCCCCATCCACATCCCCAATCTCGGGAAGTAACAAGATGTCAAGGGAGGAGGTCAGCCTTCGCCCAGTCAAGAACTTCACAGTCCTCAAGCCTAACACTCCAGGCATGCTTCCCAAGTCGGCTCAAGGCCCATCATCCATGGGGGGCTTCTCCAGCCTCAACTCTGGGAGCAATAAGTCGGGATCGACGGCACTCAACCCCTTGCTTAGTAAACAGGTATGTGCAGTCAAGGGGTTTTTTTTGTTGGGCGTTTTTCTTTTGGGCGCCTTGGCCTCATCTTTTAGATTCAGACTGTTTGGTAATGTTTGCTGGAAGAGTAGATGGTCTAAGCCCTCGTACTTGTTACCCTGCCTAGCATTCTGTATTTGAGAATACATACAGAACTGTCCAGCTCAGTGTCTCCTTCTTGTGTCTGTTTGGTGCCCATGTTAAACTCGGTTTAGAGTTAGAGCTTTAGTGGACCTTGAAAACGATAGTTAAAACCATCAAAAGTCATAACAAAAGCCAGGAATACATTGTCTGACAATTGTTGACTTGTACATTGTGCAGACTTGATTGTGCAAGTGTTTCTATTTCAGCCTCTGATAACTATCAAACAGAACAGTGAAGATAAGAGTAAATCCAAGAAGAAGGAATGCATCTCTAAGGAAGAACTTCAGAAGACTGTGGTAGGTTCTCATTTCACTCAGCTTTGTATTCAATAAAGAAAGACTGATGCTGAACTTCAACACAAGGGTTTGCTTGTCTACAAGTTCTTTTTAAACACTTGCACTATTCTCTATTTTAAAAGTGATTAATGTGGATTCAGGCTTAGAATGGGCCTTAGCAACAGAAAGTGATGGTCAATAATTGATCAATATTTAGATACTGATTATCAATCAATGATGTATATATCGATAGTCAGCTCTACTGTTAAGGTAACTGTGTACATGAACTGGTTCGCATGGGAACACATGTCATAGGGAGCACATTTTCTTTGTTGGTCCCTGGGAACAATATTTGAGTTCAGTAGTACTTGGAGCTTGGATGTAAATCTTATAAATCTTATGTATTATGTGTGTTGTACTTATTGTTGGATGTATGATACTAAGCATTGGTTTGTGAAAGAGAAAAATCTTTTTCAGACGAGCCTTCTTTCTGATTATCTCGGAAACAACAACAAGGCAGATGTTGCTACACAAATCAAGGACATGTCTATTCCGAAGAAGTAAGTCAGCAGAAAATAGTATACAATATATTTGATGCCTCATAGTTGAGGGATTTTCTGGTTTAAATTAAAACTTGGAATTTAAGTAACAAAATCTACATGGACTGTCGGAACATTGTTGGGGTGGGTTTTTTAGGGTTTTTATGTGCTTCTTAAGGTAATTTAAATTACTATGGTTGAAAAGGTGCGTTCCACTCAATTTGATACAACAGAAACAATGGTCAATTTGTATATACCCAAAAACAAACTTTTATTATGTGGTATTTTGATATAATTTAAAAGAAAATTGATTTGTTTTGTTTTCAGGCTGATTAGAGATCTCTTATCCCAACTGCTGGTTGAATCCGTGGACAAGAGTGGTGAGTATTTTTCTTGTGAAATAGCCTTTCTGGAAGGAATCATTGACTGATGAAATATGTTAAAGTAAATTTGTCTCAGTAATTTCTGTTTAGAAAAAAAATGTGGAGTTAGATTGTAATCCTACTTTCATAGCAGTACTACCTCACAGTTTGTAAGGTGACCATAACATTTTAATAGCTTATTCAGTGAAGCTTTGGCTTACAGTTGACATTAGAAATGATTCAGTGATATTTGTCTTGAGGTTAGTTAAACATGTTTCCTTTACTTTCAGAAACTGAGCGGGACCGTGTTATGGAGCTGATATCTGAATTGAAGAAGGATGGATTTATCACAACAGAACAGTTCATGGATGTGAGTCATCTATATATTTTGCAGCAGTGTAAATGAAATAGCCTCTGCACTCACTGTACCGATTGTTTAGTGTGCCAAGCAGTCTCTCTGTGAAAGGACGAATTGGGAATCAGATCCCAAGTAAAACTGGTTTGAGGAAGCGAGGGCAGCCCTGACCAGTAATTTGGTCAGGCTCATTGACACGTCATTGTATCCCAATTGCTTAGATCGATGATCATGTTCTTTATCGCTGGATTATCTGGTCCAGACTATTATTTACAGATTATCCCAACTGCTTAGATTGATGGTCATGTTGTTGATCACTGGATTGTCCAGACTCAATTATTTACGGACCAATGCCATATAGCTGGAATATTGCAGAGTGTGGCATTAAACTACAAACAATAAACAAACACATTTCAGGTTGTCCTACCCATGTTTCAGGGTGTCAATAATGCAGTTTTTTTATTTTTTTCCAGGCTGTGCTGCAGATGTTCCTTCATGAGAGGCTGGAGCTGCAGGTCAGCGCCCTCTATGCCACGCAGGTCTTCTGCCACAACCACCAATTTCCCAAAGGTAAGCAATTTTAAAGCTCTCCAAAACTATAAGCAGTAATTGTGATTGATGAAGTCTCTGTGCAGAGTTGTCTTACCTCAGCCAGGACCTAGGTTTGTTTCCTTTACCAACCTGTTTCCAGGTTGATAAAGCTTTCAAGCTACCTACTCTACAATAAGGCGACTTAATGGATTTGATGTTCACATTGTTATTTGGTTGTTACAAGGACATCATGACACAAAGCTGATATCAATTAGAGGATTGTCTTTCCAAGACTTATTATTTACAGGTTCCATCATATAAGGAAGGATCACAATATATGGATAAACAGCTTCTTTTATTGCTGTCTCACAGCAATAAAAGAAGTTGTTCATCCATATATTGTTATCCTTCCTTACTGCCCCAACTTCTAAATGCCTCTCAAACAAGTTATCCCATCATATAGCTGGAATATTGTCGAGTGGAAGCAATGTACTACAAAGAATTTCGTTCCAAGGTATTGCTTAACAGACCCTACTTCTATTGGACCTGAAACTTTGTCTTGTAACCCATTATCTCTGCTGTTCAGGCATGCTGCTTCGTTTCTTCTGTGTACTACTATGACATGGAGATCTTGGACGAGGAGTCCTTCCTCCGCTGGAAAGAAGAAGTCAATGACAAATATCCAGGCAAGGGGAAAGCACTCTTCCAGGTAAGTGCCCACAACCTTTCTCATGTACTTTTTACATTGTTGCAGAGACTGCTTTAAGAAAGAAAAAGGGCTCAAAAAAATATTTTCAAAGACTTTTGAACATTGAGTTTTTCATTTTCCTGCCAGGGCACATTGGTTAAAATCAAAGATATATCTCAGTAAGCTCACTGACCACAGTTGGTGGGTTAGCCCAGTGATTCAAGTATTCGCTCATCACGCCGAAGACCCAGTTTTGATTCCCCACATGGGTCCATTGTGTGAAGCCCTTTTCTGGTGTCCCCTACCATGATATTGCTGGAATATTGCTAAAAGCAGCAAAAAATAAACTCACTTGTTGATCTCGGCTAGTATGTTGAATTAGTAGCCTCAATTATGTTGTTATTGTGACCTTTATTGTCTCATATTCTGTGCTCTTGTAGGTGAACCAGTGGCTGACATGGCTAGAACAAGCTGAAGAGGAGAGTGAGGAAGAAGAGGACGACCAGTAGGCCAGGAAGCTGTTGCCTGCCTACAACTGTTGAAGAGGAGGAGGAAGAAGAGAACACTTACTTGTGACTATATTGGTTTTAAGATGCAGAAACATGAAAATTTGTTTTTAAGAAACTTTATGAAGAGGAATGTTTAAGTTGAAAAAAAAAACAAGCTTGTGCCAGTTTGCCACTAGAATACTTGCTGCATCAGCTGGAGTGGATCAGTGTGTACCTCACATGTGTGTTGTGTCATCAGAAGATGTGTATTGTGTCATCAGAATATGTGTACCCCACCATCAGTTGTGTGTGCATGTGTGATGGGTACTCCAATGCTGTGATGTGCATGTTGATTGGCTGGTCCAAATTCACCATGGAAACAAGACCTTCCTGTGTCCATTCTTTGGATAGCCTTCCGGCTGACAGAACTGCATGTTAACTGCTTTTCAACTTCTTATACCCAAAGCCTAGAGGAAGGTTTGTTTTGTACTACCTGATATTTTATATTATAGACTTTATATAGACCTCATGTGTAAAAATTCACAAGAAGAAAGCTAGATCATATCCAATAGCACTCATCAATCAACTCATGAAGTTAATTTTCAGAAATGTTGACAATTGCAACAGTTGTCTACTTTCTTCCTGTGGATGTAAAAAACAAAAATAATTGTATGTAAATTTTAATTCCCGAACAAAAATTATGAATTACAAATTTTTAACCTGCTTACAACTGTATAGGCCAGACAAATTGATTAGACAAACAAAAAATTTCCATGCACAAAATCAAACATTCTTTGCAAAGTTTTAGCATTTTTACCTCCTTTGTATGATACTACTTGTAACTGAGGTGGAGGGTAGGGTTCATTAATAATGAGCGTGAACCCTGTGCTACCATGCCCAACAGATTAGTGTCGATGTACAACAAACTCGTGTACTCATACTAACACCCAAATTATGTAAAATACTCAAAATATTTAATAATCACGATTGTTAGCCCTCATTCAGTATAAGGGCAATCCCGATTTCCCCTGGAGTTTGTTGCACATGTCACCATTGATAAGTTCTCTTAGATTCTGCCAGTGTTTAGCTTGGCTAGAGTTAACTCCCCTGTTGGACAAGATCTGTGAGTGTCTGAAATATTGTGTTATTTATTTCATGTCAAATGTGTATACATTTTTTTATCAATATGAATGTTTATTGTAATTTCATGGGTATTAAGTCATCATGCCGTTTAAATTGTCAAATTGTACTTAAGGTGTTTCCACACAAATAGTTTATAAGCACTGTTTTTGCATAGAAATCTTGCTGTTAAATCCCTAATTATTATTGTTCCATACAAGCTGTTCCTCTAGTGAATCTTTTCAACATTTTTCCTCCTTCCCCATTTTTTTTTTCTCATTTTTTTTTTTTTTCGGTGAAGGAATGCTTCTTATACATCTAGTCATAGGGCATGTGACATTTCATGTTCTCATTTCAAGACCAGGTATAGGTCAATATAAAGGACAAGTGCATGGCTCTTTCCCACGAGTTCATATGAAGTCCTTTTTAGTTTGGCAAGAAACACTACGTTCAACCATTATCAGATAGATAAGCGTTGCAATTTACATGGAAATGGGTTTTTAACACAATTTTAATATGTACTACAAATGTCAAATTCAGATCAGACCACTTTAACTTCACACTTTTCTATAAGAAACATATAGTATGTTTTTATTTATAAGTGCAATATTTTTTCTTGGACACGTTTTCGACCTCTTTATCATTGTTTTCGATGCTTTTGTGTGAAAGGTTTCTAAATTCTCATCCCTAAAATCTCCGAGGTTCATAGGAATAGTACCACCATTGAACCCAGGAGACCTACTAATGTATTAAAACAGGGCCAGTGCTTTTTGGAGGTTATACTTAAGGAATTAAGGCCTTAATCTGTCTGGTGGACCACTGTATCTTGTTGAATAGCTGTTTGTGTACATGCCACATTTATGTCTGGTAATAAACTTAATATGAATAATAACCGACTTGTCTACTTCTTTCCTTTGATAGTTTTAGATTTATCAACAACATACAACAGTTTTCAGAAAAAAGGGAAACATGTTTTGATATGTTTGTTGTACAATGATGCACTCGGCAATGCTCCTGCTTTGATGGCTGTCATAAATAGTGGTGTCTGAATGAGACAATCCAGTGATTACCATAATGAGCATCAATATACGTGATTGGCATACCAGGATATGTATCAACCAAGTCAGGAGTCGGACCACCTAGTCCCACCTATTAAGTGGGGCTGGTGGTTAAAATCGTTCGCTCATCACACCAAAGATCACGATTCAAGATGCACTTAAATGGGTACAACATGCTAAGCCTGTTTCTGGTGTCCTCGGCTGGAATATTGCTTAAAAGCGGTAAAACTAAACTCACAACAACCATCAGTTGCCATGGTTACGGAGGACAAATTCTACTGTCCTAAGTCATTGAACCACATTCACTCTCATATATGAAGTTGTCTACTCTTTTAGAGTAGTCTGTCCAGTGAAAATGATCCGAGGATACAGAGGTCAGTAGTATGAATCAAAATCCTCAATATTTATCTAGGTTTGTTGGTAACACAATTTGTTACTTTTATCCCCCACAGAAAAGACAGATATAACAATTGGGTTGTTTTTCTTTCTGATATAGAACTCCAAAACCATTGAATATTTGGTATGGAAACTTCCCATACAGATCACTCTTTATGAACTGGTACCTTTTGAGTGGGAGATTCTCCATGTTCGAATCGCACCAGGATATGTCATCTGATGACTATTATGTATTTTGGTTTTTACTTATGAAGCTGAAACTAGCATGAAAACACAACTTGTTTTCTGAGTTTGAATCAAATTGTCTTCATTGTAATCTACACCCTGCAGAACATGCTATACACATGTGCAATACCTCTTCCCATAAAACCGCCTCCGTGGTGTAGTGGTTAGAGCGTCCGCCCGGAGAGCGGAAGGTCGCGAGTTCGATCCCCGACCGCGTCATACAAAAAGACGTTAAAATATGGTACTTGTTGGTCCCTGCCTGGCGCTCGGCATTAATTGGTACAACAAGGACTGGTCGGCTCGGAGTCAATATAATGTATCTGAGTGGGGTATTCATGCTTCACTGCGGCATGGTATCTCAGTGGGCTAGCACTATAAAACCAGCTTAAGTCTGGGCTAGTACAAGCAGCCGCACATACACATACACACGCATGCACGTCATCATATGAGCGAAATATTCTCAAGCACGACGATAAACCCAATTTCACTTCACCTCACCTCTTCCCATAAAGTGTTGACAGCGGATTGTGGTCTCAGGGCACACTTCCAATGCCCATGAGATGTCAACGTAATTACGATTTATGTATTGCATATTCTAAAACTTTGACCCCAACAAAAGAAAAGCCGCTTGAAAAGTAAGATTCTTGACAACTCTATTTGTGGATGCCAAGGCATTCAGAAAACACAATTATCCACAACATTTTAGGTTAAGCCCATTTCTGGTGTTATATGATATTCCTATTCAGAACTGCTCATGTCAGAAAACACAATTATCCACAACATTTTAGGTCGCATATATATTTCCTATTCAGAACTGCTCATGTCTATTTTTGCAATAGAATTAAGCTGAGAAAAGCTACTCAATTGTTTGATCACCTGAGATGCCTCTGTGCTGATGGATGGATTCTGGACCAGTGAATCCAGTGATTGACATAAGAATCAATCTACGCAGTTGGGCTACGATGACCTGCATAACCCAAGACATGACCACCTTATCTCATAACAAAAAGTATGCCTTGTGGAAGACAAATTCAAATGTTATGTTCACAGTTCTGCAGATTTATATTTTATGGGTAAAACATCCCAGTTTTAATGGAAGTCCTGCTCAACTGTGACATGGTGTTTGTCAGGCCAGACCAATTTTATTTTTTGTTTTACAGATTTTTGTCCTCAGAAAACCTAAAGGCAGGAGGGAAAAAATAAAATAAAATAAAATCACCAGTCAAAGTAACATTCCTTCTAAAAACTAGAAGTATTTTACTTTTGGCAGGTTTTTAAGTGAATATGGGACAAAAAAATCAATCTGAAAATTTGTTCTTGTAAGTTTACATTTTTGTGCAAAAACAACATTAGGATTAAAGTTTTTGAGCACGGAAAATACATTTTTATTTTTTTCTTATTCTTAAAAAAATATGACCGGCGGGTCCGTAAAACAATAAATAAAATTGGTCTGGCCTTAGTAACAAACAAAACCTGTGTCGTATCTCAGTAAGATTTTCTACATGGAAGGAACAAGAGCTGTAGAAAATCATCCAGTATTGTCAATGAAAATAAACCACATGCTCCATGCCTTTTATTCAAAAACAACAGGCTTCATGGTAATCTGACAAAACAATAAAACCATTGAAATATTTGAACAGTGTATAATAAACAATGGACAAAATATTCTGGATAAAATCTTCGCTCATCACAACAAAGGCCTGGGTTTGATTACAAGAGGCATAAGTCCTACTTATACTGAGTTCACCAAAGATAAAATATTGATTATGTGACTTAAACTTAGACATCCTCCTCCATTTCCCCATTTATAAAGTCTCTATTCATATACAATAGATTGGTGGTGAGGTAGCCTAGTAGTCAAAGTCCTTGCTTGCCACACCAAATACCAAAGTTCGATTCCCCACATGGGTACATGCATTCAGTTGAGATTAGCTAAAGTTATCCATAATTGTTATATTATGTATAGCACTTATTGGGTTCACTTTAACACAGCCCAAGACAGATAAAACAAAAATCATGGAACCAATTTATTATTGCCCATACATTGTTGATTAAGGACACCCAATGGAACCAAATCAAAACTGCCAATAACACTGCTATTAAGAAAAAATACTGTTACAAGTAGCTACCATACCCTACATAATAACTCTATTTTGGCCAAATTTTATCATCTTCTCGCTAAGGAGATCGAAACATCCATACTCCCATAAACAGACTTCTGATCATCGTAGTGTTTTTGTCATCTGTGATGTGCCATTGTACAAAGGGATCTTCTCGCTAAAATGATCGAAACTTCCATACTCCCATAAACAGACTTACGATCATCGTAGTGCTTTTATCATCTGTGATGTGCCATTGTACAAAGGGATCTTCTTCGCTAAAATGATCGAAACTTCCATACTTCAATGCACAGACTTAAGATCAACGTAGTGTTTTTATCGTCCATAATGTGCCATTGAACAAAGGGATCTTATTGCTAAGGAGATTGAAACTTCCATACTTCAATACACAGACTTACGATCAACGTAGTGTTTTTATCATCCATAATGTGCCATTGAACAAAGGGATCTTCTCGCTAAGGAGATCGAAACTTCCATACTTCAATACACAGACTTACGATCAATGTAGTGTTTTTATCGTCCATAATGTGCCATTGAACAAAGAGATCTTCTCGCTAAGGAGATCGAAACTTCCATACTTCAATACACAGACTTACGATCAACGTAGTGTTTTTATCGTCCATAATGTGCCATTGAACAAAGAGATCTTCTCACTAAGGAGATCGAAACTTCCATACTCTCATACAGAGACTTATGACCATTGTAGTGTGTTTATCATCTATGATGTGCCATTGTACAAAGGGATCTTCTTGCAAAGATGACCGAAACTTCCACACACCCATGCACAGACTTATGATCTTCGTAGTGTTAATTATGATAATTGTAGCACAAAGATTGTTTTGTAGAAAAGCCACTAATACCATCCCTGGGTTGTTTTCCCCCAAACATAGATATACTGGACAAAATAAGTTAGGGATATTAGTATGTTTATAATTCATATTTTATCAGTGTGTCAATGAATAAATGGATCATTATTCATAATTTCAAAATTAACATATATCTCTAACTATTTTTGTCCAGTATATATTAATTATACCCTTGGTTAGTACAGTCAAATCCCGATGAGTCGAATGCCGGTGTCTCGAATATTATGCATAACTCAAAGTACTTGGCGGTCACGACCATTCCCTGTTATAGTTGTCATCATTTGAATACCGGTTACACGAATTCATCTCATAAATACACACGATGACTCGAGAAGGAAATTTGGTCCCATGAGATTCAAACAACAGCAATCTTGTATACATAAGCCGAAGTCAGTCAATGAGAAGTTGACTGGTGTAGCAAACTGATCCAATTAACAAACCAGCGCGGCTCACACATTTCTGCCATTGACGGGTGAGTTCAAAAGGCAGATTAGTGATTTTACGGAAATCACTGTCTGTGCTAATCAGATAATTAGTGATAGGGAAATCATTAGGTAAACAAATGCTTAGGTGGAGGAATTAGGACTGGATCATCTTTTTTTCTACCCTCATAGACATACCTATGTCTTGAATACATCGATAAGTCGAATTTATTACTTGGTCACCAGCGATTCGACTCATGAGATTTGACTGTAGTTTACTTTCATTCAGCCATGTCAACTAGTACTGAAGTTAGTATTAATGAACACTATTCAATGAAACCAAATTAATTCTGCCAATAAGCAGGATGGGTAATGTTTGATGCCATTCAGTAGAGCCGAAATAAACTTACCATAAATTAGTAATCACATTTACCATGCAATGGAGCAGATATAATATTGCCAATAAGTAAACATGTACACATATAATGGCCTACATCAACAATGCCCTGCAGATAGTAATCTTTTCCTGAGATCTTGAGAAATGGAGTCACTGATTCTGTTGACAAGCCTGGAGTGTTTGCTGTTGCCGGTCAGGGAGCTGCTTCTCCTTTGGCTACCTGCTGAGTAGCAACGCTTCAGGCTTGGGCTGGTGCTACGGTTTGAACTTCGAACACTGCTAGCACTTCTTGGCTTCAGATCTTTCCTAACCTGGACCTGATTTGCAGATTCCATACATTCTGATGTCAAAGACTGTCTCCTCTGTTCGCTTGTCCTGCTGTTTGGTGTAGGTTCATTCTGGTTATTCATTGTCCTACCATCACTGACTGACTCAGATCGGTTCTCCATGCTTGTGGACTCAGTCCTGTCATTATTAAGCTCCTCGAGCTCGGTGTGTCCATTCGTGGCAACACCGGGACCATCCAGTTCAGGATCTGGACTTGAGGTACATGGTACTTCAGTCACTTGATTGAACTTGACTGACACAGGTGAGGACAGCGGATTACTTTTCCTCTCTTCTGATTTTGGGCCATCTGACTCATGATTCTCGGTCTTGCGAGTGCGAGAGGTCTGACTGAACATATCTTCCAGGTCCTGAGACTCGGCTATCTGCTCCAGTAGAGCTATTGTCCCAATCTGTCCAACTTCTACAATCTTGGGTTTGCTGTGCTCCATGTGGGGCACTGGCACCTCAACATCCTCACCGAGTCCACTGTCCATATTACCTTCATCACAAACCACAGCTCCCTTCATCTGGCTGCCCCACACCTGAGGTTCGTTGTTCTGAAGCTCCTCCTCAAAAGACTCATACCCAAAGTCAGCCCCCTTGAGACTTGGTTCCTTGTCATTCCTCCTCTCAGCTACCTCCATCCTGTCTTCCTGCCTGGCATCTTCACAAAATGCAACTGCAACTTCTCGATCCGCATCTCCCGGGATAGGATCCTGTTGATGAAAGCTTTCTGCCTCCATGTTTTCAGACTGTTCTTCTTTCGCACCTCTGCCTCTTGTTCTCTGCAAGAAGGCAGGAGCTGTGACAGGTCTGTCTTCACCCAAGCGACCCTTCCCTTTCTGGACCTGTTTGATGCTGGTGTTGCGGTAGAGGTGGTCCTTGTGGATGTGCCTGACTGGTGTGAAGGTTCGCTCCTGCAGTTTGGTGAACAGGTTGCCCTTTGGGGACGAATCGTAGCATCGAGACACCAGGACAAAGTGTGACCCTCGTCTTGTTTTCACCTGCTGCCAGCCTCGGTATCTAAACAATTACATTCATTGTGAGTCAACCTCTTTGAATGGCATTTTTGTGTGAGTGAGTGAGTGAGTGAGTTTTATGCCGCACTCAGCAATATTCCAGTTATATGGTGTCAATCTGTAAATAATAGAGTCTGGACCAGACAATCCTGTGATCAACAGCTCGAGCATTGATCTACGCAGTTGGGATACGATGACATGTGTTAACCCAGTCAGCGAGTCAGACCTCCCCATCCTGTTTGTTGCCTCTTATGACAAGCATGGGTTACTGAAGATCATTTCAAACCTGGATCTTCACAGGTGGCATTTTAGAGTGAGTTGGATTTTATGCTGTTTTAGCAATATTCCAGCAATATCACGGCGGGGGACACCAGAAATGGGCTTCACACATGGAATTTTAGAAGTTGGGAAGTACAATATAGACAAATTTTATGGACAGCAACCTTTATTTCATGAGTGCGACATTTTGATGCAATACCGTCAAGCAGGAATGTTGAGATGCTTGACAACAGTATATGAATCTGTATCGAAAGATTGCACTCATGAAATACATAAATTGTTATCCATTAAGTTTGTCTATATTAAACCTGGAGCTAGACTGACATTAAATCTCAGAAATAAAGCTATCTTATTTGATGATATGTGTCTACAAAAAATATAAACAAATCTAAAAGAGGCTGAGAACAATTCTAAATTTCAGAGCTAAGGCAATATAGACCTTTCTAGTTATTCTAAATTTTGAGCTGGGTTCATATTATCCTCTATGTATGGAAAACGGAATAGCCTAAGGTTAGCAGAGACAAAACTTGTTGAGCCAGGGCGGTGGGGTAGCCTAGTGGTTAAAGTGTTCACTTGTCACACCAAAGTTCCAGGTTCAATTCCCCACATGGGCACAATGTGTGAAGCCCATTTCAGGTGCCCCGTGCTGTGATATTGCTCGAATAATACTAAAATCGTCGAAAAGCAATACTCACTCACTCACTCACTCTGTTGAGCCATAATGAATTTATCGTAAGTTTACATCACCTGTAATTAGTGTTTTTTCTGGAAGCAATATTAAAAATGAAGGATATCAAAGGACCCTTGTCATACATGAAGTGTTAGGAAGTACAGAGTTAAGGGTTCGGTATTTGGTTGTCTACAGACCTGGCATCACACTTGCGAGCATGAGAGGGAGGCAGCCTCAGTTTGGGATGGACCAGCTCCTCAATCACCTCCTCTGTCCAGTGGGTGGACTTGGGAGGTTCTGGCTTTGGTTCCGGAGGAGGAACTGATGAAATAGTCATTGATATCCCCATAAACAAAGTGATCAGGCGGAGACTTGAAAATACTGTCGTAGTGGCGAAAAGGATTTATACCAACAACCTGTGACAATAACATAGCAGAGTTTGACTACTACATACCAGACAGGGACTATAACATACCAGACAGGGACTATAACATACCAGACAGGGGATATAACATACCAGACAGGGACTATAACATACCAGACAGGGACTATAACATACCAGACGGGGGATATAACATACCAGACAGGGACTATAACATACCAGACAGGGGCTATAACATACCAGACAGGGACTATAACATACCAGACAGGGGATATAACATACCAGACAGGGACAGGGCTATATAACATACCAGACAGGGACTATAACATACCAGACAGGGACTATAACATACCAGACAGGGGGCTATAACATACCAGACAGGGACTATAACATACCAGACAGGACTATAACATACCAGACAGGGATATACCAGACAAGGACTATAACATATACCAGACGGGGACATACATACCAGACAGGGCCTATAACATACCAGACAGGGACTATAACATACCAGACAGGGACATATATAATACCAGACAGGGGATACCAGACACAGACTATAACATACCAGACAGGGATATAACATACCAGACAGACAGGGATATAACATACCAGACAGGGATATAACATACCAGACAGGACTATAACATACCAGGGGGACCTATAACATACCAGACAGGGCTACTATAACATACCAGACAGGGACTATAACATACCAGACAGGGATATAACATACCAGACAGGGACTATAACATACCAGACAGGGACTATAACATACCAGACAGGATATAACATACCAGACAGGGACTATAACATACCAGACAGGGACTATAACATACCAGACAGGGGCTATAACATACCAGACAGGGGCTATAACATACCAGACAGGGACTATAACATACCAGACAGGGGATATAACATACCAGACAGGGACTATAACATACCAGGGACTATAACCAGGGATAACATACCAGACAGGGGCTATAACATACCAGACAGGGACTATAACATACCAGACAGGGACTATAACATACCAGACAGGGGATATAACATACCAGACAGGGGCTATAACATACCAGACAGGGACTATAACATACCAGACAGGGCTATAACATACCAGACAGGGATATAACATACCAGACAGGGATATAACATACCAGACAGGGGCTATAACATACCAGACAAGGACTATAACATACCAGACAGGGCTATATAACATACATACCAGACAGGGGCTATAACATACCAGACAGGGCTATAAACATACCAGACAGGGGCTATAACATACCAGACAGGGATATATACCAACATACCAGACAGGAACTATAACATACCAGGGACTATAACATACCAGACAGGGACTATAACATACCAGACAGGGACTATAACATACCAGACAGGGATATAACATACCAGACAGGGACTATAACATACCAGACAGGGGCTATAACTATAACATACCAGACAGGGACTATAACATACCAGACAGGGACTATAACATACCAGACAGGGGCTATAACATACCAGACAGGGGCTATAACATACCAGACAGGGGCTATAACATACCAGACAGGGACTATAACATACCAGGTGGGATATAACATACCAGACAGGGACTATAACATACCAGACAGGGGCTATAACATACCAGACAGGGACTATAACATACCAGACAGGGGCTATAACATACCAGACAGGGGATATAACATACCAGACAGGGACTATAACATATACCAGACAGGGATATAACATACCAGACAGGGACTATATAACATACCAGACAGGACTATAACATACATACCAGACAGACAGGGACTATAACATACCAGACAGGGACTATAACATACCAGACAGGGACTATAACATACCAGACAGGGACTATAACATACCAGACAGGGACTATAACATACCAGACAGGGACTATAACATACCAGACAGGGACTATAACATACCAGACAGGGATATAACATACCAGACAGGGACTATAACATACCAGACAGGGATATAACATACCAGACAGGGGATATAACATACCAGACAGGGACTATAACATACCAGACAGGGATATAACATACCAGACAGGGACTATAACATACCAGACAGGGACTATAACATACCAGACAGGGACTATAACATACCAGACAGGGATATAACATACCAGACAGGGACTATAACATACCAGACAGGGACTATAACATACCAGACAGGGATATAACATACCAGACAGGGATATAACATACCAGACAGGGACTATAACATACCAGACAGGGACTATAACATACCACTATAGACACTACAGCCTACCTGGGGAGGTCTCTGTGCAAGCTTCTCGCGGTACCCAGGCAGATAGTGGTCCATCTTCTCTTCCTTGTCTATGTCATACTTGCTGTCCTGTTGAGATAACAGAGGAAGATAAGTCTTCAGCCGGTCTACACTCAGCCTACATATCGAGCCAAAAGTAAGACTGTAATACCTTGCTTGAAACGACTCTTCTTTAAAGTACATATATTGAAACTCTGAATATTAGGAACCGTCATTAGAAAATCTGAGAAAGTATCCAAATGCATAGATAACACTGTGTAAATATTATGTTTATAAACTAAGCCTGAAGTTTTCAAACAAAATCCTTTCCTCCTTGCAACAGTAATTCAAGCTTTTTTTAAAGAAATTAACCAGAAATCAATCCTGTTGATGAAGGTGGAACAGAAAATCTTTACAGTCAGTGAAGAGCTCAACTGTGACTTGCCATTGTGATCATATCAAACTTGAGGCCATTTAGCTTCGTCTCAACCTCCGACAAATCTCCCCTGGTGACAACTCGGGGCGTTGTCAGTCGTTGATACTGCCTCGTTGTGGGACGATCCGCAAACAGAGACGTTGCTGTCAATACCCAAGAAATATTTTCTTGAATATGATCTGATATGGATCATGAGTTAAGACTGAGCTGAGTCTAATGCTGTTTAATAGCATTTCGTCTTAACGAGAGAAGAAACTTAGGAGTGACAATGATCTAAGATGAGATGCAGATTTTCCACTTCGGTTAATTGCTCAAACATAGGTACGGTGCTGATAAACCGACCATTATTGTCTGAGCAAATCTTGGGTTTGAACATAGGCGGTTTTAATACCGGTTCCTGGACACAATACACAGATATCAAATGCCAGGATCTTTCAGTAGTGAGTGAGTGAGTATCGTTTTATGCCGCTTTTAGCAATATTGCAGCAAAATAACGGCGGGGTACACCAGAAATGGGCTTCATGAGTTGTACCCATGTAGGGAATCAAAACCGGGTCTTCGGCGCGATAAGCCAACACTTTAACCACTAGGCTACCCCACTGCCCGTGGATCTTTCAGTAACTACAGTAGTGAGTGAATGAGTACCGTTTTATGCCACTTTTAGCAATATTCCAGCAATATCACGGCGGGGTACACCAGAAATGGGCTTCATGTGTTGTACCCATGTGGGGAATCAAATCCGTGTCTTCGGCACAACAAGCCAACGCTTTAACCACTAGGCTACCCCACTGCCCCTGGATCTTTCAGTAAGTACAGTAGTGAGTGAAGAGTGAAGGAATCGAAATATCACAGCAGAGATACCAAGATAGGCCTCACACATATTTACTCAGGAAGAATTGAACCTGGACCCTCAGTGTGATGATCCACAGCTTTACCCACTTGCCTATATAACTGCCATTGGCGTTTATGTATTGGGCATGTAACCACTGATTAGGCAATATGAATGGTCATTTTTTTATTACATTTGTGGTGACTTTACGGTGAAGAAACACTTACTGTTAATCCAAACCAAAACATCACTACCATTGTAGTCAAGAACTAGTGTTTGTTTGTTTATTGTTTAACGCAGCACTGAGCAATATTCAAGCTATATCAAGTTGGTCTGTAAATATTCAAGTCTGGATCAGATAATCCAGTGATTGACATCATGAGCATCTATCACAACTGGGATACGATGACATGCATAAACCAAGTCAGCAAGCCTGACCACCCGATCCCGTTAGTCGCCTCTTACAACAAGCATGGGTTACTGAAGATCAATTCTAACCCAGATCTTCACGTGCAGTCAAGAAGTGGATGATCCATGCCATCTTATTACTATTGATATGGCAGAATGGTTGATATTAGTTAACTTTGGTATCACAAAGTATTTAAAGCAAATATTTTAATGTCACCACTCTTATATTTTATATTTGTATAACATCCCTGACATTTTCTATAAAACTTATCTGGAAATGTGGCGAAGTGTTTGTGTCTTTGCTAAACCTGTCATCTTTCAGTATAAGCAAATCAATGTTTTAAAGAACCTTTTCTTGTAATTTCTTATTTATATTTTTTAGGACTTTTGGTGAATTCAAAACCACTTTTACAAACAAAAGGCACTTACCATCAGAATATTTACCGTTACCACTACAAAATGTACTTACATCTGGCTGTGGAAGGCGCCGATCGAAGCCTCTGTCTGACTGTCTGATACGCCTCCTTTGCTGTGGTCTCAACAGCCTTCTGCTTCTCCTCTTTGGGTCCATACATGCTTAGATTGGGCGCTGTGATCGGTCGTCCTCGTATGTAGCCTGCATGAGCTCGATACACACGCTTCTGTGAACGTCCCACCTCATTCTTCAGATGACAGTAACTCTTCTTGTGGAACTTGGTCTGAAAGAGATATTAATGTTTGTTTAGATGTTTTGGAAATGTCTCTTTCAAAATCAAAACCTTATTAAAATGCTGGTGATACTGGAGTACATTGTAAATTTAATTGATGGAAAATAAATATAGAAAGTTGTCTTATGTATTCAGTTCATCTGAATAAAATCACTATTTACAGTTCAAATTCTGAAGTATTGTATTTGTACAGTCATTCAAGTTCGCTTTCCTGAGGAGAGGGCTGACAAATTTACCACCAACATAATGATCTTATGATATAACTATCAGACAATGTATATGTACAATGATTGTCACACAATGTATATGTACAATGACTGTCACACAATGTCCATGTACAATGACTGTCACCCAATGTCCATGTACAATGACTGTCACATAATGTATATATACAATGACTGTCACACAATGTATATGTACAATGATTGTCACACAATGTATATGTACCATGACTGTCACACAATGTATATGTACAATGACTGTCACATAATGTATATGTACAATGACTGTCACACAATGTACATATACCATGACTGTCAGACAATGTCCATATACCATGACTGTCACACAATGAACATGTACAATGACTGTTATACAATGTACATATACCATGACTGTCACACAATGTCCATATACCATGACTGTCAAACAATGTACATATACCATGACTGTTATACAATGTACAGTCACACAATGTACATGTACAATGACTGTCACATAATGTACATGTACAATGACTGTCACACAATGTACATGTACAATGACTGTCACATAATGTACATGTACAATGACTGTCACACAATGTACATATACCATGACTGTCATATAATGTACATATACCATGACTGTCACACAATGTACATGTACCATGACTGTCACTCAATGTTCATATACCATGACTGTCACACAATGTACATATACCATGACTGTCACACAATGTACATATACCATGACCTTACACACAATGTACATATACCATGACTGTCACACAATGTACATGTACAATGACTGTCACATAATGTATATATACAATGACTGTCACACAATGTACATATACCATGACTGTCATACAATGTCCATATACTATGACTGTCACACAATGTACATATACCATGACTGTCACATAATGTACATATACCATGACTATGACTGTCACATAATGTACATATACCATGATTGTCACACAATGTACATATACCATGACTGTCACACAATGTACATGTACAATGACTTTCACATAATGTACATATACCATGACTGTCACACAATGTACATATACAATGACTGTCACACAATGTACATATACCATGACTGTCATACAATGTCCATATACTATGACTGTCACACAATGTACATATACCATGACTGTCACATAATGTACATATACCATGACTATGACTGTCACATAATGTACATATACCATGACTGTCACATAATGTACATATACCATGACTGTCACATAATGTACATATACCATGACTGTCACACAATGTACATATACCATGACTGTCACACAATGTACATATACCATGAATGTCACACAATGTACATATACCATGACTAGTTTGATCACCATGTTCCCAGTGTTATGGTATATTCAGTTCATGCCATAAAACACCTTTGTGATACCAATGGTTATGTGACAATTTGTGTACTCCTTAATATATCTCTGACTGTGATATGATGGCTCGACAACACCAGAGCTTATAAAATCAGGTTTAGATACTGAATGACACAAGACTCAACCACTGACACTTGTGTGCTCTATGCAAGGGTTATAATACATTTGTTATGATATTACACAGATATATTAACAACTACATATAAAGCAACAAAACCATTTCCATAAATATATGACATCTGTACTATAAGCAGAATCCATAATAATTCCCAGTATATCTTACGTCAGTATTACAGACCGACAAGGACTAGATCTGATGGCTGTATCTGATGTAAACAATATTTCTGGAAGTCCTATTTAGATCTTTCGACTGTTAATGACAGCTCACTTGCTCTTCCTGATCTCAAGTCATAACAAATTCAGCAGTAGAATAGTTACTCAAAATCTCGTCAATTGATTATTGGCTTTTGACTGGATTATAGATAAATTGGTTGAACAGATATACTCAACAAAAAAAGTTAAGGACCACCCCAATGTTCAATATGAAAGTATTTAATAGCTCATGTTATGATCCATATAATACTTAAATATTGAATACTGGGGTGTTCCTTAACTTTTTGGGTTGAGTATATATTAATTGTAATATTCAGATAAGAACCTAAAACTTTAATATTCCAAAGGAGGTTGAAATATTTGTTAAACCCAAAATATGTTTCAGTCAGTTGTTCCAGACATTTGGTTTGTTTTAATCATAAAAGGTTTTAATAAAATCTAGTCAAGAATTAAAATACATTGTTTTAAAATCAGAGAACTTTCTGGAACAAACTATAAACCTGTTGACTCCCTTCAGCATGATTTTAGAACATCAGTATTAGAACAGTGCTACACACAGACCTTGATAACTACAGTCATGGTAAACAGCCACCACTATGAACCCACAACTATCTGCTGGCTTATAGGAACAGGTTATATATGTGCACACACTACGCAGCTGCCGACACTGTCTACATTGCTCCCGCCAACTATGCTGCCACCACATGGACTACGAAGTGGGTACGCCACCACCAAGGATTACCTCAACCTCCAGCCAGTGGGCATACTCATCACTAAATTTACGCTCCTCCAGCTGAAAAAGTGTGTTAGAAACAACAAAATCTAAAACATACAGACATTATAGAAAGGTTAAGAACTACACTACAAGTGAAAGCTATAACATAAAAGTGTGTAAAGCTACAGGTGAGTTGAGGATCCAATCAAAGAAAGTACAGGTGAGTTGAGAATACAATCAGTGAGTGTACAGGTGAGTTGAGGATGCAATCAGTGAGTGTACAGATGATTTGAGGATACAATCAGTGAGTGTACAGGTGAGTTGAGGATGCAATCAGTGAGTGTACAGATGATTTGAGGATACAATCAGTGAGTGTACAGGTGAGTTGAGAATGAGTTGAGGATGAAATCAGTGAGTGTACAGTGTGAGTTGAGGATACAATCAGTGAGTGTACAGGTGAGTTGAGGATACAATCAGTGAGTGTACAGGATGATTTGAGGATACAAAGTGTACAGGATGATTTGAGATACAATCAGTGAGTGTACAAGGTGATTTGAGGATACAATCAAGTGTACAGGTGAGTTGAGGATACAACAGAGTGTACAGATGATTTGAGGATACAATCAGTGAGTGTACAGGTGAGTTGAGAATACAATCAGTGAGTGTACAGGTGAGTTGAGGATGCAATCAGTGAGTGTACAGGTGAGTTGAGAATACAATCAGTGAGTGTACAGATGATTTGAGGATACAATCAGTGAGTGTACAGATGATTTGAGGATACAATCAGTGAGTGTACAGATGATTTGAGGATACAATCAGTGAGTGTACAGATGAGTTGAGGATACAATCAGTGAGTGTACAGGTGTGTTGAGAATACAATCAATGAGTGTACAGATGATTTGAGGATACAATCAGTGAGTGTACAGGTGAGTTGAGGATACAATCAGTGAGTGTACAGATGATTTGAGGATACAATCAGTGAGTGTACAGATGATTTGAGGATCCAATCAGTGAGTGTACAGGTGAGTTGAGAATACAATCAGTGAGTGTACAGGTGATTTGAGAATACAATCAGTGAGTGTACAGATGATTTGAGGATACAATCAGTGAGTGTACAGATGATTTGAGGATCCAATCAGTGAGTGTACAGGTGAGTTGAGGATGCAATCAGTGAGTGTACAGGTGAGTTGAGGATACAATCAGTGAGTGTACAGGTGATTTGAGGATACAATCATAAGGTGTACAGATGATTTGAGGATCCAATCAGTGAGTGTACAGGTGAGTTGAGGATCCAATCATAAAGTGTACAGATGATTTGAGGATACAATCAGTGAGTGTACAGGTGAGTTGAGGATACAATCAGTGAGTGTAAAGGTGAGTTGAGGATCCAATCATAGAGTGTACAGATGAGTTGAGGATCCTATCAAAGAGTGTACAGGTGAGTTGAGGATCCTATCAAATAGTGTACAGGTGAGTTGAGGATCCAATCAATTAGTGTACAGGTGAGTTGAGGATCCTATCAAAGAGTGTACAGGTGAGTTGAGGATCCAATCAAAGAGTGTACAGGTGAGTTGAGGATCCTATCAAAGAGTGTACAGGTGAGTTGAGGATCAAATACAAGAGTGTACATGTGAGTTGAGGATCCTATCAAAGAGTGTACATGTGAGTTGAGGATACAATCAAAGAGTGTACAGGTGAGTTGAGGATCCTATCAAAGAGTGTACAGGTGAGTTGAGGATCCTATCAAAGAGTGCACATGTGAGTTGAGGATCAAATACAAGAGGGTACATGTGAGTTGAGGATGCTATCAAAGAGTGTACATGTGAGCTGAGGATCCAATCAAAGAGTGTACAGGTGAGTTCAGCATCCAATCAAAGAGTGTACAGGTGAGTTGAGGATCCAATCAAAAGGTGTACATCAGTGAGTTGAAGATACAAGTCAGTGATACATCCTAAGTATGTCTGAAGGTGAATTGAGGATACACACTGAATGTATAAAGTCATAAGCTATCTCTCTAATCCATTCTGTTCAAGACAAGATCATCACCAGATATATGTAATTTTAGTCGGTGAGGATTACATACACTTATTATATTCTCCAAACATTATTGTCAAAATGCCTAGAGAATGATTGATTCAATTTATGTTTTAGATGATCGGAATATATTGCCACTTTAGTTTTGCTTAAACATATCAGAAAACACTCGATCTGTTAAGTAGCATAGTTTTATAGTGATTCAAAGACATCTAAATGCATTAATGATTCGCATTTGTTCACTTTTTTCAAGTAACATATTAGATATGACTAAAAAATAGATTGTTATTGTAAATCAACAATTATACAAGTGCTCCATGCATTCTAAGCTGTACCAGCTCTTTTCACTTGAAGAGAAATATATATGTTCAAATCAAAAACTATATTTATCTGGTAATTAAGATCACAAAGTTAATGTGTTTGCATGTGCATGCAGCTTTTGAAAATTATGAACATGAAAATACATGTGAAGAAATATATGCACTTTGACTAATTTTATCATAAAAAACTACATTCATGTCATACTTCAAAACAGGTGAAAAAATACAAAGGAAATCTGTAATCAATATTTACCTGGTGTCGTATGACTGCATGTCCACATTAACACAGAGTGGAACACTAGACCTTGCATCTACCAGTTTCAATGTCTGTATGAGATTTTATTCTCTTGCTACCAACTTTCACCAACACAACAGAAGCCGTAATCTCTCGATGCTCATATAAACACAATTACGTTGGTTCGTGTCAGTTAACAATAAAGTTATTGACAACAGCCCAGTACTTTCTCCCACTCACAATACATGTCTATTCTGGGTGGACAAGAATAGAGTACAATGCTCATGTAATATTAACCCTTGAAGATCCGGGTTAGAATTGATCTTCAGTAACCCATGCTTGTTGTAAGAGGTGACTAACGGGATTGGGTGGTCAGGCTCGCTGACTTGGTTGACACATGTCATCATATCCCAGTCGATTATTTACAGACCACTGCCATATAGCTGGAATATTGCTGAGTACAGCATAAAAGTAAACTCACTCACTCACTACCTCTCTCATTGATATAGGCAGATCCAGAGAGGGGGTGCAGGGGTGCGCACCCCGCTTTTGTCCTGAAAGTTTATTAAATGACCATTCAAATTATGTGAAAATGGAGTGTGCACCCCCACTTTCTCAAGAGTGTGCATCCCCCTTTCTCAAAAAGCTGTATCTGCCCTGATTTTGTATTTTTTGGTTTACAGTTTTTATGTTAAGACTGTGTTGCTTTAATGGGGTTTTTTAACATATATTGTGTGAAAAATCATGGCTGGCTAAAAATATTTATTTCTGATTTTGTCTGCAGTGGTGGTTAAACTTACTTTGCAGCTTAATTTTTTGTATTCATATTGTGGTGAGCATGTAAGTCTGGCTTTGCTAAAAGATAACATAGTCCTTTTCAAATTTAAAGTTCAACAAATTTTTTTTATTAAATATTATGAGCGTATATGCTTGAAAAAATAACTGTTAATAAATTGCCCTGAAAAGTAGGTTGAAGTATTCACCACAAAAGTATTTTGTCTCTAATGAAAACTAGAAGGACCTCCAAGGAATTAAATTGGCAAACCTTAATCTCTTACAAAGTCACAACACAAAAATTGGTTCATGAATTTCTTAATAGTTGTTGCTGACCCTCTGCACCCAGGTATTCGTTTCTGTATGTGTATTAACCTGTTAGCTCAGCTGAAGCTAGACATTCTCTCTCTATATTAGAGGGCGTATGTTAATGCATAAACTATGTACAACAAACAACCAGATCTTCTCACACAGAGACAGTAACACAGTAATACACTGATTTGTATTGATCAAAGATTGTATTTCAGTCTATTGATATGACAGCTGTTATTTTAAATGACAACCCCTTTTTACTTTAAAGGCTATTATTGCCTAAACAGATTGCTTTGGATTTAGGGACAGTTTGACATGTCACGATTTAGGTGAATATTTTCACATTTTGGTTGGATGTGCAAAACATAAATCTGGAATACCGGTATACTGACATGCAAAAGAAAGATTACATCCATGTTTGATGGTGACAAAGCTGAAAGTGGAATATGTGATGATGATGCATGATGTGTGATATTTGCTGCACAGAGTCATTGTTATACAGTAGAAGACTTTATAACGAACATGGATATAACGAACTGACAGCTATAGCGAACTGTTTTAAAAGTCCCGAATAAACCGTATATTATCATATCAAAAAGTGAATAGCGAACTACGAATATAACGAACTAAATTTCAGTGGTCCCTTAGAGTTCGTTATAAAGGTATTTTACTGTATAAGTAAGTAGAAATGTCAAGGTAATCAATGTCTTTTTATCATCAACTACTGACCTATCAAACTCACTGACATTAGTTATTGAATCACCCTCTAAAATGTCAATAATGCACAACAAGCTAGAAGATACACATTTTTTTGAATGGTTGTGAATGTTGGACAGTATATGATAAAATACAAAGCGCTTTTTCATTTTGTCTTTTCAGAGAGGGTCATGAAAACAATAACAAGACACACTAAAGAATTAAAACATAATTATACATTACACCTGAACTTAAAAGACTTTCAGTTGAATTTTACTTTAAGGAACACCTAAATAAATCCGAAAAGTTTTAGAGGAATAAAAAGTTATTAGGCATAAATATTAGATGTGTTTCATTGTGTATATTTACCTGCTGAATCCTTGCCTCATTGGTGATGGGTGGTTCCTTAAACATTCTGTTACTGCCGAGGGTCTCGTGTCCAAAGTCCCATTCATCTTTGAGATATTTTTTGTTTAGCACCCAGGCAATACGGTCGTCATGGTGACACAGAAGCTTCTCAAAGTCAACCAGCTGGAAAAGATAGAAACAGAATATTTATATTGAAGAGAGGAAATAAAGGAATGTAGACAATTGTTGAGGAATAAGAAAGGTTTCATTGTGGATTTAGATAAATTATAAAATAATCAAAATAGAACATTGTGTATTTGCAATACATTAAGACACACTGGTGGTGCAAAGTGCAACAATTTGCCATGCAGAGTTGAATCCCTTAGGCATGCCAGGATCTGCTGATTCACCCAGATTATGTTTCTGAGTATTAATTCAGGTGTCCAAGGCATGTACATAGGGCCAAAGCTTGCGAACCTTAACATGCTTCATTTCCAAGAACTTTGCTTTAACGCCATAAGCCTTTATAGATAGATACCCATGAAGATTCAGGTTAAAATTGATCTTCGGTAACCCATGCTTATCATAAGGGCAAACCAATGGGATCGGGTGGTCAGGCTCGCTGACTTGGTTCACCATGTCACCGTATCCCAATTGTGTAGATGCTCATGCTGTTGATCACTGGATTCACTGATCCTGACTCGATTATTTACAGAATGGAATATTGCTGAGTGCAGGGTTAAACAACATATAAAACCTGAATTCTCTAATCCGTCAATCAGTCAGCACGGAGGCATCTCAGGTGATCAAACAATTGAGTAGCTTTTCTTGACTTAATTCTATCACAAAAAAGACATGAATGAGCAGTTACAAATGGACAATAAATGCTACCTACTGGATTGTCTGGTTCAGATTATTTACAGACCGTCACTATATAGCTGCAATATTGCTGAGTGTGGCATAAAACTTAACTCACTCACTCACTTACAGATAGAGTCAACAATGTTTTGCCATACGTTTGCATCCCCATGGACTCACAATGTAGATGTATCCAATATATACTTCTATCTTTATGGTACACACTTCCTGTTGACCCGTGAAGGTCCGGTTTAGAATATAGATCTTCAGTAACCCATGCTTGTCGTAAGAGGCGACTAACGGGATCGGGTGGTCAGGCTCACCGACTTTGTTGACACATGTCATCGGTTCCCAATTGCGCAGACCGATGCTCATGCTGTTGATCACTGGATTGTATGGTCCAGACTTGATTATTCACAGACCGCCGCCATATAGCTGGAATATTGCTGAGTGCGGCGTAAAACTAAACTCATTCACTCCTTTGAGTATGTGTGTTTTGTTACTTTCAACAAATATTCCAACAATATCTAGGTGGGAGCACCAGAAATCACCGTCACACATGGTATATATGTGGGGATTCAAACTTGGGCTTTCAATCTGTCAATGTCACAAACAAATGGGTTAACCGCTTAGCTACCCTAACACCTCTATGGTGAGTGAGTTTACTTTTATGCCGCCTTTAGCAATATTCCAGCAATATCACGGCGAGGACACCAGAAAAAGCTTCACACATAGTACCCATGTGGGGAATCGAACCCGGGTCTTGCGTGATGATGGCCGAACGCTTTAACCACTAGACGGTCTGGATCTTTGGCGTCACGCAGACGAGTGAACCTCCCCCTACCCCTCCCTCTGTAGTGTCCAAATATGGTCCTTATGATAGCTCTATCTTATGTTTGACATAATATCTAATAATGAATATTAATTCAAGCAGTGTATAATTGTTTCACCATGGTAGCTACACACCACCTAAACATCATGCCATGTTAAAGAAACGATAAATAAAGCGCTACTCACAAGATATTCCATTTCGTAAAACTAGCTACAATTAATTCTGTTTATCTCTGTGTTGTGTGTTTAACTAAGGAACTTGCTAACCTCTGATAATTATCTCAGCCTGCTCACCTAAGGGAAACATTATCTCCAAAACTTGGCGAGTTATTGTGTGCATTGTTGCATGCCAATATCAAGTAGTTTGAGCAGTTATATAAGGTTCAGTAAAAGGCCAGTTCAGATCAGTCAATAAAAGACTAGATCCTTATCCTTCTACTTTACTTATGTTTCACAGATTGTAATGACTGAATTATACACACTTTTAATTTGAAGTACTTCATTTGCAGATCTCAAAATTTTATAAAATTTTAATAACATGAAACTTCTTATTGGAAACCCTGTTAATAAGTTCAGTATGAAAACATATCCTTGACAAAGTCCAATACTCTGAAGTAGCTATTTTAATTTTTTATGTTTATTTTACATCATCAATACTTTTAATGACAAAAAATGCTGTTTCCAAGAATTAATTTAGTTTTTTTCTTCTAACTTTTGACTACTTTTGAAAACTAGTCCTTACTCTCAGTTTAAACCTCAAGAAAATGGGTAGGGTAGACGATTTTGTATAAACTATGATTCTACAAATCATAACTTTGTCATTGAAAGCTCAAGGACCACTGTAGCTTGTAAAGGTCAATATTACAAGTAAACCTGAGTTTACCTGTCTGAATTACAGGTGAGACAGGTGTGGGAACGATGAAGCGTGAAATACAGGTATAGGGAGTCAGTTACTGAGACAGATCCGAGTGACATGTACGTGAGGTAACACAAGGTTGGGGTTGCCGCCAGCGCTGAGGGAGAACTATGTATTGTGGTACTCGGTGCTCCATAGAGGTTACAAATGAAGCAATGCTAAGAAAGGATGGTCATGGAGAGCTGACAGACGCCAAGGCAAGTTTAGTGAGTTGGGTTTAACACCACCTATAACAGACTGACATCTTAGGCTTCCAGTCCCACAACAACAAAAGTCATCTACCGCTATGTTGTCTCAATAGGCAATAGACTAACAACTAGTCTCTGAAATGAACCCCCCTAAAATATTTTACAGAAAAAACAGTTCATAACAAAAAAAATAAAATATAATGAAAAGGGCCCTGAGACTTTCTGGTGTCTTCATTTCCTGAAACTGTGGAAGTCTAGACTTGCCACACATTCTAGACTTGCATGGGATTTATTGGATATATTTGTTTCAGTGTCTGTACGACAGACTAAATATGCAAGTGGCTGTAGTCAAAATGTGCCTGTGTTCACCCAAGCAGTGAATGGGTATCAGGTAGGATGAGGTGGATATGTGAGTGAGTGAGTGAGTTGGGTTTTACGCGGCTTTTAGCAATATTCCAGCAATATCACGTCGGGGGACACCAGAAATTGGCTTCACACATTGTACCCATGTGGGGAATCGAACCAGGGTCTTCGGCGTGACGAGCGAACACTTTAACCACTAGACCACCCCACCGCCCCAGGCGGATATGTGACTAGCCCATACAGTGCCTCTAAAGGCAGATTGGCTTGTATACTCCATAGGGAGTTCAGAATGAAATGTGACAGCAGGTTTCTACAATATCTGGGTAACAAAATTGCAGATTGTAAATTGAGCACACTTAAATGCAATGTTGTAAACAAATAAAAACTACGTCATCCATAGTCAATTTCATTCACCAAAAGAAAGCCAGAGTGCTACTTGAGATTGGGAACACCATATTTTCCTTACATTTTATAAGAAAAATAACAACAGGTAATATAAAGAATACACCTCAGAAAACTGATTTCACTAGGGACATAAACATGTACTCTGTAACTTTTCTCATATTATGAACCCGGTCCCTGTGACATTATCCTAACTCCTTCAAGTGAGTCAAATGTCATCAACTATGATATGTAACATTCCCAGATAATTACATATCCTAAAGTCCCAGAAACTTTGTTTTTCCATTACCTAATCTTGAAATATTTCCCCCTGCTGAATATGTAGAATCAAGCAATATGTAGACAGATAATCTTGGCATTAGTAGGTTTGTAGCATAAGGGAGACAACTCTATATATACACTGATCTGAATTTAATACCCTTAACCATTACAAAGATATTACTCCAAAGGTGGTGTTTTTGATGTGCAAAAGTGCATGAACTGAGATTACGACACATCTGGCAGGCAGGGTTGATTAGATTCAACCTGAGTTAATCTGTGTTAATTAAGCAGAACCAAGGCCTATGCCCCAAATCAACCCATACCACACAGATATAAAACAAAATGGCTGCCAGGAGACAGAAACACAACAGCAGCATTCGAAATACCTGCCTGCCCGACCGCCTGGGACCGTTAATTTTCAACGCGGTCTGCCAGATTCACAAATTCCGCTGCCAGACGGTCAGGTTAAAATTTGGACATGTATATGAAGATATTTTGTGGGCAGGTACGTTTTGATCAGGGCTGGAAGTTTTACATCTATTTTACCAGCTCTATGGTCTGGCTGAAATTTTTGGGAGTTTCAGACCCTGACAGCAGCCAGGATTTGCTGTAACATGTGACAAGGAAAGTTTAAAAGTGTCTCATTGCTTGTCAAACCTGTCATTGTATGCCCTCTAATTAATGCTGGTACACTGACATAATGAAAAAATGTCCCCAATGCTGCTTTATGAAATTTGCTATATTTAATCAGACTCATTATAGAAAGCCTTAGCATTGCAACCTGTAAATGATCAAGTATGGACAAAAGCAAACCAGTGGTTGATCTTATAAGCAAACCTTAATAATACTGGCATGCCCTTATGTTCAAGTCACCACACTGACAACCAAATACACTTAGTTGGTTACACTGAGAAAAGATGGCTGTATAGTCATGGCTGAGGACCTGTCTTGTGATCTGACCTTAAAGAGCTGGTTCTTCTTGCCTTCTGTGTATTCCATGTCTGCATGTCTGAAGCCGGAGTGGAGGTCGCACCTGTTGTCAGAGGACATTATTTTTAGATTACATTTGTAATGATATAGCATGACCAATTTCCTTTATAGTTTGTTCTAAACCATTGTGCCAGGATGCAGATGACAAATCTTCTGGCATTGAAGTTCACATGAAAAATGTAACCACAAGGCTCTGTAGCTCACCAAAAGTTTTTCTCATATTTTCATGACTAGTGTTCACTTGTTACGCTGAAGGCCCGGGTTCGATTCCCCACATGGCTACAATCTGTGAAACCCATTTCTGGTGTCTCCGTCGTGACATTGCTGGAATAGTGCTAAAAGCGGCATAAAACCCAACTCACTCACTCACCATTTCATGATTAGAACATGAAGGTCAAACAAGTTAAAATGAGAACATAACAAACAAATATACTGTATGCCTCAATGCTATAGAAATCCTGTCTGCACATACAGTTATATCCTAAACCAAACATGTCAGTGAACGTAAATATCTTGGGGATATTTTTTTTATGAAATTGTGTGTACAGTCACTAAAAGAATCATCCACAAAAATATCCATGTACTGTTTTTTTTCCAAATAAATTTGACATTGACATTTATTCTACTCCCAAGAAGTTAAGATGGTATTTTTTGTTTCATATAACTAAAGCCAATCTGTTATTGACTAAACATAGAAGACTAAAGTCATGGAAATACTTGGGTATTCCTTAAGGTCTTTGAGTAGTACAGTGGAATCTGTCTATTACGAACTGGCCTTGGACCGACTCATTTGTCCGGATTGTAAAGCAGTCCGTATTAGACAACTTTTGTCCGTTACCGTAGACACTGCCACGATGAGTTACTGCATACTACAGTTAATAAGCCGAATTGACTGTTATTTTAGTCAGCTACGACCAGATTACAAAGCATTGTTCTCATAGCAAGTTGATTGTTGGGACTGTTATTTTAGTCAGCTACAGCTGCGACCGGATTACAAAGCATTGTTCTCATAGCAAGTTGATTGTTGGGACTGTTATTTTAGTCAGCTAAGTCCGGATTACAAAGCATTGTTCTCATAGCAAGTTGATTGTTGGGACTGTTATTTTAGTCAGCTACATCCAGATTACAAAGCATTGTTCTCATAGCAAGTTGATTGTTGGGACTGTTATTTTAGTCAGCTACATCCGGATTACAAAGCATTGTTCTCATAGCAAGTTGATTGTTGGGACTGTTATTTTAGTCAGCTACAACCGGATTACAAAGCATTGTTCTCATAGCAAGTTGATTGTTGGGACTGTTATTTTAGTCAGCTACAACCGGATTACAAAGAATTGTTCTCATAGCAAGTTGATTGTTGGGACTGTTATTTTAGTCAGCTACAACCGGATTACAAAGAATTGTTCTCATAGCAAGTTGATTGTTGGGACTGTTATTTTAGTCAGCTACAACCGGATTACAAAGCATTGTTCTCATAGCAAGTTGATTGTTGGGACTGTTATTTTAGTCAGCTACATCCAGATTACAAAGCATTGTTCTCATAGCAAGTTGATTGTTGGGACTGTTATTTTAGTCAGCTACAACCGGATTACGGATTACAAAGAATTGTTCTCATAGCAAGTTGATTGTTGGGACTGTTATTTTTTAGTCAGCTACAGTCCGGATTACAAAGCATTGTTCTCATAGCAAGTTGGGATTGTTGGGACTGTTATTTTAGTCAGCTACAGTCCGGATTACAAAGCATTGTTCTCATAGCAAGTTGATTGTTGGGACTGTTGGGACTGTTATTTTAGTCAGCATCCGGATTACAAAGCATTGTTTCTCATAGCAAGTTGATTGTTGGGACTGTTATTTTAGTCAGCTAAGTCCGGATTACAAAGCATTGTTCTCATAGCAAGTTGATTGTTGGGACTGTTATTTTAGTCAGCTAAGATCCGGATTACAAAGCATTGTTCTCATAGCAAGTTGATTGTTGGGACTGTTATTTTAGTCAGCTACATCCAGATTACAAAGCATTGTTCTCATAGCAAGTGGATTACAAAGCATTGTTCTCATAGCAAGTTGATTGTTGGGACTGTTATTTTAGTCAGCTACATCCAGATTACAAAGCATTGTTCTCATAGCAAGTTGATTGTTGGGACTGTTATTTTAGTCAGCTAAGTCCGGATTACAAAGCATTGTTCTCATAGCAAGTTGATTGTTGGGACTGTTATTTTAGTCAGCTACATCCAGATTACAAAGCATTGTTCTCATAGCAAGTTGATTGTTGGGACTGTTATTTTAGTGATTGTTGGGACTGTTAATTTAGTCTGTAATCCGTAATTGAGAGAGTCCGGATTATAAAGCATGCTTTAATGATAAATTAAGAACAAATTTGCCGGGACTCAGAGGGTAGCCCGGATTATGGAGAAAACTGGATTACACAGACTCCGGATTTGACAGATTCCACTGTATATAGATGATACACTGAGCAGAGACCTACACTGCAGTCATAACAGTCCCAGTTTTAACTACATTTGTAGCACTAAGACTGTCTTGTGGAAACAGGCCCAGGCACAGTCTGATCCATCGTAAGTTTGTCGTAGTACGGAGATACAGTCATGGTCTCACAGTCCTCTAGTGGATTGGGGGCAGTGGGGTAGCCTAGTTGTTAAAGCGTTCGCCGAAGACCCGGGTTTGATTCCCCACAAGAGTACAATGTGTGAATCCTATTTCTGGTGTCCTCCGCCGTGATATTGCTAGAATATTGCTAAAAGCGGCATCAAACTAAACTCTCTCACTAACTGTCGTGGATTGGTCAGCATACCAGAGTATGAGATCAAGGAATTCTGCGAGCTGGATCCGCCCAGTCTCCTCGAAGTGCTCCTTCATGTGTTTGATCCGATGCATCAACTTCAACGGCGCTATCATCCTCCCACACATCTGCAACAGTGGCAACAAGTCAGTAAATGGATTCTGTGCAACTATCTACTTATGACTAAAGGGGGTAACGTGGCCAGATAGAACAAGATAGTTTGTGGACAATCTGGTTTTTTCATCTCTTGTTCTCTCTGGCTAAGCTACCCCCAGAACATGACATAATACTGAGACACATTTTGGGGTAATATTTTGTGATTTACATTCAGCTTGCACACGTCAACATGGCATACATACCTAAGGAGACTGTTCATTACTGTATCCCCAGGGGGTTATTTTACATTTTGGGTTATGGTGAATTGTAGCATGTCAGTAAATGCCTGCTTCCAAATAAATAACTTATTGGTACCTTACAGAGAAAAATGAACCATAGTAAAGCATAAAATATTTATTCTAGTTATAGAAACATCAGAAAAGTTATGATGCAACTTAATTAAGGTCTAGGGGCCCTAGTTCTTGGTTAAAGTCTTGGGTTCAAGGTTAGGGTCAAGGGTTCCAGTTTAGGGTCAAGGGTTCTTGGTTGGGGTCAAGGGTTCCAAGATAGGGTCAAGGGTTCCAGGTTGGGGTCAAGGTTTCCAGGATAGGGTCAAGGGTTCAAGGTTGGGGTCAAGGGTTCGAGGTTGGGGTTAAGGGTTCCAGAATAATGTCAAGGGTTCGAAGTTGGGGTCAAGGGTTCCAGGATAAGGTCAAGGGTTCAAGGCTGGGGTCAAGGGTTCCAGGATAGGGTCAAGGGTTCCAGGTTGGGGTCAAGGGTTCCAGGACAGGCTCAAGGATTCAAGGTTGGGGTCAAGGGTTCCAGGTTGGGGCTAAGGGTTCCAGAATAATGTCAAGGGTTCAAGGTTGGGGTCAAGGGTTCAAGGTTGGGGTCAAGGGTTCCAGGATAAGGTCAAGGGTTCAAGGCTGGGGTCAAGGGTTCCAGGATAGGGTCAAGGGTTCCAGGATAGGGTCAAGGGTTCAAGGTTAAAATCAAGGGTTCAAGGTTAGAATCAAGAGTTCAAGGTTAGAATCAAGGGTTCAAGGTTAAAATCAAGGGTTCCAAGTCAGGGTGACAGGGCTTGGCTTTATATAGATAGAGAACAGATTCCATGGTGCTGGGCTTGATAGAAACCAGGACTGGAGACAAAAGGGGGGACATGCAGATTACTAAAGAGCACATTTTGATAATGAATGTGCTGGTACCTTGAGACACCTCAGAAGAGTGTGTTTGTCCAACAACATGCCCTTCATGTCCCCTGCTCCGTACAGCTGGTACGCCACACGCACGTCGTGTAGCTCCTCAAACCTACAACACAAAACAAGGGTTACACACAATGAGTGAGTGAGTTTAGTTTTACGCCACACTCAGCAATATTCCAGCTATATGGCGGCGGTCTGTAAATAATCGAGTCTGGACCAGACAATCCAGTGATCAACAGCATGAGCATCGATCTGCGCAAGTGAGAACCTATGACATGTGTCAACAAAGCCAGCGAGCCTGACCACCCGATCCCATTAGTCGCCTCTTATGACAAACATGGGTTACTGAAGATCAATATTCTAACCCGGACCTTCACGGGTGGTTACACACAAACTACCACATTGCCACATGTATCCAATTTACTAACATCAAGAGATCCAGGTTAGAATTGGCCTTGGGTTTAGACTTGCTTGACACATGTCATCAAATCCCAATTGCGTAGATCGATGCTCATGATGTTGATCACTGGATTGTCTGGTCCAGACACAATTATTTACAGACCGCCGCCATATAGCTGGAATACTACTAAGTGGCGTTAAGCAACAAAAAAGAAACTAATATCAAGGCTTTATGGTCAAGACAGCAGTAGTGTTCCAGGTTACTTATGACAGGGCATTGTAGTGACGACAGCAAGAATGTAAGATGTTACTCACGACAGAAAAGGGGCGGTGGGGTAGCCAAGTGGTTAAAGCGTTGGCTCGTCATGCCGAAGACCCGGGTTCGATTCCCCACATGGGCACAATGTGTGAAGCCCATTTCTGGTGTCCCCCGCCGTGATATTGCTGGAATATTGCTAAAAGCGGCGTAAAACTAAACTCAGTCAGTCAGTCACGACAGCAAGAATGTAAGATGCTACTCACGACAGGGCTTTGTGGTCAAGCAGTAGCATGACTTTCCTCATGACGGCCATGTTCCACTCAGCGCTGTGCATGTTGATCGTCTGGTGCAGGTACTCCAACATGAGCCGTCTGGTGCAGGGCCTTGTACAGCAGCTTGTACTCCAACATGAGCAGGACATTCTACAGGGAACAGGAACAACTTAACATATACAACAGCAGGACATTCTACAGGGGAACAGGAACAAGTTAACATATACAACAGCAGGACATTCTACAGGGGAACAGGAACAAGTTAACAGATTCAACAGCAGGACATTCTACAGGGGAACAGGAACAAGTTAACATATACAACAGCTGGTAACATCAGCAACAGCAGGACATTGTACAGGGGAACAGGAACAAGTTAACATATACAACAGCAGGACATTCTACAGCAACAGGGAACAGGAACAACAAGTTAACATATACAACAGCAGGACATTCTACAGGGGAACAGGAACAACATTAAGCTGGTAACATACAACAGCTGGTACAGGGGAACAGGAAAGTTAACATCAGCAACAGCAGGACATACAGGGGAACAGGAACAAGTTAACAGCAGGACAACAACAGGGTTAACAACATAACATCACAACAGCAGGACATTGGACATTCAACAGCAGGACATTCTACAGGGGAACAGGAACAAGTTAACATATACAACAGCAGGACATTCTACAGGGGAACAGGAACAACTTAACATATACAACAGCTGGTAACATCAGCAACAGCAGGACATTGTACAGGGGAACAGGAACAAGTTAACATATACAACAGCAGGACATTCTACAGGGGAACATGAACAAGTTAACATATACAACAGCAGGACATTCTACAGGGGAACAGGAACAACTTAACATATACAACAGCTAGTAACATCAGCAACAGCAGGACATTGTACAGGGGAACAGGTACAGGGGAACAGGAACAAGTTAACAGATTCAACAGCTGGTAACATCAGCGACAGCAGGACATTCTACAGGGGAACAGGAACAAGTTAACAGATTCAACAGCTGGACATTCTACAGGGGAACAGGAACAACTTAACATATACAACAGCAGGACATTCTACAGGGGAACAGGAACAACTTAACATATACAACAGCAGGACATTCTACAGGGGAACAGGAACAACAAGTTAACATATACAACAGCAGGACATTCTACAGGGGAACAGGAACAAGTTAACATATACAACAGCAGGACATTCTACAGGGGAACAGGAACAACTTAACATATACAACAGCAGGACATTCTACAGGGGAACAGGAACAAGTTAACAGATTCAACAGCAGGACATTCTACAGGGGAACAGGAACAAGTTAACATATACAACAGCTGGACATTCTACAGGGGAACAGGAACAAGTTAACAGATTCAACAGCAGGACATTCTACAGGGGAACAGGAACAAGTTAACATATACAACAGCAGGACATTCTACAGGGGAACAGGAACAAGTTAACAGATTCATCAGCAGGACATTCTACAGGGGAACAGGAACAAGTTAAAAGATTCAACAGCAGGACATTCTACAGGGGAACAGGAACAAGTTAACATATACAACAGCAGGACATTCTACAGGGGAACAGGAACAAATTAACATATACAACAGCAGGACATTCTACAGGGGAACAGGAACAAGTTAACAGATACAACAGCAGGACATTCTACAGGGGAACAGGAACAAGTTAACATATACAACAGCAGGACATTCTACAGGAACAGGAACAAGTTAACAGATTCAACAGCATGACATTCTACAGGGGAACAGGAACAAGTTAACATATACAACAGCAGGACATTCTACAGGGGAACAGGAACAAGTTAACATATACAACAGCAGGACATTCTACAGGGGAACAGGAACAAGTTAACATATACAACAGCAGGACATTCTACAGGAACAGGAACAAGTTAACATATTCAACAGCAGGACATTCTACAGGGGAACAGGAACAAGTTAACAGATACAACAGCTGGTAACATCAGTAACAGCAGGACATTCTACAGGGGAACAGGAACAAGTTAACAGATTCAACAGCTGGTAACATCAGCAACAGCAGGACATTCTATGGGGTAACAGGAACACTTTAACAGATTCAACAGCTGGTAACATCAGCAACAGCAGGACATTCTACAGGGTAACAGGAACAAGTTAACAGATTCAACAGCTGGTAACATCTGCAACAGCAGAACATTCTACAGGGGAACAGGAACAAGTTAACAGATTCAACAGCTGGTAACATCAGCAACAGAGTCCACACACTTCTTTTCCAGTAACTATCCTTCGCTCACAAATAGTGTAATTTTATATCCAAAGTAATGTTTGTATTCATTTGAAAAATAAACTGGGTGAATATTCATTAATGGCAGAGAAAAACAATTCCACACATCCCAACGTGCATACAATCACAGAATGATTATTATAATATCTATCTCTACTGCAGAACATGACGAAACCATGTTTGGTAAAATCCCCAAATTCATGTTTGCATTTATGGTCTGGAAACACCAATGCTAACGAAAGCCTAAAACGTGTTTAGCCTGTGAGGTCCAACTCGTCTGTGTCCCAGATGGTACAGAAAATATTAAGAAGGGAGTCTAAGTCAAGTCTAAACTGGCTGACCTTGACATTAAGACTTGAGTTCCCTTTTCTGGTAGGTAGGTATTTTTAAATAAGACACCTTAATTCTTGGTACTAAATGTCAGTCTAAGGTCCAACAGGCAAGGAAAGACCTTACCCAGTAGGAACCCTTCGCTGCCTGATTCCTTGTCTTGACCCCCTCCCCGCTCTCAGCAGCGCCACCGTCCACAGTGAGGCTAATGTCCAAACGAATATATGCTTCTGTGCCCCAGACTGTGGTCATATTGGTCAGGGTCTAAATAAACATCTTATATGTCCCTAAGTTCCTAAAATAGTAAAACAAAAATCTGACATACCTTGATAAGAATGCCATCCTTTTCCACTGTAATTTCGTCCGTGACGTTGCTTTCGAAGAGGTCGACTTGGAACTGGAAATAATGAATGAGTACATCACGTGTAGGGATTTGTCTACCAGTGGTGGGGTCGTTGTCGTGTAGGGTACTACAGTTGTGTACCTTTCTGTACCTTTCAGTAGGTATCTTAATCAAAATCTGATTACGAAAATGACCTAGGGTGAATGAGTGAGTATGGTATAATATTATGCCGCTTTTTGCGACATTCTAGCAGTACCACGGACGGAGACTCCAGAAACGGGGCATCGAACCTGAGTCTTCGGTGTGACGAACGAACGCTTTAACCACTAACCTACCCCACTACTACCTAGTCAGCTGGAACCAGGGAGGGCCTATTCCTGTGATTTCCACAAAGCACGAAATCAGTTCCTTGGCAATTTTGGGAACAGATTCCAGTCTAGTTCAGGGGCGTAGCTACCATATATTATAAAAAGCCCCGGCTTACACATAATTGCTGCTAAAAAGGTCGGGCAAGTCCTCAATACTATCCGAATAAATAGCTGTGCAGCCCTATCGGGCGTAAACGAAAAGGTTGATTTGCTACGCCCCTGTAGTTGACTGTAAGTCTGCACGGACAGCGGAAGGTTGGTAGTTCGACCCCCGTCTGCGTCATACCAGAGGATTATACTTTGTATTACCTTGCCTGCTTCTCAGCTAGTGGGTGAGTGAGTTTAGTTTTACGCCACTTTTAGCAATATTCCAGCAATGTCACGTCGGGGGACACCTGAAATGGGCTTAAACACATTGTACCCATGTGTGGAATCGAACCCGGGTCTTCGGCGTGACGAGCGAACATTTTAACCACTTGGCTACCCCACCGCCCTTCTCGGATGTCAGACTGCGGCATGTATCTCAGTAGACTAGTCACTTTAAACTGGACTAGTTAACACACACACACGCACACGCACACACACACACACACACGCACTAATCATGAACGTAAGGCAAACCTCATTTACCATCGCCTCACCTCCAGGTTATCGACATCAGCATTACACAGGTAATAAATTCTACTTGATATCTGGGATGCAGTATAAGGCTGTATCTATGTACATGTATCTGCACACGAGGGTGACAGGGTGACTGTCACCTGTTGTGTCACGGAGACCCACGCGAAGTCTAAAAATGCGTGGCAACACGCAGACACTATTAGCAAGACTAAATGCATTGTGAAAAGATCATTTATTCGTTGAGAGAGAGACTTCCCTCTCTAGGCATCCTGGATACCACATAATTTTTCTTGGCCTCCAGCTTTTAATAAATCTTTAGCCATATCCGTTTACATAGTTTGTCTCACAGTCCCTGAACCACATTATTTTCTCCACTGCCTAGCCCTACCTGCAATGCTTAACACATAAATGAAGCAAGTCTAGGTTTTCTCAGGGTCACCCTGGTGGTTCTTTTCAATTTAAATGGATATATTTGTTACTATCAAAATAATATATATTCAGAGACTGAGAGTTAGTCTACAGTGTACACGGCTGATACTTAAATTAGACGAAGATTTTCACATAGAACATGCGTGTCCATAAGATTAGGGCTAAATATTTTATGTCATTGAACATGAATACAGGCATCCCTCGCACTGCACTCGGGCATCTGGACTACTGCGTCAAAACCTTCGCCATCCGGGGTACCAAAATTGGATTGGCAACTTCCTGACTACCGACTATCACCAGTTCCGGATAATAAAACGTACACTTGTGAAGTTTGATCGAACTATCGATGCAGTGCTATTGTCGACAGTGTGACATCGATTGCAACAACACAAGTTATAGTTCGTGAACATCGATAGCCGCATGTAATTTGTTTTCATTTGTTTTGAAGAAACAATTGATCGATCAAATATTTATTATTTTCGACCTAATGTTGATCAGTCAACTTCTGGCACACAGTGGACTTGATTTGATATATACCTAGTTCTTGTTTACATACATTATTGTTTTGATGTCAGTATAATATACCCTTTTTAAAGAAAGTGAGTAGGTGGGAAACACAAGAATTGTCTGACCCGTGACGACATGGGTTCCCACTGGTCTTCAGCAACCCATGCTTGTTGTATATATGAGGCTACTAACGGGATCGGGCCCGGGGGCGGTGGGGTAGCCTAGTAGGTAAAGCGTTGGATCGTCACGCCGAAGACCCGGGTTCGATTCCCCACATGGGTACAATGTGTGAAGCCCATTTCTGTTGTTCCCCACGGTGATATTGCTGGAATATTGCTAAAAGCAGCGTAAAACCAAACTCACTCGCTCGCTCGCTCGCTCACTAACGGGATCGGGTGGTCAAATTCGTTGACACATGTCATCGTATCCCAGTTGCGTAGATCGATGCTTGTGCTGTTGATCACCGGATTGTCTGGCCCAGACTCGATTATTTACAGACAGTCGCCATATAGCTGGAATATTGCTGAGTGCAGCGTTAAACAACAAACCAACAAAAAACAACTTCTCGCGACAACAAACCAACCAACCAATCAATTGTCTGTCACTGTCCATAAGCTAGCAATATCCATTTACAAAACACTGAAAAAATAGATTCTACACCACATTTGGAAACCATGCTTTTGTTTTCTGAAAACTGTATATCGTTTCATATTTTAGCACTACCCTGGGTATGGGTCTTATGTGTAATAGAAACTCAGAAATTAAAAAAATATGTACAAAATAAAGTACATGTATAATGATTTTACTTTCAAATCCGGTCTCCGAGGTATCTCATATCATTGACTCGATGGTGTCACTGTCCTCTAGACTGACATGCCTGATCACGGTGTTATTCAACCAATCAATCAGTCACGACGATGTGTATTTCACTACCAATCAATCAGTCACGACGATGTGTATTTCACTACCAATCAATCAGTCACGACGATTTGTATTTCACTTGCATGTGTATAAGTCGGCGGTAAACACTAGAACTACCGGCACACTAAATTAGTGTTTGATGTTGACTGTGTACAATCTATTAACTCAGTGACTTCGGTTTTAAAGTCAATATTGACTTTACTCTTATATGAAAGGCACCTAAGTTATTACAGCGTACAACGTATGTCTAAACTCTCTCAACATTAACGTCTAGTTGATAGCATTTGAAATGGTGGCCCGGTGTAAAATATCAACAAATTTGTTAGAAGATTACTATAGTGTCTGTGACGCGGATTTTACCAAACGAATGTAACATTTGTAACCAAAAGAAGTCTAACCCAAATTTTGTAAAATCGTCTGACACATTCATGTAATTGATGTGTTCCTTAGCAACACAGGAAGTCAATAGACTCGTCAACTACATACGAAATAATGACAGTCTTTGTTTAGAGTTCCAAAATATTTTCTATTTGGCGAAAGAAAGACAAATATGCTACACACGAAGTTAAGACATTCGTGTAATTCATTACATGCAGATCTTTTTCGTGTTAATCTATCAGAGAGTAGAGCTTGCAATTGTGGTGCTCCTGTGGAAGATGCTAACCATTTCTTTTTAAAATGTCCAAAATTTGTCAACTGCCGTTTTGATCTGAAGCAAGACTTTGAACTATCAAAAGTTCAAATGCTATTAATGAAAATATCTTTAGACATGTGCATATATACATTGTACGAAGTAAGCGCTTCGATTAATGGATAATATGACCTAATGTTATTATGTCCATTTGTTATTGTTCATGTTTCTGATGGGAGCGGGCGGTAATAAGTTACATAACTTGTGCCCAATCCATTTCAACACTGAATAAAATATGTTCAAACAATGTTTATGTTTCGTCAACAACAGGATGTGTATTACCTCCACAATAATGTCTCTATGACGTCAACAACAGGATATGTATTACCTCCACAATAGTGTCTCTATGACGTCAACAACAGGATGTGTATTACCTCCACAATAGTGTCTCTATGACGTCAACAACAGGATGTGTATTACCTCCACAATAGTGTATCTATGACGTCAACAACAGGATGTGTATTACCTCCACAATAGTGTCTCTATGACGTCAACAACAGGATATGTATTACCTCCACAATAGTGTCTCTATGACGTCAACAACAGGATGTATTACCTCCACAATAGTGTCTCTATGACGTCAACAACAGGATGTGTATTACCTCCACAATAGTGTCTCTATGACGTCAACAACAGGATATGTATTACCTCCACAATAGTACCTCTGTCTCTATGACGTCAACAACAGGATGTGTATTACCTCCACAATAGTGTCTCTATGACGTCAACAACAGGATGTGTATTACCTCCACAATAGTGTCTCTATCTATGACGTCTCATGACGTCAACAACAGGATATGTATTACCTCCACAATAGTGTCTCTATGACGTCAACAACAGGATATGTATTACCTCCACAATAGTGTCTCTATGACGTCAACAACAGGTCAACAACAGGATATGTATTACCTCACACAATAGTGTCTCTATGACGTCAACCAGGATATGTATTACCTCCACAATAGTGTCTCTATGACGTCAACAACAGGATGTGTATTACCTCCACAATAGTGCCTCTATGACGTCAACAACAGGATGTGTATTACCTCCACATTAGTGTCTCTATGACGTCAACAACAGGATATGTATTACCTCCACAATAGTGTCTCTATGACGCCAACAACGTCTGGATCACATTTACAAAAGTGTCTGCATTATGTCCTCAGTAGTGTCTGAATTACGTCAACAATAGATCATTAGTTATTTGTTAGTGGCCGTCTGACGTCAACATCAATGTCCGAATTTAGTGTGAAATCATAAATACAAATGTGTTTCAAACCACCTTCGTAAAATAGTGATCAGTGACTCGCATCTATATGCATAGTGACAAACACAGGGTTTAGTCGAGCTGGTCTGCAGGGCGAGTTTTGTCGAGTTGGTCTGGAGGGTGAGTTTAGTCGGGTTGTTCTGGAGGGCGAGTTTAGTAGAGTCGGTCTGCAGGGCGAGTTTAGTCGAGTTGGTCTGGAGGGGGAGTTTAGTCGAGTTGTCTGGAGGGCGAGTTTAGTGGAGTTGGTCTTGAGGGCGAGTTTAGTGGAGTTGGTCTGGAGGGCGAGTTTAGTAGAGTCGGTCTGTAGGGCGAGTTTAGTGGAGTTGGTCTGGAGGGCGAGTTTAGTGGAGTTGGTCTGGAGGGCGAGTTTAGTAGAGTCGGTCTGGAGGGCGAGTTAAGTCGAGTTGGTCTGGAGGGCGAGTTTAGTGGAGTTGGTCTGGAGTTTAGCGAGTTTTAGTAAGTCGAGTTGGTCTGGAGGGCGAGTTAAGTCGAGTTGGTCTGGAGGGCGAGTTTAGTGGAGTTGGTCTGGAGGGCGAGTTTAGTGGAGTTGGTCTGGAGGGCGAGTTTAGTGGAGTTGGTCTGGAGGGCGAGTTTAGTGGAGTTGGTCTGGAGGGCGAGTTTAGTCGAGTTGATCTGGAGGGCGAGTTTAGTCGAGTTGGTCTGCAGGGCGAGTTAAGTCGAGTTGGTCTGGAGGGCGAGTTTAGTGGAGTTGGTCTGGAGGGCGACTTTAGTCGAGTTGGTCTAAAGGGGCAGCATGACTGGTGTTGTCAAACACATAAACGTAATTTAAAAACGTGTACGGTGTCATGTTCTAAGGATATCAGACACATCCCTTATTTATAATAATAGTAATGTATTGTAAAGTTCGTCAAGGAGAACTTCTGAGGTTCTTCCAAACAACATTACTCAACATTCGCTTAAGTAAGTTGTTGAGGTGAGTGAGTCAGTTTGGTTTTACGCCGCTTTTAGCAATATTCCAGCAACATCACGGCGGGGGACACCAGAAATGGGCGTCACACATTGTACCCATTGGGAATCGAACCCGGTCTTCGGCGTGACGATCGAACGCTTTAACCACTAGGCTACCCCACCGCCCTGGTTGAAGAGAGAGTGAGGTGGGTTACACTCTCGTTTGAACACCATTTCGGTTCTTCTCCTTTCTGTATCTTATCTTATATTCGATGACAAAGAAATCCAGTGTCGTTTTCGCCAATTTAGCGACGTTCTGATACGGTGACGCTGCAGCATCATACTTTGTGTCGTCAATACGTCCCAGTGATGGAGAAACGCAGTGTACAATAAAACATGTGGATTATTGCCAATGCATCCTTTGTCAAAGAGTCTGGTGATTACAATGCGTGTAATTGTAGGTCATGGCGCTTTGACGGCAACACTCACTCACTCATGATGTCAATCACTGGACTGTCTGGTCCAGACTCGATTATTTACAGCCCGCCGCCATATGGCTGGAATATTGCTTAGTGCAGCGAGTACAACAAACAAAGTCCCAGTATTTTTCGTAGTAAGACTGTTGTAGTACAGAGACATAATCATGGTGTTACAGTCCCCATGGCCTATTGTGGATTGGTCAACCACTGGACTGTCTGGTCCAAACTCGATTATTTACAGCCCGCCGCCATATGGCTGGAATATTGAGTGCGGCGTAAAACTAAACTCACTCACTCACTCACTACAGCCAGCCGCCATATGGCTGGAATATTGAGTGCGGCGTTGAACAGCAAACAAGAATACTCACTCACTCACTCAGGAATTCATACCTTATGCCTAGAATATCTGCATGTACCGTAATGTCATACAGATGTACTTTGCGTACTTTACATCTGTTTCCAAGTGTGTATTTGCTTTGGTATCCCTGACTATCGTTTAGTACTGTGTTGTTTTCAGGGCAATATTTACAACAGGTAATGCAAGATATATACATACTCTCTCTCTCTCTGTGTGTGTGTGTGTGTGTGTGTGTGTGTGTGCGTGCGCGCGTAAAGGAAATATAATCATGACAACAAAATAATTGTACATAATATCTACTGGCATGGAAGATACTCTACAAAATCCTCATGTACATTGCCAGTATCTCAGTATCTCATTACACAGTAAGAAAACGGTTCATAAATTATAATCATAAACTATAATGTAACGGAGCCCAGAGACATTCTTCATTTTCAGAAACTTCAACTGTGGTAATCTAGATTTGCCCCATATTCTAGACTTGCATGAGCTTTCTTGTACATATTAATACTTTGTTCCAGGGTCTGTATAACAGACTAATCTGTACTTACCCCAAGAGTTCTTGCCAGACAACTGCAAAATATAAAAGATGACACGTCATTCACTCAATATACCAAACTGATACATACCTTTTTTTCTGAACTTCAGTTTAGAAGTTTAAAATATCATTATAGATCTCTCCGGCTGATATATTTCCATTCTGTTGGTCAACACCCTGGGCCCACTCACTACCTCTACTTCGTTTGGAACCCGGGTCGAGAGAACTTTCCGTCCAATCAAATTACTCCCACGAGCGAGATCAAGACTGTGCAAGGTTAGTGATAGGAGAAAATGGACACATAATGGAGGTCTGGTACGCTCTTTAATCGAGGATGTTTATACACAGTACTCGTGAGTACAGCAAACGTTTACAGTGAAACCTCGTTGTTCCAGACGCCGTAAGCACAGATCGCTCATTTTGACGTAAGAACGTTTGTGTAAATCGTTCGCTCGTCACGCCGAAGACCTGGGCTCGATTCCCCACATGAGTACAATGTGTGAAGCCCATTTCTGGTGTCCCCGGCCGTGATATTGCTGAATAATTGCTAAAGGCGGCGTAAAACTATACTCACTCACTCGGTATGTCCGATGTGTCTGCAGGCACACTAACTCGAAATAAAGGCATTGAATTCATAGATTCAATCAGTGTCTAGATGTTGTCATCAGCACCATGTTTAATATGACGTTAAGGCACTATTTTGGTTTTGTTGTGATTCATTTTATGAGGGCCGATCTATACACCGTCAGGGAACGATGTCATAAGTCAGCCATGACACCAAGCCTGCTCTACCATATTATCAAGTCTCTTACGACCTGTATGGGTTGCTAGGGGCCTATTCTAACCCACAGGGTGTGTGATTATTAGCAGAATCATAAAAATTGGAAATAGAAGTACACACATAAACGAAATGGAGTTTCAATAAGTGGTATTCAGCTTAGTGGAACGGCCATTTTGTTCGCGCCCAGTTCCCCGTCAAAATGGTTCACGAACACTGAACGCGTACAATGAAAGTAAGTATGGCTGAGCTGTCGGTCAAATCATGACTGTGCCTACTTTCCACCTGATTGGATTACCTGCAATTACCTCCTGCATATACCGTAGTTCCTCCGTGGTTTGCGGGAAAGAAATGAAGAAAGAAATACAAGGAGTGGCTGAGAAGTTCTGAACCTAAGATAGGCTGTGTTGTTTCAGTACAAACTCCTCCCAGTTCCACAGTTTTGTTGGGGCGGTGGGGTAGCCTCGTGGTTAAAGCGTTCGCTCGTCACGCCAAAGATCCGGTTCGATCCCCACATGGGTACAGTGTGTGGTATCCCCCGCCGTGATATTACTGGAATGTTGCTAAAAGCGGCGTAAAACCATACTCACTCACTCACAGATTAATGCCAACGATATTGGAAAGCCTGGACCCCACTAGACTAACGTTTAGTCTCTGAATATATATATTTTTGATACAAACATATACTACCTATTAAATTGTAAAGGAGCCCCAGTGAGATGGGAGATAAACCTGACGAGATCTAGACTTGCTTCATTTATGGCTAATGCGGTTCAGGGACTGTGAGACAGGCTAGGATACCACTGATGTAGAAGGAATCATGTCGGGGTGGCACAAGTCAATCACGTTCAAAAATGACATTATCATCAATTCAGTAATGCATGTGTTGTATAACTCTGTGTTCAGTATCCTAATCGCAACTAGAAAACAACAGGCATTATCTCCCCTTCATGAAATAATTTCCAAGCCATTGATTCATACGAATACCCAAGTGAACTGAACCTAGAGGGCGCTAAGAACTAAGACGTCAGCTGGCATAAGCTGATTGTGTTTTGCATTTCCTTAGATCCCAGTGCTCAGACAGACGCAAATGGAATGTCCAAAAGTAACAGATAATCCTCTTAGCTCGAGGGGCGGTGGGGTAGCCTAGTGGTTAAAGCGTTCGCTCGTCACGCCGAAGGCTCGGGTTCGATTCCCCACATGGGTACAATGTGCGAAGCCCATTTCTGGTGTCCCCCGCCGTGATATTGCTGGAATATTGCTAAAAGCGGCGTAAAATCCAACTCACTCACTTTTAGCTCGAATTTTAACCTCTAAAACTTGCTTCTATAAGAGTAAATACGGTATCATATACCTAGCTTTCCAAGTCGCGAGGTTAATTAACAAGCGAAGACTTGACAGAGTAAACTACCCCGTCGTGTCACCAACATACTTCAAACTTCATTTCAACGCCCGAAATACATTTTAAAAAAGTATTTAGTTCTGATACAATGCATGCATTATGCATACATCTTTTGTCGAAAAAAACCCTGCTGGACTTGGCATACACATGTATTAAGTTCTCAAAGCGTGACATTTTCTTTGAGACGAGACCTACGTGGTTACCTGTGAATGTAAACTGAAACTAGAATTCAGCAGCGCTAGCACGTTTGAGTCAGTGGGTTCAAACTTTACTCTATATCTTGTAACTCCAATTCCATGATAAAGACTACTTACTTTAAAGTTCAAAGCCAAATAAATGTTTTTCTTTTAAGATTAGTTTGAAAGCTTAGTCAAACTGACGGTCTGAAAATAGGCTCCAGTCCCGTATCTTTAAGTCTGAATCCCGACTCACTTACACCACTTACTGACTAAAGAGACGATAATGTCATTTGTCTCTTTAGTCAGTGGGTTGGGTCAGTGAGTCGCTTATTACGCCGCTTTTAGCAATATTCCAGCAATATCTCAGCTGGGGACACCAGAAATGTGCTTCAAACATTGTAACCATGTCGAATCGAACCGGACCTTCGGCGTGACGAGCGAACGCTTCAACCACTAGGCTAACCCACCACCCTTTAGTCAGTGACATGTGCTACAAACACCATCGGTACGTTGCGGTTTTGGTCCAGTTTGAGCAATATTCCCATCACAACAGGACCGATGACGTCAAACATGGGGCTCGTGGATAGTTCCCTGTCATGATCTGTGGTGTCACTTTCAAGTGAACCATACCACCCGTTGATAGACATTAATTTGATCTACCGTAAAATCTCTAGTTAATGAACAACATTAGCATAGTTTTAGCGATATTCCATCAATATCACGGGGGACATCGGGAATGGGCTCAACACATTGTACACATGGGAAACAAACTCTGTCACACCTCCTTAATGAACACAGGTATATACAATTATGAAACTGATAGACCACGTTTCTTTACAGTAGTAGCTAAAACGAAATTAGTTTCTTTAGCTCGCCGGGCCCTCTTGCACAAAGGTATCATCTAGGCTATACTTTCTTACATGGACTTTAACATTAACGTACAGTAACCATGGTGATAAGATCGTTTTGTTAGTCACTAACTCACCAACCAGCCAACACAGTTACTCACTCACAAACGATATTATCCCACCACTCACTCACAAACGATATTATCCCACCACCCACTCACTCACTCACAAACGATATTATCCCACCACTCACTCACTCACAAACGATATTATCCCACCACTCACTCACTCACAAACGATATTATCCCACCACTCACTCACTCACAAACGATATTATCCCACCACCCACTCACTCACAAACGATATTATACCACACCCACTCACTCATAAATGATATCATCACACCACTCACTCATAAACGATATTATCACACCACTCACTCACTCACAAACGATATTATCACAACACTCACTCATAAACGATATTATCACACCAGTCACATGGAATAAGACTCTACTTCAAATGGCTTCTACTGACATGACACTATCATTGGGAGTTACAAATAAAGTTACACAACCAACCCCAATTCATCCCACTTGAGAAATCCTCTCCGTCTCGGGTACTTGATGTGGAATATAGCCATCCTGTAGACTCTTCTGTCAGTATCCTGCTGGATCTAGCGTTATTCACCCAGCATCTTGGCTCGCTTCTCTTGTCTCAGTATCCTTTGATTTCCCACTGACAGACACTGAAAATACATTCATCAATCATTGTCACCTATCATACTGTCTGTGCAAGTGTGTAATTATGATGATGATGAGGAGGATGACGGTGTTGATGACGATCGTGATGATGGCGGTGATAACGACGACGGCGATGGTGGTGGTGGTGGTGGTGATGGCGGTGATGTCGACAACGACCATGACGATGACAACGATGATGATAATGATGATGATGATGATGGCCCCTTCATTTCACGCCCTATTTTATACATTGCCCCAAATCTGCAACACCCTCACCCCATCTAAATCTGTACCCCACCCATCTATAACACACCTTCCCATCATAACCTAGGCCAATAACGCCCACCCCGATCACAACCAAACTCATGTATAACACGTGACCCAGTCACTACACCACCCACATATAACACCCCACCGATCTATAACACCCACACCAACCTAATACACCCCGCCGACGTAATACACACCCACATCTATATAACCCCACCGATCCACCGATCTATATACCGACTGTAACACCACACATCTATATAACACCCCACCGATCTATAACACCACATATCTATATAACACCCCACCGACCTAATACACCACACCGTCCTAATACCATCATATTTTCCTCAAGCCACAATAAGACGCCACCCCGTCTTCATCTCAACACATCCTTAACAACCCACCCCATCACCACCCCCACATATCTCGCATATCTCATCTCTACCCACCCGTATATAACGCCCCCACCCCTGACACAATATCAAAACACACACACCATCATTACCCCAAACACCTTTAACACGTCCACCTACCACTACCCCACCGCTCTATAACACCCCGCCCTCACATCAAGAAATATACCTTACAGTACCTAAATTCTCCTCTAAGATGAGACAGCCACAATTTGGTATTTCATGAAGATCGGTGCCAGGTGGAACCTTGCTCCTGGTAATACCAAACTACAATGATCTATCTCTGTTTCATACACTGATACCTTAACCAGTTACCAGGATACATCCCGTCCACCCCCTTCCCCGGCTCCCCACCCGGTGTGTGCACAACAAATCGATAAAAGCTATAAAACCTGCCTCTGGTTCTACCTAATAATTTCTGGTCAGTTAACCATTATATATTTTTTTTAGGCACCGTATTCCTGGATACGTCCGATTAAAACACTGCATGACAACGGAGCTCGAAGTCGTTCGGAGTGTTGGTACCCATTGTTTGGTGCTATAAGGCACGCTGGACGTAATTATGGCGAGCTATTGGACTTGTTAGTCAGCAAATAGCTATATCATGATCTCAGGCACGATACAAAACCATTACTATGGACAGATCGCTGGAGATGTAATTTCCTGAATCAAATCTGTTTGGGTGGAATTATTGACTTGGATGATCTGTACATTGATTTGATAACGATAAAACAAATATAGATGAACGGATGATTGTAATGTTGTTGGTTAATGTAAAATTTTGTTTAATAATAAATATTTCCTCCATTATTTTTGTATTAAAGTTTTCCATGTAGCGGACGTTGAAACAGCTCATAGGATCCAAACTGACTGATGCTCACGATATCGGTCACTGGATCACCTGGTCCAGATTCGTCACATAGCTTTACTATTAATGAATGCGGTGTTAAACAACAAACAAACAAACAAACAAACAAATCCGACCATGTAATCAACACGTTCTTGTAACCTCCACCGACACCTATCTTATAGCCATACATTATATTACTACACAATAACATCAGCGGTCACATGGTACGTTTTGTGTCCTACATTGTGTCATGAACATTGAATATGAAATATCTTTACTTACTATATTCTTATATCAACCTGTGTACATTGAAGTCAGTGCTGATTCTGTCGTTAGCCATTGTACCTACCTGTAATCACGAAGGCTTCTTTCAATAAGTCACCTTAATCCTCATATTGTTACTAGGCGTTAATCCATAATCCCCTCGCCCCTGTCTGAATCACGGAGTGGACAAAGCACACATTTCCCACCCCCACGGGCTGTATGCTTCACCCCAGGGTAGTCACGTTTAGAGAGTCCAGTTAAACAGTAAATCAGAATATGACGATATTTCAATCACCATTCACAAAATCTGGTATATGCCTTTCACTTCTTTCTGTTCCACATGCCTTTCCATATTGATGTTTTTCAGCTGATCAACAGGTCACAAAATTCCAAATGCGATCTGGAAATATTCCGGGCAACTGTAAATGTTCATAGAGCACAATCTGAGAGTATCCGTTGCAGTTGGAAGGATCGAGTCACTTGTCATTTCACTGTCATACGAACTGGGTAAAACGGTCGCCCATGTCCAACACAGTGATACTCCGTTGATTGATAGTTATTTGATTAAGTGAGCGAGACAGGTAAATACAGCCCGTTACCTGGTCTCATGGAAGTATTCGCAACCATCGCCTAGAGTTCGTGTTGTGTATTACCGTTTGTACATTTCACTACTCTTACAGTCAAACCGCCCTGCAATGTACCACAAAGCTGTCAATCACCGTCCAATGCCGTTTCGCAATCGACATACAAGAGCTTCAACAAAAAGCCGACAATCAAAAAGTTCGATAATACAAATCACACGAAGTTGATATCAAAAACGTTATTGAATTCTACGACCGTCGATTTCATTACAATCGATGTGTGAATGGCGAATGTCAAATAATTTACAGCCTTTATGTTTGTCCAACTGTAGTCACGTGACCTTAGAACTTATCGGTAATCCGATAATCTCGTTTTCTTTACTTATAGTGTCGCATTCTACAATAACTCACGGTATGGCAGTAGACTATCACTGCTAGTGTCATAAACGTTTTTATGAAAGCATTGGAACGCGCACCGACCCTTGACTAAAGCAGAGCGTCGCTACTCACAGGTTCTGCTGGTCGCCAAGCCGTTGTTACCTAATAAATCCGTTCCCTACTTCTTGAAGACTTTCTCCTTTATCTGACGTTCTAAGAATATATTGCCAATGTAAGGCAAATATTCAGTGTCCATGAGTGTTTGTGCTGTTGTTTGTTGGAACGCATCGGTTTATTGTCAGGTGACCCAGTGTTGAAAGTGTTGTTATTTATTAGATATAGTGAGTAGGCTGTTTGTGTATTGATAGCTTTTATGGCTCTAACTTATGGCCTTTTGTTATAGGTGTATAGTTTAGATAAATAGAAAATGAATACCGGTATGATATTGGAATTCCCAAAGTAAAAAAACAGTCAGTTAAACAACCCCCAAAACGTAACAAACAAAAAAAACAACAAAACAAAACAAACAAAAAAACAAAAAAGAAGAAAACATCACCCTTAGTCATAATATGAGACAGTTTTCTTTCTTCAATTTCGAGCATCCTAAAAAATTATTTGGATTCATAGATTATTCGAGGAGTGCTTTCATTTTAGCCCTGAAATAAAACATCCCACTTAAGGTAGTAAACAGCACGAGTCGACCTGCTGTAGATGCATTGGTGGGGCACTTCTAACTGATAACAGCGCTCTTAAGTACGCTCTTTAAATCCGTTGACGTTAACTTTGTCATGAAATAGTTGGGGATTTGAAAAATGCGAATCAGATTGAAAAGAAACGTCGGTCACGTAGCACGGCTGATACGTCAGGGATATCAACCAGGCTGTACCAAGCGATAAGGTAGAAACGTTTGTTAGATAAGCTAGGGTCCACCCTTGAGTATACTTACGAAATGGTCTTTACTGAGGGATATAAAGCGGTTTAAGGAAATGTGATTATGGCATTAAGTAGTCTGATACAAGATTATAAATTGAGCTTGACATAGGGAGGTAAAAGCTATAGGGATAGTGCACAACTGGCTTGTCAGTTCTAAGTGAGTGAGTGAATATGGTTTTACGCTGTTTTAGCAATAATCCAGCAATATCACAGGGACACCAGAAATGGGCTTCATATATTGTACACCTGTGGGGAACCGAACCCGGGTCTTCGAAGTGACGAGCGAACGCTTTAACTACTAGGCTACCCTACCGCCCGTCAGTTCTAAGGAGCTTAAACCAAAAAATAAATGTTGCACGAATGAGTGAACTTAGTTTTACACCGCACTCAGCAATATTCCACCTATATGGCGGCGGTCTGTAAATAATCGAGTCTGGACCAGACAATCCAGTGATCAACAGCATGAGCATTGATCTAAGCAGTTGGGAACCGTTGACATGTTTCAACCAGGTCAGCGAGCCTGACCACCCAATCCCGTTAGTCGCCTCTTACGACAAGCATGGGTTACTGAAGATCAATATTCTAAAATGTTGTACGAAATAGACTAAATGTATATTTCAAAAGCTGAAATTGAAACTTATTTTGACGTGATAACAACTTAATTCGGTGTGTTGTTGTTGTGAAATGGCAGTCACTGTTGACGAACTGTGTGGTCCTGTGCATAGAGATCAGGTCACAGAGTCTTTGGATGGGTGACTGTGTTTGGCAGCTTGAATCCTGAGAGTTTCTAGGACTTCAGTCCTGCCCCACAACGAAGCACATGTGATACATGTGGTCTCACCTAAGGCAAGTGAGTCTGTTCAAATTGCCTCTGTTCACCCAGCAGAAAATGGGTACCCGGTTGGATAAGTCATGTGACTATTTAACCTTCTAGCCCCTAACAGGCATCTTGGGTTATCCGGGGTAATAGTGTGTCAGCGCAAGTTTGAGCATGCACACGTGTGTGGAAACAGGCGCTTAATAAATTGCCGTTATTTTTAATTATTACAAAGAATTACAAAGAATGTTAATGTTCAAATGGGAATAACCATCAGTGAATAATGACCTATCCATCAAACTTGTGACTAGGCGCACAGCCAACGGATTCTGATGTCAGGTAATAGAGAAACTAGTTTCCCTACGGGTTCCTCGCGGTCCATGACAAGGTCCTATTGGACAAAACCGAGCATAGTATATTCATGACAAGTCACTATAACAAGAATGGCCCTGATATTGATCTATATAATTAATTCCCGGGGTTAATCCCCCGGAGATGAGACCCATTCTCCTCATCGTGAGTCCGGATTTAGCGTTAATCCCTTGTATAGGAAACCCATTAACCCCGTCCAGTTAAATAGGTGTACATTGATTAATTAATGAGTTGTTTTGGTGATAAGGGGGCGCGGGGAACATAGTCACTTTGCAGAGTTGCGTTCCTTGTAGGCGTAGCAGGATCCTGTGATCATGGGTTCGAATCCCTCTTTTCAACCTGAGTATGGTCTTTGGTTTGTCAGTACCATGTCTTTAAGGTTCATCAACATGCTAAACGTGTCTTCAACCTTACTACTTCCGGTTCTTGCCCCATTTTTAACTGGAACACGGTCACTTGCTTGTTTGCGGTGTTTGAATCTGCACCGAAACGTCGCCCCTCGTAAATAAGTTGTTTATCCATAAATAGTATCCTTAGTTACGAAACAGTCATTTTTCCTTAATCAAGTCTGTCACTTAACGAAATTTTGGTGATTGCGGCATAAACAAATATTCAATTTAATTCACTCTTGAAGATCCTGTAGACAACTGGTGTTCACAAAAGGCGGTAGTCTTGGTAGTCAGGTTCACGGGGCGGAGCCTACTAATGCCTACAGGGAATAACGCCTACATGATATAAACAACTTTACGCACCAATGGTTTTCAATTTTACTACTTTCAACCTTTCATTAAAGTGGAATGTCCCATTTGAGTGTACACTTTTGCCGACAGTATATACAGAACAAAGACTTTCTATGTTGATGAACCATTTATTCGTCAATCATTAGTGTTAATTTTTGTTTTCATTCATTTTTCGTACACCAGTTTTGTACACCTATTTCACACTGTTGTGAATTTCATTTTTATCTTTAAATTTTACACATTTTTCACACTGTCATAACATTAATGTTTTACACAATTTACATACATTTACTCTAATTTAATTATTAAGTGTCCGGCAGCTGACAGGAATACCAGTGGTGTCTTCACCCCAGATATCATTTGATCCTTGATTCGTGTGAGCTTGTGGTCGAGTTATGTGTACTGCCTCTTGCGGCGTGGGGGGCCATGCGCCATCTGGACTAGCTTGTTCCTCTGTAACACCTTCACAAAAGAGAAAATGTTAGGATGTGCTCGTTGAACGATCTTGTTGAGGTGTGAATGCCATCCCTCGAGATGATTATTCGTCCTCGGGTCTCATGGTGATTCCACAATCCTGCACGGTCACTTGTGAGTTGTGACGAAGTAGAGAATCTTGTCCATCATAAGTCTCTTTGAAGCAGTCTGGTAGGTTCACCTAGCATCCCAGTGAGAGGCAGTACACAGAACTCGACCAGAGGCTCACTCGACTCATGGAATGGAAGGACTTGACTGTTGCCGCTTCATCTCTGTCCAATCTCGAAATCTCCTCATCGTAGATGCCTTGTACTGGGGTCGTCTCAGCCTTCACCTGCAGAGAACTAGCAATCTTCAGAGCTACCTGATCTTAAACAAACAAATCTCAATCACAAAATCTGGTAATCGAAACACGAAACACGAACCGCCGCCGTGGCGTGGTAGACAGAGAGGTTCGATCCCCTGGCCGCACAATGACGTGATGGTGGTAGATCTACTTCTTGTTACTCTGCATGGTAAACGGGGAGCTTCTGGCTTCGATTCAATACAGTGTATCGGAGTTGGATATGGGCCTTAAAAAGGCGCATGATTTCTCAGCGGCAAGCCCCACAAAACTGGCATGTTGTCCGGCCCACACACACACACGCACGCGCGCACGCACGCACACGCACACAAACGTGCGAATGCAGGCACACGAGCACACTCGCTTGCATGATTGATATAATCATGGACGCAGCGTAAAATCCCGTTTCCCTCACTTATAAACTGACTTACAAAAGAAAGTACACACCTAGTGCTTTTGGATGACTTTCCAAAGAGCGACGTAAATGTTTTGAAAAGACTTTTTACAGTAATATATAAGTCACAGTTTTTCCTAATATGTTGCCAAAACACCACAGATATCGTGCCCAATTGCGAAGTTGCCAGTCAAAATCACAACACTTTTCAAATAATCCCAAAACACCATGTGTGTACTCTCTTTTGTGCGTCAGTTTAGATTAAGAGATTTCATTATGCTCCCGGCATCGAAGTCAACAGGGAGTACGGTTTACTTGTGTCAAGGTTACTGGCATGCCTAGGGGGACGCAACTCTGCACAGCGAATGTGACTAGGTCACATATGCCCCTTCCTGTTGAAAATCTAAGTGTGTCTTATTTCTTGAGTAGAAAGATTTGCCCTTTGCGCGCACAGCAGAGGAGTATCGTAAAATATCCGACTTGAAAATATGTAAATATCTGAGAGGTTCGATCCCAATATAATGTAGTAATAATACCAATATCAAATGTTTTTTGCATGTATATGGAACAGATCGCAATGGAGATGCAGTTTTTCATTGAACACATTTGCTTAACATTGCTCCTTTTCTTGAAGATGAACGAATGCTCTGACGATACTGTCCATCGATACTATTCCTCTACTTTGGCGGACATCTAACGTTATCCCTGTTCCCCAAATCCCTCTGTTGATAACGATTGTTTTGGCATCCATACCAATGAAATGCCTTATTATAATAAAAATACCGTATTTCCTCTGATAAGCGCCGAGACTGGAGGTCCATGGAAAAAATTAAGCGCCACGGTACTTTTAAGACAGACTGAACATTTACTTACCTAATATCAGTTTGCCTGGGAAAGTGAGTGAGTGAGTGAGTTTTGGTTTTACGCCGCTTTTAGAATATTCCAGCTACATCACGGCGGGGGACACCAGAAATGGGCTTTACACATTGTACCCATGTGGGGAATCGAATCCGGGCCTTCGGCGTGACGAGCGAACGCTTTAACCACTAGGCTACCCCCACCTCCCCTTGCCTGGGACAGGAAGCAGGAAGAGGAGTAGAGGAACATCTTTAAAACGTCCTATTCATTTGTACGAATCTTGTTTGCTGGCTTCTCCTCAGCTTGTAACACCATATATCTTCAATTGCTTATGCCAAATGTATTAACATGTCTGTTGATTCAACACAATCAACACTATCAGAGACTTGTCACATAAATAGTTAGACTATGCAAAATATATATAACTTTGGTAGAAAGAAATAATTCCTTATAAATTGAAAAGGATCCCCGGTGAGAAGGGAGACTCAGAACCTGAGGAAATCTAAACCTGCTTCGTTTAGGGCTTTAGCATTGCAGGGAGGACTGGGTATAAGAAGGGAAAATATTGTGGTTCAGGAACTGTGAGACAGACTCCACTGTTGTTGAATGATAGTACGATGCAATAATAATCAAAACGTGAATATATGTTTCTGTACATATCGTTTATTAAGTAAATAAAATAATTTGTATTAACTAAATTAACGAACATGAATGACGGACCATTCTTTCATACAGTTTGCTTCAGTTTCTCTGAATCCGAAATCGTTTTTTTTCCGGAACGGGAACGTAAAAGGAAAGATAACTCTAAACTGATGTCGTTCTAGCGCTTGATTGTGTCTCACGATTTCAACTGTAAACGGATTAAAGGTGTGTATGTCAAGAATATATTGTGAACTCTCAATTGGAAAGATTGTATTAGTTTCTGAAACTACTAATTTTGAAAGAGGAAATGTGCATGTCTCCATTCAACTGACCGGTACTACGCAAGACAATCTCTCATCAGTCTCAATCTCATGTTTTCTGAAAACGCACAGAATCTGTCAGACAGATGCCTACCAGGAAACTGATAAGACGAGCTCAGAAGTATCCTAACCGTAAACAAACGCCCTCACATTCATTAATAATATATTTTGGAAACAATAGTAGATGAAGAGATATCTATGTTAATTTATTGGGTAAGTTTTGAAGTTTTTGGTTTCCTAAACATGCCCGAGAACGAATATCAATTAAAAGTAAACATTTTGAATATAATTTATATGGATACCTGCATCATGTGTATATTGGATATTTTGGGCCATACACAAATTAATTAAAGAAAGGATGACTTTAGATACCTTCTGCTGAAAAATACTGGTGAAAACAGGATCCCCTGATTAAGCAAGTTTGTTATCACCTGATCATGCACCTGAATGGCTCCTGAACATAATACTGACTGATTACATTACCATTGTAAGTTGTGTATTCACCAATCAACAACAAAACAGATGTCAGTCTGGCTCCAGCCTTTTAATTTTATGTCCTTTGTAATGCTATCTGTTATGTATTTGTCTTCTGTTCCTAACCATAAATGAACTCGTTTTGTAAAGCACAGCGAATAATACTGAAAACATGTCAAACCAGTTGATATTATACTCCATAATAAGCACATTTTGATTCCACAGAGAAAAGAACTATCTATACTGACAAAATTTGGACTCTTTTAACCCTTTAAAGTAGATGGCAAAAGACATAGAAAAAGTACCAAGAGTTTAAAGCATGTAAGTAAGGCCTCATATACATACCATAGATAGAGAATACTACACGAGGTCTCATTACATACGAATTATACGAAACGAGTGTCCTTCCTATAGTATGCAACTACCCATACGTTGACCACGTGGGTAATAATACTAAATATTTGATAGATAAACTAAGTTATTTTATATATGAATTACATATGTATATGTCATGGTGGAAAGTTCTGTGCATTGTTGTTATGAAATGGGATGCAATGTAAAACAACATTCACTCACCTAGAGTATATTTTTGTTTCCCGACTGCTGTAGAGGAAACATCTCAGTGAGGACAGTATGGCCTCCCTGGAACTAGACCCCATGTTTGTGAAGGCTCTCAAACTGCTGCACTCCCGGAACAAGGACTCGGCTGCTCAACTCAAGGCCATGCTTGACGATGTCATCGCACAGAGGCGGGATCAAAAGGTCTGGCTCATATGAGGCCACACTTTATAATTTATAGTTGACTGATTTTTGTTTTCAGTAATGTTTGTCAAAATATAGATACATTTGTGTAGCTCAGTATATTTATGTTGGACATGAAGTCATTGGGATAGTCCAGTTCAGGACAATTAAATGGTATTAATACATGTACTCTATAAAGTGTAAAATGTTGAGTAGTTATATAGAGTTACATATTTATTTTTTAGCATAAACACCTCCGTGTATAATATGTTTGTATTTGTCAGTGACTACATGTATACAAATCGTTGGATACGATTATATTCTTGTGTGTGATTATATAATCTTTCAAATCATCTTTGAGGTAAACTTTTCTATCCATCAAAGACAGATACACATGATAAAGAGGCAAATAAAATTTGTTCCAAAAACTACTGGACAAAATATATTTTTGCAAAACAGATCTCCAGTTGTTGGGATCTATGAAACTGTCTGTCTTAACTTTTGAACTCATTCTCTCATGTCAATGATACTGTCTGTCTAGGGTGGGTCTAATGAGTCAGAGAAACCCTCCAAGAAGGAGGAAGATGCCAGTCGCAAGCGGGATTCCGAGAAGAGGCACTTAGAGAAGGTGGGTAACCTCCTTTTGTGACTTCTTACCGACACAGGATAGGTGAGATGAGGTGAGGTGAAATTGGGTTTTACATCGTGCCTGAGAATATTTCGCTCATATTATGACGTGCATGCATGTGGATGTATATGTACGGCTGCTTGTACTAGCCTAGACTGAAGCTGGTTTTATAGTGCTAGCCCATTGAGATACCATGCCGCAGTGAAGCATGAATACCCCACTCAGACACATTATACTGACTCCGAGCTGACCAGTCCTTGTTGCACCATTAATGCCGAGAGCCAGGCAGGGACCAACAAGTACGATATTTTAACGTCTTTTGGTATGATGCGGTCGGGGATCGAACCCGCGACCTTCCGCTCTCTGGGCGGACGCTCTAACCACTACACCACGGAGGCGGTCACACAGGATAGGGTTACTAGGAGCATTTGTAGCCCTGGGGCTCCTTTCACAAAGCACCAAGGTGATCGTAAGTCACTAAGGTAACCTTAGTGCAATGTTAAAGAATGGGAGTTAAAGCTAACCTTAGTAAAGGTTGCTTCGTGAAAGGAGCCCCAGTTATCTACATCTCTGAGTTGTGACTGTGTGAGGATGCAATAATCAAAGATCACTTGTGCTTGTCTGTTGCATAAAGCTGATGAGAATGAGAGCAGCAATGTTCTTTCATGTTGCTGGAATATTGCTAAAAGCTGCAGAAAACTAAACTCACTCACTCACTCACTCACTCATGTTTCCTTGTTAGCCCCATGCATGAAATTTAAACAGTGTGCCATGTTACCATGAAATCTTGGTACATGTTAGCAACTGAGAAAAAATATGTAAAACTTAACATATTGCTGAAAAATTTAAACACAGAACTGAAGAAAGGTTTGAACTTTCATTCAACACTAAGCTATAGACCAGACTCAGTCTGACCTGTTTACTTGTTTTGAGTTATTTCTAACACTGGTTACCATGGTTACATGTAGCTCTGGCTCTTGGCCCATTATGTTGGAAACATTACTGATTCACTTCAGTTTTCTCAGAATGTGACAGAGTCCTCGCAGGATTCCAAGAAACCAAGACTAGACTCCCAGGCACCTTCAGAGAAAGAATCGTCCAAATCGAGTCGTGAGAAAGAGAAGGAGCGAGAGAAGGAGAAACAGAGGAAGGAGAAAGAGGCCAAGGAGAAAGAAAGGAAGGTGCAGGAGAAGAAAGAGCAAGAGAGGGAGAGAGCTGAGAAAGAAAGACTGGAGCGAGAGAAGGAGCGAGAGAAAAAGGAAGCAGCAGTAGATGATGAGTCAACGGATGAAGAGAGAAGTATGGATGCAGACGACTTTGCCTTTGACCTTGGAATATCCTGTGTTGTCTGCAGGTAGGTTACCATTCTCAAGTCACACACTTTGACAAATAGGACATTCAGCATATAACAGACGTGATATTTCAGTCTATTGTCATAATGATTACAGTTGTCTGACTTCCATTTTTGTGGAAGTCGTGGGGGCTGAGCGGGTTAGGTGGCTGACTTTGTGTGCTGGCGATTAGGTGCCTGACTCTGAGGGTGTGGGTTCAATCCCGGATGGCACTCTCTCTCCCTCCCTCACTCACATACTAAGGGAAGCTAAAGATTGATAATCGCTTGAAGTATGGACCTTGTTTATATATACAGTGAGACCTTACTTACCACCTAAGTCCTGCCTTCTGGAAAAAATCATTGAACATATGATTTACTATATTACAAGATGCAATTACACATATATCTGTAAAATCTGGTTTGTGGATTTTGTGACCAAAGTGGTCAAATATGCATACAACAATTTCTCTGGCCAGAATGTACTGCTATATGTGTTTATACCAGACATTGATCATTTGATCAAATGATCAAAGTTAAATTGTCATTCGAATGAAACTAAGAGATGCTCAAAATTTAAACATGCTAAATAGTAATATGCAGACATCTTTAGGACCAGCTCAGTAGGTATTCTAGGGTGATGATGTATGGGTTGATGATAAGTGTTGCTTATAAGCATACAAGATACAGAACAATGACGTATTCACCATTTCATGTTCCAGGCAGTTCGATGTCAGTTCTGGAAATCAGCTGGTAGAGTGCCAGGAGTGTCACAATTTGTATCACCAGGTGAGTGGATACTATCTGTATCACCTGGTACATTAAGCTCCATCTCCTGTATCACCTGGTAAGTAGAGCTCCACACCCTGTATCACCTGGTAAGTAGAGCTCCACAACCTGTATCACCTGGTAAGTAGAGCTCCACAACCTGTATCACCTGGTAAGTAGAGCTCCACAACATGTATCATCTGGTAAGTAGAGCTCCATAACTGTATCACCTGGTAAGTAGAGCTCCACAGCCTGTATCACCTTGTAAGTAAAGCTCCACAACCTGTATCACCTGGTAAGTAGAGCTCCACAACCTGTATCACCTGGTAAGTAGAGCTCCACAACCTGTATCACCTGGTAAGGTGTATCATCTGGTAGTAGAGCTCCAACCTGTATCACCAGGTAAGTAGAGCTCCATCTCCTGTATCACCTGGTAAGTAGAGCTCCACAACCTGTATCACCTGGTACATAGAGCTCCACAACCTGTATCACCTGGTATCAGTAGAGCTCCACAACCTGTATCACCTGGTAAGTAGAGCTCCACAACCTGTATCACCTGGTAAGTAGAGCTCCACAGCCTGTATCACCTGGTACAGTAGAGCTCCACAACCTGTATCACCTGGTAAGTAGAGCTCCACAACCTGTATCACCTGGTACATAGAGCTCCACAACCTGTATCACCTGGTAAGTAGAGCTCCACAACCTGTATCACCTGGTAAGTAGAGCTCCACAACCTGTATCAGCTCCACAACCTGTACACCTGGTAAGTAGAGCTCCACAACCTGTATCACCTGGTAGAGCTCCACAAGCTCCACAACCTGTATCACCTGGTAAGTAGAGCTCCCACAGCCTGTATCACCTAGAGCTCCACAGCTCCTGTATCACCTGGTAAGTAGAGCTCCACAACCTGTATCACCTGGTAAGTAGAGCTCCACAACCTGTATCACCTGGTAAGTAGAGCTCCACAACCTGTATCACCTGGTACATAGAGCTCCACAAGAGCTCCAGTAGAGCTCCACAACCTGTATCACCTGGTGCAAGTAGAGCTCCACAACCTGTATCACCTGGTAAGTAGAGCTCCACAACCTGTATCACCTGGTAAGTAGAGCTCCACAACCTGTATCACCTGGTAAGTAGAGCTCCACAACCTGTATCACCTGGTAAGTAGAGCTCCACAACCTGTATCACCTGGTACATAGAGCTCCACAACCTGTATCACCTGGTAAGTAGAGCTCCACAACCTGTATCACCTAGGTACAACCTGTAGTAGAGCTCCACAACCTGTATCACCTGGTAAGTAGAGCTCCACAACCTGTATCACCTGGTAAGTAGAGCTCCACAACCTGTATCACCTGGTAAGTAGAGCTCCACAACCTGTATCACCTGGTAAGTAGAGCTCCACAACCTGTATCACCTGGTAAGTAGAGCTCCACAACCTGTATCACCTGGTAAGTAGAGCTCCACAACCTGTATCACCTGGTAAGTAGAGCTCCACAACCTGTATCACCTGGTAAGTAGAGCTCCATAACCTGTATCACCTGGTACATAGAGCTCCACAACCTGTATCACCTGGTAAGTAGAGCTCCACAACCTGTATCACCTGGTAAGTAGAGCTCCACAACTGTATCACCTGGTACATAGAGCTCCACAACCTGTATCACCTGGTAAGTAGAGCTCCACAACCTGTATCACCTGGTAAGTAGAGCTCCACAACCTGTATCACCTGGTACATAGAGCTCCACAACCTGTATCACCTGGTACATAGAGCTCCACAACCTGTATCACCTGGTAAGTAGAGCTCCACAACCTGTATCACCTGGTAAGTAGAGCTCCACAACCTGTATCACCTGGTAAGTAGAGCTCCACAACCTGTATCACCTGGTAAGTAGAGCTCCACAACCTGTATCACCTGGTAAGTAGAGCTCCACAACCTGTATCACCTGGTAAGTAGAGCTCCACAACCTGTATCACCTGGTAAGTAGAGCTCCACAACCTGTATCACCTGGTAAGTAGAGCTCCACAACCTGTATCACCTGGTAAGTAGAGCTCCACAACCTGTATCACCTGGTAAGTAGAGCTCCACAACCTGTATCACCTGGTAAGTAGAGCTCCACAACCTGTATCACCTGGTAAGTAGAGCTCCACAACCTGTATCACCTGGTAAGTAGAGCTCCACAACCTGTATCACCTGGCTCCACAACCTGTATCACCTGGTAAGTAGAGCTCCATAACCTGTATCACCTGGTAAGTAGAGCTCCACAACCTGTATCACCTGGTAAGTAGAGCTCCACAACCTGTATCACCTGGTAAGTAGAGCTCCATAACTGTATCACCTGGTAAGTAGAGCTCCACAACCTGTATCACCTGGTAAGTAGAGCTCCACAACCTGTATCACCTGGTAAGTAGAGCTCCACAACCTGTATCACCTGTATCAGCTCCTGGTAAGTAGAGCTCCACAACCTGTATCACCTGGTAAGTAGAGCTCCACAACCTGTATCACCTGGTACATAGAGCTCCACAACCTGTATCAGTAGAGCTCCACAACCTGTATCACCTGGTACATAGAGCTGGTAAGTAGAGCTCACAAACTGTATCACCTGGTACATAGAGCTCCACAGCCTGTATCACCTGGTAAGTAGAGCTCCACAACCTGTATCACCTGGTAAGTAGAGCTCCACAACTGTATCACCTGGTAAGTAGAGCTCCACAACTGTATCGCCTGGTAAGTAGAGCTCCACAGCCTGTATCACCTGGTACATAGAGCTCCACAACCTGTATCACTAATGATTACAATGTCAAGGTCAGTGTAAGAATGGCTTAATGTAGATTCTGTGACATATAAATTGATTTGCAAACAGTGATTAAAAATATTCAAAATTTCTCAGAAATAAGAAAATGTGTCAAACCCAACTCACTCTGGTAAAACTGTATGGTGAGACCAGATCATAAACTGCCTGTCACATCTATGTTTTTGCATCGATGACTCCTGACAAATTGTTTCTATGGTTACAGGAATGTCACCGGCCGCCTGTCACGGAGCAGGATGTGAATGACCCAAGGTTCGTGTGGTACTGTTCCCGGTGTTCCAAGTCCATGAAAAAGATGGTAGGTATCTGGACCTGACAAGAAAACCTTCCAGTGTCTGCTAGCTTGTGTCTTCTTTCTCATGACCCACTGCCACTAGAACTGCCCATGTCAGTAACAGCATTTATTATTTTAGCTCTATTAAAAAATATTCCAATTTCATTTTAGCTCTGGATTCTTACTTTTTCAACATTGTTCTCAGGACATGCAGTGCAACAGTATATATATATGCCATGAACTATGTAAGAATGTCTATATTTCCATGACAGTACCCGTGAAGGTCCGGGTTAGAATTGATCTTCAGTAACCCATGCTTGTCGTATGAGGCGACTAACGGGATCGGGTGGTCAGGCTCGCTGACTTGGTTGACACATTTCATTGGTTCCCAATTGCGCAGATCGATGCTCATGCTGTTGATCACTGGATTGTCTGGTCCAGACTCGATTATTTACAGACTGCTGCCATATAGCTGGAATATTGCTGAGTGTGGCGTAAAACTAAACTCACTCACTCCATGACAGTTAATTTGAAAATGGTCTTATTTTTGTGATAATAATATAAAATATATATTGGGCGTGGGGGATGAGGGTGCTGACAATATGAAAAGTATATATTTCTTGATAGGCAATGTGAGAATGTGTTGATGTTCTTGATGATGCAAGTGGGAACCCACATGAGTGAGAGTGGGTGGGTGTGTGTGTGCATGCATGCGTGAGTAAATGAGGTTTTATGCCGCTCATAGCAATATTCCAGTTATATCATGGTAATTACACATGAATATGTGTCTATGTAAATATGAGTTCATGACATGACAATGTATATAATTCATTGACAGTTCATGATTTGAAACTGTATCTATTTCACAGCAGGTTTCCAAGCCCTCGAAGCCCAAGTCTTCCTCCTCCTCCTCGGCTGTGGCACAGAGCAAGGAGTCTCCTCCTCTCTTCACCAAACCCAGCAAGACGGACACCACACCTGCCAATGTGCTGCCCTTCAGGAGAATGGATGCCAAGGTCAGGGTCATTCTAGTAAACTGCTTGGAGGACAGCATTGTTAATTTTAAGTTAATTATGGCTCATCCCATGGAATGTTGTGAAACATGTGTCTGTATAGTTTCATGTCCCCAGATTCAGTAAAGGGCTTCAGTATTTACCTCACTTGAAAAAGTTTTCATTTGCCCAGCATGAACATCTTCGCGTCACTGAGCGAATGAGTATACATGTAGTTTTGTAGCAATATTCCAGCAGTATCACAGCAGGGGACAAACAATGATGACACTTAAATATTTTCAAGCCTGTAGTTTGAGGTGCAGCCAAGTTAAAAACAATATTTTGGGCCTTTATTTGGACATTTTTTTCAAAATTGATGAAATTTAGGACCAGGAATTATAAGTGGAGCTCAAGACATTTGCTCAGCTTCTCTTGCAAAATATTGTAATAAATTTGGACCTTTTTATTTCTCCTCGAGTTCAGCAACTTGTAGTTAATAGTGCTCATGATTCTTTCCAAGAGCTTTCCTTGCAGAGGAAACATCATCTCTTTTCAGTAATGAAGCTAAAATTTTATAAAGGTTCAAATTGAAAAATCTATATGCAGTGTTTGAAATAAGGCTCGTCCGACCATTCGAGACGGGCTAGATTTCAGACGGACGGTCTAAATTTACAACTAGCCAGCCCGATGGTCTGGTAAAAAATTTAGATGAAATGTTCCATACATCTGAGTAGTTTTCTTTGCATTGTCTGTTCTGGTTAAATCCATGTTGGGCTGGTAATATTTTGAAGTCACCAGCCCTGTTGTCCGGTTGGGTTTTTGGCATATTTTGTACACTGCTATATGTGACAATTATTCACTCATTTCATTTCTACATGTCATAAAAATTGGTACTTGTTCAGTTTCACCTCATAGGTTCTGTTATGTGCAATATTTTAATTGAGTACTTTGACAATCCCAGTGGACATTTTCAATCACAATGTTGCAGCAATAGGATTGTTAATGTGGCCAGATTGTTACAGTGTTATATGTCCATTGAACATTATTCTGTGAACTTCCCACTTATATAGTCCCACATAAAAAGACAAAGTTGTGAAGTTGACATTAAAGTTGTATATGTTGACATTAAAGTTTATCATGTCCAGCCCTGTAAATAATCGACTGGACCAGACAATCAGTGATCAACAGAAATCGATCTGGCGAATTGGGAACCGATAACCAACCAAGTCAGCGAGCCTTGATAGTTGCCTTTACGACAAGCATAATATGACAAGAACACCTATTCATCCCCGGATTCTCAGTAGAAAAAACACCATAATATACATACATATCTGAAGATCTGGGTCAGAATTGGTATTCAGCAACCCATGATTGTCTTAAGAGGCGACTATTGGAAGGCTTGCTGACCTGACATGTCACTGTATCCCAATTGCGTAGATCGATGCTCATGATGTTGATCACTGGATTGTTTGGTCCAGACTCGATTATGTAGACTGCCCCAATACAGCTGGAATATTACTGAATGTGGTGAACAATAAACAATTCTTAAGAGGCATGTTTAGCTTAGGGAGCTAAACTTTGACTTGAGCTAAGGTCAGACTGTGTTGCACTTTTCATCATTAACTTTCATATCAATGTTATTGATACTTCTCTGTCCTTTGTAAGGACATTTGAACTCTTCTTCGCCTGTTAACACTATTCCCTCATCAACCATGAAGGTCCAGGTTAGAATGAACCTTCAGTAACCCATGCTTGTCGTAGGAGGCGACTAACGGGATCGGGTGGTCAGACTTGCCGACTTGGTTGACACGTCATTGGTTCCCAATAGCGTGGGTCGATGTTCAGGTTGTTGATGACTGGATTGTCTGGTCCAGACTCGATTATTTACAGACCGCCGCCATATAGCTGGAATATTGCTGAGTGCGGCGTAAAACTAAGTTCACTCACTCACTCACTATTCCCTCGTCATGGTTTGCAGACAGTGGTGGTCAAGGAGCCGACTACCACCAAGAGTGTCAGCAGTAAAGAGTCTGGCAACTCTAAACCTCTCAGTGGCCTGGCAAGTCTGGCAGCTAATCTCGCGGGGAAAAGCGAAACAGCCAAACCAAAGGTGTCAGAGTCATCCAAGAAAACTGAGAAGTTCAGCTCAAAGGAGTCCAGCAAGCTGACATCACAGAAATCAGACTCGGGTAAAACTTCATCACAGAAGTCTGACCATTCTGAGAAGAGTTCCAGTTCTTCCAAATCCAGCTCCTCCAAGTCCTCCAGCTCATCTACCAGTGTGTCATCAGGTGGCAGCGGCAAGCAGTCCAGTGGCTCTGCCCCATCCACAGCGGCAGCCAGTGCTGACAAAAGACTTCAGATGATGAAGAAGAAAGCAGCTGCTAAGTTGCACGAGAAGAAGGTCCACTTGAAATAAAATCAGCGGAAAGGGCAAGCAGTGATTTGCACAATTTGAACTATAATGTAACAGTGGAAGTGGTGGCAAACTGTTCAAGTGAGCTTAGTTTTACGCTGCTTTTAGCACTATTCCAGCAAATGATCAAGCTCGCGAGTGCCCATGTTTCCAAACCCTCAGGCGACACCAAAAAAAGGGTTCACACATTGTACCCATGTGGGGAATCGAAACCAGAGTTTTCGGTGTGATGAGTGAACGCTTGACCTTCAAGGCTACCCCACCGCCCCTGCAGACTGTTACAATGCTCACTCGTTATTGTGAACAGTAGTTTTATTTAAACATGGGTACATGGTGTGGAGCTCATTATTGAAATCATATGGGATTGGGAGTTGATGCTGAGGGTTTAACTTCCGAAATGTGTGTGTGTGTGTGTGTGTGTGTGTGTGTGTGTGTGTGAGTGAGTGATGATGATTTTGCACCATTTTAAACAATATTCCAGCAATATCATGGCAAGGGACACCAGAAACGGGCTTCACATGTTGTACCTACGTGGAGATTTCAACCTGGGTCTTTATTTTGATGAGCAACCCTACTGCCCCAAGTGTAAAATCTACAGCTGTGTGGAACTATACTACTCACACTTTGATAAGGATCACAACTTTACTTAAATGTAGATTTATGATATGAAATTGTATCCATTTAAAACTGGATAAATAATAGTATGGTAACCCCTCTTTAGGCAGACGGCCACTCTATGCTAACATTATGCACTTGATACATGAGTAACCATAAAATGGTTTTCATCAAATCAACCCTTTTGCAAATCATGGAGCGAGTCATTGACAAATAAACAACACCTGTCAATAGCAGGTATGGGATCCACAAGATGCAATGACATACTGAAACCTAGGGACCATGCTTACAATAAGCTTAGATATTTCAACCAAATTTGACCCCACATCATAGTTTTCTGTTGAATCCATGATTTGATCCTTAGCAGAGTGTGAATAGTATAGTTTGTCAGGATCTGACTTTGATTGTGACTGACTGATTGGAAAAGTGGCAGTATGTCCTATATCTGAAAAGTCAGTTATTTGTGGATGTCATCAGAAGTTTGTGAAGAATCTATGGAGTTATTCAGGTGTCTTCTCCTTGAATTGCTGTCATCTTTGACAATAAAAATGCGAACTAAGATATATTTCTTATATTTTTATTCATTCTAGTCAATGATAATTGATGCCTGCCTCTTTATGCTCAGTTATCATAAAGGGCAGCCTTATAAAAAATATTTCACAATCAAATGTTCACAGACCCCCTCTGCCGTAAGGACATGGATAAGAATGTACGTGCGATTGGTCACACAGCAACTACAGACACCTTGCCTGGTACACAGATGTGGGTCAAGGCTGTGACCTTGACAGATACATATAAGTGGGTCATGATCACGATAACCTTGCCAATAACACAGAAATAGGCATAAGTCATCTGACCTTACCAATAACACAGAAGTGAAGCAGGGTCATGTGACCTTGATGACAACACAAGGTCAAGGACACATGACCTTGCCAGTAACACAGAAGTGGGTCAAGGTCACAACAGCCTGCTATACAGATCTACATTGGTGTATTGATACACCATCGCTTGTACTACACTAGGGCCCCAGCCTATGACAAGACAGACATTCTGGATATACCTGTTTGATTGGAAGAAATGGACAGTACAGTTCTATCATTAACACTCTAATAGCCAGGTAAATACATAGATACATATATTTATAAGCCATTACTTCATATAGTGCTCACACTTACTGTTTTGAAAATGCAACATGCGTACAGAGTGGATATTTAACCAAATGCATCTAACCTTGCATGGTCCCTGTTTTTCCCTTCGGTCTCCTTCAACCCATTAACTATAAGGCACATATCACACAATAGTTCATTTCCTTTTAGACTGCCTGATCACAGTTATCTCCCTTGTACCAATGATGGATGAAAGACGATTGAAAGGGCTTTTTCAAGATATAAATATGATCGTGGGATCAGAGTGAGTGAGTATGGTTTTTACGCCGTTTTTAGCAATATTCCAGCAATATCATGGCGGGGGACACCACAAATGGGCTTCACACATTGTGCCCATGTGAGGAATTGAACCTGGGTCTTCTGTGTGACGAGCAAACGCTTTAACCACTAGGCTACCCCACCGACCCTCGTGGGATCAGATCTTAAATCTCAAAGCATAGCCATGCTCTCTAAACGTCAGATATCTACCTATTAAGTCATCCAAATATGAATGTTAATTTGTAAGTGAAATGCAACTAAGGCTAAAGGAATCCATTTAAAAGTACATACAAATTTGTTTTCCGAGATCCAATACGGAAATGAACTATTACTACAATGATATCTGCATATGAGTTTCCAGGTTAAAGAGTCCAGAGGTTTGGGACACAAATGAATTTTCTACACAAGAAATAGTGAAGTAATTGAAGGAATCATAGATTGCCAGCATTGATACCCGATAACGTCTGGGTACCCAAGATACCAGTACCTGATGAATTCTGGGTACTGATACCTGATGAATTCTGGACACCTTGATACCTGATGAAGTCTGAGTACCTTGATACCCGATGTAGTCTGGGTACCTTTTGATTCTCCGTTCCTCTAAGTACTTGTTGCTTGTTGAACTGACCTGGTATAACATATTTTGCATATATGCAGTGTCTGGTTACCATGGTTACTGGTGGAAGGAGAAATGGTCCTGAGTCATACATTGGCTTGTTGGATGGAACAGTCTGCTGCTTGTGGGATAATGCTGACATCACAGACACAGCTAATCCGGAATGTTTCCGGTGCCTAAACAGTCAGAATTTTACAAATATATTTCACCTAAACAGATTTTTTCTATAAAGTTAAAATATATAATTAAACAATTCTAAAGCCAAAATTACATAACCCTAAATTGTCAAAGTATTTAAATAACATAGACAAAATATAATATATGTCAAATTGAAAATAAGCTTTCATGAAAATCTTTATATGTGTAGCTTATATTTCAATCCAAAAATATCTCATTTTTAGCATTTTCCATTTTTCCCACTTCCTGCATTTCAGGAAACTAAGGAAACAAATCAATAAAAATGTAATAAGTACCGGTAATCTTTATATAGGAAAGTATTCATTATCACTGCATGAACATACATGTAATTAGATGTGTAAACTGATTTCAACATTATCCCAACATGTACCGACTGAATCGGATGTAGACACAACAAGCTATGATGTTGATGTTTGGCTTCATGAGATGTGGGTCTCCTCCACCAGTTAGGTAGCAATGTTCACATATGCACCGAAGTATGCACCTTTCAATGTACAGTATTCCAAACAAATATTGTAGATACAACACATTTATCCCGTACAAAATAGTCATCAAGCCATTATTGAGAATAGACAATGGCAAGAATGTGATGTAGCCCTAGACAATGAAGATTCAGTAAGAAATATTTGAGAACAAAATTAATATTTAAGTAAAGAAACAGATTTAATAATTTTCCCTATAAGAAATCTGTATGGGGAATTGAAACGAATCACAATTTCTATAAGCCGTACTGCTAAGAGGAAACTTTGGCAAGTAGGCCTATAACACCTATCTTTGAGTTGTCTCCCTTGTCACAGTTGTCTCCCTTGAGCTGGGGACATTTGATCTTGAATGGGTGAGAAATTGGACTATACAAAGGGCGATATGTACAGGTGTTGCATATAGAAACCTGATAAATGTAATAATATGTTATTTGATTGTGACATGGAAATTAAAACAGAGGGAAAATTTGGTTGAACTTATATACTTCGCTATCACACAGCTCATTGTGGGTGGTCTAGGCAGTGGTTGCTATGCAAATGAAAATATCATTGAAAAGAACCCCATGATATGTTGACTTTATACACAAATGAATTTAATGTTGTTATCTCCAGAGAATTTTCCATATTTGATCAAGAGTGCTAGATGAAAAAACCCAACATCTTACCATGCTTATCCTCATTTGAAAATATGACATTTCAGATTATCATTTTCATTCTTGTCAATATCAAAATTAAAAGATTCAGATGCCTGAAACCCGTACAAATAATTATGCATCTACTGGTATGCTCAACGATGAAGATGAAGACCAACCTTATATCACATTGTCCTTGACATTGGGACAGGGTTCTAATTCTAACCTACAGGTTTCGCCTTAATAATTACACTCTGAACAACGTAATGAAGACAGACTGCAATCGAACTGAGACACAAAAAGCTGTAGTCAACGGTGACGTTTGAAAGAAGAACTTCAAATATAAGAAAAAAAGTCAATGTAATGGAATTGGATTCTAATGTTCAGTACTATGCTATCTGTGGATAACACAGAACGTTAACATAGTCAACGGAATGTCTGAAGTAGCACCAGTTTGTTGAACCTTCCCAGAGACTTTCACTCTACGAGGTACTGAGCTACAGGGGCAGACTCTACAAATGATCAAAATATTTCTATATGATTCCAATGAATGCATCTTCAGTACTTCCCAGAATGTACTCACTACGTTCCTCCATTACTGATGAACACATACTGCAGATTTGTGGTGTAGCAATGCTGTATGTCTATTCTTGTCTACTACTGAAAATTTAAGCTTTACTTAAAATTGGGCCAACTTTGTTCAAGAACTTCGTCAGGGCTTGACTGACAAACTAATGAGTTAGTTAGTGAGTGAGTACGGTTTTACGCTGCATTTAGCAATATTCAAGCAATATCATGGCAGAGGATACCAGAAATGGGCTTCACACATTGTGCCCATGTAGGGAATTAAACCTGGATCTTTAGCATTACGAGCTAACACCTTAACCACCAGGCTACCCCACCGCCCCGACAAAATGATGATCAGATGGGGAGTGAGTATGGTTTTCCACTGCTTTTAGCAACATTCAAGCAATACCATGCATAGGGACATCAGAAGTGGGCTTCACACATTGTATCCATGTGGGGAATCAAACCCGACTGTTCAGAGTGGTGAATGAACGCTTTAACCACTAGGCTACCCCATTGCCCCATGAGCAGACAGGATAATGGCTATGGCACACGCTGCTCAAAATGTCAATAGAGATATCAATATTTGTGCTATATAACCTAAGCATTTGTCTGAGAAATCACTGGGAATTGTTTGTCACTTAATGTGCTGTTCAAAAATACTCACAACACCCCAAACATTGATGTGTATTCAGCGTAGATTGAAGAACGTAGTTTGTACAGATCCGGGAAGAACTGCTGATGTATGAAATGATTATGTGGACTAACTATCTACCAGTGTTTCCTGTTAAATGTGAAGCTGATTGGTTAATGTGTATTGTCTTTAACAGCTCAGCAGAATTTGTCACAAGTTCCCCTTTATACGTCTTCTTCCTTTGAGAGCTCTGCATGTGCTGACTAGAGACACAAGTGTATAGATGAACTGAAGTAAAACTACCCAATAACATAGTTACATTGTGTTACAATCACACTGTATTTAGTGACTGTTATGTTACATTGTCACAATCAAACTACAGTCAGTGACTGTTATGTTACATTGTGTTACAATCACACTACATGTCAGTGACTGTTAAACATTGTGTTACAATCACACTGTAGTCAGTGACTGTTATGTTACATTGTCACAATCAAACTACAGTCAAAGACTTATGTTACATTGTTACAATCACACTACAGAGACTTATGTTACACTGTGTTACAAAAACACTAGTCAGTGACTGTTATGTTACATTGTGTTGCAATCACACTACAATCAGTGACTGTTATGTTACATTGTGTTACAATCACACTGTAGTCAGTGACAGGTATGTTACATTGTCACAATCAAACTACAGTCAGAGACTGTTATGTTACATTGTGTTACAATCACACTACAGTCAGTGACTGTTAAACATTGTGTTGCAATCACACTGTAGTCAGTGACTGGTATGTTACATTGTGTTACAATCACACTAGTCAGTGACTGTTATGTTACATTGTGTTACAATCACACTACAGTCAGACTCATGTTACAATCACACTGCAGTCAGTGACTGGTATATTACATTGTTACAATCACACTGCAGTCAGTGACTCGTATGTTACAATCACACTACAGTCAGAGACTGTTATGTTACAGTCACACTGCAGTCAGTGACTTATGTTACATTGTGTTACAGTCACACTACAGTCAGTGACTGTTATGTTACATTGTGTCACAATCACACTACAGTCAGATACTGTTATGTTACATTGTGTTACAATCACACTATAGTCAGAGACTGTTATGTTACATTGTGTTACACCTAGTGACTGTTGTTACACCGAGTTACAATCAGATTGCAGTCAGTGATTTGTGTCACATTGTGTTACAATCACATTCCAGCCATTGCTGTTACTTAATGTTACAATCACACGACCATCACTGACTGTAGTGTTACACTGTGTCACAATCAGTCAGTAGCTACTTGTCACACTGTGTTACAATGTCCTACAGCAAACTGATAAGGGCACAGTATGTAAGAGATTACATAAAAGGAAGACTGAATCCTGAACACAAGTATAAAACCAATGATGAGTTGGATGAGACAACGCAGAATGGCATGGGATCTGGTCCTATCAACAAGAAACCACTCAGATTCCATTTGGTTTTGTTTTCATTTCAAGAGTATGGCTAGTTTAAAACACAACATTCTATGCTTATTGAGAGGTTTTGTTATTACTGATGGCTGTGTGTTAGTAAAGATGCATTATCATGTGTACATCTGTGGTGCCAGCCACTGAATTCTTGATTATAATTAAGTCATCACGCATAAAGCTCAACAATTTTGGTTTCTTCAAATGAGTGAGTGAGTGAGTTTGGTTTAACGCCGCCTTTAGCAATATTCCAACAATATCACGGCAGGGGACACCAGAAATGGGCTTCACATATTGTACCCATGTGGGGAATCGAACCCGGGACTTTGGCGTGACATGCGATCGCTTTAACCACTGGGCTACCCCGTTGACCCTTCTTCAAATGAATGTCTTGTTTCTCATGACCTGCCCTCCTATGAATTGCTTTTGCAACAAATATTTGCTTAATATTAAAGCACAATAAGGTAAACAATTTTTCAACCCAATTTATCCCAGAAGTGAACCTTTGCAAAAGACCAGTGAGTGAGTAAGACTTTACGCTACTTTTCGCAATATTTCAGCAATATAACACTAGAAATGGGCTTCACACATTGTACCCATGTGGGGGATCAAACCCAGGTCCTTGGCGTGACGAGCAAATGCTTTAACCACTAGGCTACCTGAGCCACTGTCAACCTGTGTCTGTTTTGACACTAGTACCCTAAAACAGATCAGATTAGAACAGTTATTTCATGAGGTTTGTAAGCACCTTTGATAAAAATTCTTTAAAAAAGTCATGAGAAACTGACTGAGTTTGGTTTTACGCCGCTTTTAGCAATATTCCAGCAACATATCACGGGGGGATACCAGAAATGGGCTTCACACTCATGAGAAACAAAAACAAGTTATTTAAACAGACTGTTAGTGATGTAATTAGCGCCCTTCTCAATGTCTGTATAAGCATGAAACTAACATCAGCACAGATCAGTAAACAAGTATGTGACTCTTCCCTGCCATACAAACAAACAATACAACCGCCAATGTCAATTTCCAACAAACTCTGATTGCAAAAACAATCCTGGTGTATATGTATATAAATAAATAGAACTAATATCTTGAGCCCGGCAGAGGTACACGAATGTCTTAAACAGGATATATTATTTTTTCAAGGAAACAAGAAATACTTTGACTGGAGTTGCAGGACAGAAGTGAGATTGGAGTAACTATGTCTTTAGTTATAAATATGAACTAAATTTGTAAAAATACAAAACATACAAACAATAAACGAATAGATGGAGATGCGGCAGTAACAACAATGCCCTGCTTTTGATGATTATACACAGGATCAGTTAGTTTAAACACTTGTGCCATTCACATATTACCATTCTTCTTCCAGTGTCATCGCAAAGCTTAAGTAACAGGACTCGTGACAGAGCAGCAATAACACATGCAGCCTTCTATACATCCAATGTTATAAATAGTCTCCAATAATAAATTTATTCCATACATGTTAATTTCATCATGTAGCCCGTGTCCGTCTTATAACGAGGGACCAGCGCAATGCTCAGTGGCTGAGTTCATACGGAGCGTTATATAGAGTAGTGTAATAATCTACTTTATATTTCTACAAGATATAGGTCTGCTGTACATACATACAATTACATATACCGAGGAAAAAAATAGGGGAACAATTTGCGAAGAAAGCTTTGTTCAGAATATGAGCTTTAAGTGAACGAAATGTCACATGAAATGGTAGTTTAGCGTGTTTGTTTCAATCTTCGCTTTCGAAGTGATATGTTGGATGTGCTGTTCCCTAACTTCTTTCGGTCAGTATAATTGCGATATATTTATAGTTGACAGATCTACTAATCTGGACTCTCCAGGTGAAGAGCAAGAAGAAGGGCAGGCAATCAGACATATGTGTCAGGAAATAAGTTTCTCCGCTGTACTTCTAGAGCTTTTCCTGATATTTTAAAATCACAGTCAGTTCACGATACAAAAGCCCCCTAATAAAATCTTCAGGTTTCTGTTTGATTAATTTATATCAGGGCAATTATTTATTTATTTCCATGTGATGGTGCACAAATGGAAATAAGGATTTACATGTCATAGAATTATTTACAGGATTGCAAACTGAAAACACTTTAGAGTTACCCACCCTTGGTATGAATGAAAGTTTGGGCCAGATCAGATCTGACCCGAAATGACAGTCAGCAACATAAAAAATAATACTTTTTTTGGTGGCAACATATCTTAATATATTTTTGTATGTGCTCAATATAAACAAAACATTAACTGTATGACATTAACAGTTAATGAGTCCTGCTGACTAGCAACAGGATACTGATCTAATCCTTATCCCTGAATTACTTAAATTGAAGATGCCAATGAACATATTTAACTGTTTACATAATGACGGCAGGGGCTGCTGTCATCTGGAAAGGAGCCCTGATTAGGAATAACTTATTTACTGGCAGCATGTCTCCAAAAGTTCAAGCACACAACATACTGAGCACACAGCAATCTCCGATTTTCACACAATATTGCACATATTCAGGGCCAGGTTGGAAGATGGATGACAATCAACATTTCAGCCATGAGAAGAGAACAGGACTGGTTCTACCGATCAGATTATGAAGACTGCATTATTTCAGCCAATCAAGAAATGACGACTGACTCACAATCATGTAATGAAGACTACTTTATCTCAGCCAGTCCAATGAAGACTGAATTATTTCAACCCATGAGGTGATAATGGCTGGGTCCCTTTGTCAGTCCAGTGACAAAGACTGGAACATTTCAGTCACTCATACTGTAATAGACTTGGTACAAATGATTCCTTTTCAGTTTTCAGTTAATTTGTCAGCCAGGTTACCATGGTGATGAAGATGGAATACAAAAATGCTATCAATTTGTATTTTCAGGTCAATGAATTAATATCACTGAGATAAGCCCCTTTCAAATAAAACTCTTTCTGATGATCCTTTTTCAAACTGTTATCATGCCTTGAAATATGAAAGGAAGTGAAAATTAAAATGTTCATACAACAAAATTAAAATAGAGGCCAACTAAAAATGTTATTCCATTAAAATATTCCACTGCAGTTCTTGAGGAAGAGTCGCCATTACTAAGACAATGAGAGCATAGTCAGTTCCTTGGAAATATCTAATTTCATTCACTTGAATGTTGCAGCGATGCTTATTCTACAATTCAAATATTTGATACTTATCTACATGACAGCCTTATAGCCCTGGATAATGCTCCCTTTAATCAATATCTGTGATAACATCTACTATTTTACAATCTTTGGCATTTTCCAACTTCCTCACTGACCATAGTGTCCCAAAAAATCTTATGATTTTTTAAATATTAGCGCTAAATTGAATCATCATTGTTTGGAAGAATCTGCTGATTCAGTAGTCTTAAATGGATGGAAGGCGATCTGAAATTATGGTGTAATTCTCACAGTGTAGTTCCGTATGCAGGAGAATTATGGCATCATCTCTGACACATGTTGAGAGAATTTACAAATACAAACACAAAAGTCAGTCTATTGCTTCTCTTCTGACAGTGATCCTATCACCCCGTGAGGGTCCTGATATGGGAGGTCAGTAGGCAGAGGGAAAACGGGTCAGTTGGCAGTAGGGCATTCAGTCAGTAGGCAACAGAATACTGCATCAGTAGGCAGAGAGATAAAATTGTGTCAGTAGACAGTTGGACATTCAGTCACTAGGCAGTAGAAAACTGTCAGTAGGCAGTTGGGCATTTAGTCAGTAGGCAGCAGGGCATCGAGTCAGTAGGCAGTAGAAAATTGTCAGTGGGCAATAGGGCATTTAGTCAGTAGAAAATTGGTGTCAGTAGGATTAGGGCATTTAGTCAGTATACAGTGGAATATTGGTGTAAGTTGGCAGTAGGGCATTGAGTCAGTAGGCAGTAGAAACTTGGGTCAGTTGGCAGTAGGGCATTTAGTCCATATACAGTAGAATATTGGCGTAAGTACAGTACGCAAAGTAGGGCATGAGGCAGTAGGCAGTAGGGCATCATGCCAGTAGGCAGTATGACAATTAAGCAGTAGGGCAAAAAGTCAGTAGCTAGTTGTACAACGAGTCACTGGACACTAGCCCGCGACTTGTAAAAATTCTTGGGAGATAGTACAAGACAATTTCCCAATCATTTTCACAATGAAAAAGGCATTTTGTCATTATCCAGGCAAGCAAAACTGTGGAATTAGTTTGAACCCTGTCAGTTGAACATTGAGTCAGTAGGCAATAGGCCACTGTGTCCAGAGGCTGTTGGACCTCACGTCAGTTTGGAACCTGAGTCAGTTGGCAGTTGGAGTCATTAGGCAGTAATAATTCTACATCACAAAATCAATGAAAACAGCAATGTCAGTCTCTTATTGAACACAAATGTTGCTTTTCTTCAGGGGGTAATAACATTGGAGTGCAAAAAAGCTTCTGGTACCAAGAATGAGTCCATTTTCAGCTGTCATTTTTCAACATCTACAATGAGCAATAAATACTTATGGTCTTTCAAAATATAATTCAAGGATAGACTGATCTTCAAGACAAGAGTGTTTTGAGTGACTTGACACCAGTATGTTGACCCATCAGGACCCTGTCTCTCTCTCTCTTGGCTATGTGCAACACACGAACAAAACCACAACATGTTTACCTTACACCTGATCGTAATGAATTCATGATAGATGTTGAGACAGGCACTGGCAGCAGGATTATCTCAAAATATCAGTGTCTTCGGAAAAGCTACTCCAAATGATGTAAAAATGTCTCACAATTTGCGAATCACTGTGAGACAGCCTAAGACTGCTTGTTGTTTTCCCTTCTTCCTTCACAACCTTGAGATGAGATTGAGTTATCTCCCTTGATCAGAGTTATCTAACTTGATCTGCAGATTCTATAACCGGGTTGAGTTTGTTGACTTGAAAACCGTTAAAGCTGTGATACAAAACAATAAAAATGAAAAGTGAATAAACAAACACAGTTTTACTTCTCATTTTACGCTTTCCTCTATTTTTGTTAAGAAACTGTGAGTATTAAAAGAAAGCATATAGTCACGACCTCTTGGTAAATGGATACAATATGGCTGGTGACATTTGATTGTTGTAGAATTGTGATGTCTCCTGTCTCCTGGTGTGAACTAAGGTTGCATATATTCATAATGCTACAGGGTATCACATGTAATAAATAGTTGAATGACACCAATGTCAAGTACTACCACTTTTACACAACTACAGGTCAAAGGTTAAAGGTTAAAGCTGACCCTAACTGCTTCCAGCCAATGAGAATCAAGATTATCTGATAACCTCAAACCAAATGAGGCATGATATAAACAATGAGTACAGATAATCTCAAACCAGATGACACATGATATAAACAATGTAACAGTGGGATAGCTTGTCCTGATGCGTGGACATACACACATACTCGTAAACCACCTGCTTTAATAGTTGATCCCTGGCTTGACCAATCAGTGTCCAGAATAATTCAAACTGACCAATCAGTGTCCAGAAGAATTCAAACAGTCCAATCCGAGTCCATTACAGTACACCTGATCAAACAGATCCAGTAAAAGTCAAACTGACTAATCCGATTTGAAGGTAAATCAAATCAACCAATCAGATTCCATTATCACGGTAACTGTCCAATCAGAATGGAGTATACACCAAGATATATCATCTTCCCTATACATGGCTATCATCAATAGTTCCTATGTTCTGTGGAGCGTCGTGCCACGGAGTTGTCTGGTGCTCGCCTTGTGTGCTGAGGTGACTGCTGAACGTAGGTCTCTGCAGTTGTCTCCCCTTCTTCCCCGCCCTCACCCCTTGCTGTCTTTTGTTCGGAACTTTTTCCGCCATGATGGTGCCCGGCGAAACTTGCCACCCTCACCCTGTCAAAATATTAAAACTGAATTTCAAAATTAGTCCAAACAGAACTGCAATGGTTTACGAAAAGATTGCTCCAATAAACATAAAACTTTATCAAATCTTAAATGCCTTGTCAAAGCAAAAGATAACGCTGAGCAAAAAGAAACAATTAGTTTAGTATATCTGAAAACTAAGACAACAACATCAGCACATGTCATTTTGGTATCAACTGTTTATTAATTAATAAGTGAGAAACTCTAGTAAAGACAGTTGAGCTGAACTAAATATGTACACACATTAAATACTGCTTTATTGAACACAGTCTGGTACAAAATATACCACCCTTGACTGATATAAAATATATCTATCTAGTCCTCGAGGAATATATCTATGGACGGGTAATCTAACATAGAACATAGCCATCTATTTTGACAGGGTATATATCCACCTAGTTGAGAATGGAATACAGTCACCTTTTCTGATACAGAATATGTTGATGATAGAGAAATTTCCACCTTATCTGATACAGAACACATCCATCAAGCTTGATACAGGACCTACCTGTCTAGTAGGATAAGGAATATATACAGCCAGACAGATATAGATTATATATCCTTCCATTGTGATTCTCTTGAGAAACAATTTTAGGAATCTAAATCAGTGATTAACAATACAATAGACCAGGGCCCCGATCAACAAAGTGTTCGTAACTTTATGACCTGTCATAACTCTATAGTTTATCATAGGCTTACGAATAGCATAGGGCTACAATCGCTTTGTGGATTGGGACCCTGATCAGTGAATGAGTGAGTTGGGTTCAACACCGCTTTCAACTGTATTCCAGTTATATCATGGCTGGACAGCTTATTGTTGGAGGACAACCTGAAGTGATGTAGGTCTCGTATGTTTCCACTTCGGTGAAAACAATGAGCATGGTTATGTTGGTTGGTGGATTGTTGTCTAATGCGACGCTCAGCAATATCCCAGCTATATGGTGGCAGTCTGTAAATAATCCAGTGATCAACAGCATGAACATCGACCCACGCTATTGGGAACCAATGACATGTGTCAACCAAGTCATCGAGTTTGACCACCCAATCCCATTAATCGCCTCTTACGACAAGCATGGGTTGCTGAAGACTAGTTCTAACCCGGATCTTCACGGGTCAAGCATGCTTATGGTGCTGACAAACCTTGTGACATATTTGGAGTGAACCAGGATATAAACCCATGACTACAGGTGTCTGGCACACACAAGGGACACAACTCTGCACAGTGAATTTTGATGCCTTAGACAGCCTGCTCCCCACTAAACCAATGGACACATGCTGACTTGGTCATTGTTAGTACACAGTAGATGGTTATTACCAAGTGTAGTAGCATTTTGTGCAACTTCTCAACCAGTTCCTTGTAGTGTTTTAATTTTAACATGCATTGATGTGTTTTAAAGAATTAAGCCATTCTTGTGAATGCTTTTAAGAAACAAGCAAACTTTATACTAAACTACTTGTTAAATCCATCTCTATGTTAAAACATACATTTTCAGTATTTTTTTAAACAATTACATGTCACATAGAAATAAATATCCATAAAACTCTCTCTATTTTATTAAGTCAAAGAAACGTGATTAGACGTTATAATATTAGAAAAACCTGATAGGTCTTTCACCCTCAAGTGAAAGTATGGTTTTACGCTGCATTTGGCAATATTCAAGCAATATCATGGCAGGAGACACCAGAAATGGGCTTCACACATTGTACCCATCTTGGGAATGGAACCTGTGTGTTCAGCGTGATGAGTAGACGCTTTAACCTTTAGGCTACCCCACCGCCCCCAAGGGGTAATAACCTATAATTGAACGATCCAAAGCAGTCGTTGACAGTGCTGATTGTTCAGAGACCAACATATACATCTTGCTCTACAAATAATTATAAAACTCTGAAAACATCCAAATTAATTAAATGATACCCGTTGGTTTCCTGATCAAAGCACTGTGTTAACAGTAGTGACCTTCTGACAAAAAAATTGGACACAATTTCCTTTTACAATTTGTCTGAGATACATCTCACCATGACTACGAAGCATTATGTCTATCCTTGTTGAATACATTGTATTCACACATATAGTATTCACACAGCACAATTGTATTCACAATAATCTCACGTTAACCACCTTGTTTCAATATTTATCCTCCCAGTAAAGTCATTTTTGGTAGAATTTTTTTTTTAAATTTCAATTTTAAATTCTTTCAATTTGAAATCATATAGCAAGTAAGTGAGAGAATACTGTTTTACTAGGGTCAGCAATTTTCCATTCGCCAGACTAATTGTACCCCTGTGGTCACCTAAAAAATATTTTTGTCCGGATGGTCGACTCATTGGATTGGCTCGAGGTCTTGGTTGGATTGACTGTCATTGCAACTTGAGGGGCGTAGGGGTGGCCTAGTGGTTAAAGCGTTGACTCGTCATGCCGAAGACCCGGGTTTCGATTCCCCACATGGGTACAATGTGTGAAGCCCATGTCTGGTGTCCCCCGCCGTGGTATTGCTGGAATATTGCTAAAAGCGGCCTAAAACTAAACTCAGTCAGTCATTTTAACTTGAAAACAAACTTGTGGCTCATGATTTCAATCACTAGTTGCCCGATCCAGACTTATTTACTGAGAAGCTAGAATATTGCTGGAATAGGGAGCGTGTGTTTAGTTTTATGCCGCTTTAGCAATATTCCAGCTTTATAACGACAGGGGACACCAGAATGGGCTTCACACATTGTACTCCTGTGGGGAATCGAACCCGGGTCTTCGGCGTGAAGAGCGAATGCTTTAACCACTAGGCTACCCCACTGCCCTGTTGGAATAGTGGTGTTAACAACCAAACATAGCTACTTTGAAATCAGGACCAATCAACCACGTGGCTGAAAGCGTGAACAACGGTCAATACTGGTGAGGTACACGAAAACTATCAGCCAATAACAACCTGATCAGAGTGAGGCATTTTTCTCAATTAATATATTTTCATGGAATTAATATATTGTTCACGGAACAATGGAATATGATTCTTATATTATTTTGAAAATTTGAGATGAAACATGATCACATCATAACGATCAAACAATGAAAGCTGAAAGTGAAATCAGTGAAACAAGGTAGATAACTCTTTAGTTCATGCACCGTCACTATGGCAACCATGCTAACAAAACTGCAAACATGAAACAAACTAGGGGTCAAGTCAGGCGGGGTTAGCGACAGCATGCGTCCGACACTACTCACATTATCATGTCAAAATGCCCAATTTGGCAAAATACATTAATCACAGCTGAGAATACTGAACCCTCTTTGATGAGCGAGTGAGCGAGTTTACTTTTATGCCGCACTCAGCACTCTTTAATGATGAACTATCCATCCATACAGATTTCTGATACTAATATTTATGATAATCAGAAATTGTGAATTTTCACAAAATGTTGCACACAGATAATTTCAAAAGACAATTTCAAATAGTGAATTACCGAGATGGAACAGTTCCTAAGGAAGGATGACAATATATGGATGGACAAGTTCTTTGTTACAGTAAGAGCGACGTTTTGGTGTAGGTTCTAACACTGTTATCAAGCAAGTGAAGTTAGAAGGAACAGTTCCTGTTCTCATTTTTGGAAAATTCAGTAAGTAATTACCAAATCTGGAATTAGCTCATAAAAATAAACGACATTGCTATATAATGTTTACGTTCCAAGACGCTGATACTAATAATACATAAATTCATTTTGAACATAATTAGGCTTCGGTATTGATGTATATTCCTTTCAAAATATTGAAAAATGTTTCATACAACAATTTGGCTGTCGAAAAAGCTGCACATTTTACTAGTTTGTAATTTTTACCATGAAACAAAATTACAATTTTCTCACATTACCGATTGCAAAATAGTGTTGGACAAGAAAGTTGTTTTAGTGTTTAGGGAAACAGTTTCCAAATAGTCTGTCCACAAATCAGTGGTTCTCACGAGAAATCTCTATACTGCATGCTACATTTCAACAAACAAATCATTGGCTGTCTTAACAAAAAATTACTGCCAAATATCTCCTAGCATGACAACCTCTGAGTAATATTTCTATTTCAAATGATGTCATCTTAATCTAGCTTCAAGTCAATAGCTTATTATGTGCAATTGAAGGGTTCAGTAATTCCAGCACATGTTCCGAGTCATTGCAGCAGAAATCTGGAGTGAAATACTGTGCTGTTTAAAAGGCTTGTGATTGAAGCTGTGATTCTACCACAGTGAATCTTGTGTTACATACATATCACAGAATAGACACAATAGCAGTGGGGTATTCCAAAAGTTGGAATGAACAAATTTCAGATTTGGATTTCAAATATTTAATTACTCCAAACATGTTATTTACCATCAAGAAAATATGTTTTAAAAATGACAAAATTACAAATATTTCTTTCGAAAAGTAGTTGCATGGAAATAGTATTTAATAAAAAAGGAGTTGTGATGTAACTGTATTCTATCTATTATGTGATAGTTGGTCTACACATCCGTTACCTATGTTATCACACCTGACAGCATGGAATAAATCAGGGAAGTCAAAATGTAGACAAGTTTCAAAATGATTCAAAGAAAAAAAGTCCCAAAGACAGAAATCAATTGCATTTGCAAATAGTACCCATAAATGAATTCTTCAAATAAATTGAAGAACCATGCAAGAATGCTATTTTTCAAATAGATTGTACAGCATTATGTGAATATTGTGAGAAATCAGCAAAAGACAGAATTATAATCATAAAAAAGACAGTTTTCATTAAAATTCAATAGAATCGTATTATTCAACTTGAAATGGACATTAAATGACCAAAAAAAAAATGGTGTAGGATGGTCTAAAAACCAAACATTTTAGAACATGTTAAAATAAAAAATTAAGAAATATATTCATATTTGGATTTTAAAATTAAATAAATTTTATTTCATACAGATCACACCAGTTTGCCCACATCCGTCATCCACCTGGACACATTGCAGTGAGCATTTACCTTCACCAAAATGCAACTGACACCCGTAACCTCGTTAAGATTTACCTGTGTGGGAGGGAGGGAGTTTATCACTGTGAGCCATGGCTGAAGAAACATGCACAGCATATTGCATACCGTGGTTCGTTATGTCTGAATAGTTAATTAATCACCACTGACAAACATTATCCCAAAGTACATCTTGTTAGAGTTTAAAAATACATGTTGAGCATCGTGAACATTGATGAAGATAACATTGGCACAAAGTCATTAAAGTCACTTGAAACAAAATCATGAACTATTCATTCATGTATTCACTATTTCTATATGAATTACCACACACAAATGTCACCCTGACTCAAATCTATCAAAAATATAAAACTAAATGAGGGAGACAACTCCTATAGAAGTAACTGTTCAACAAATATTTCCAAAGTGAATATATACATAAGACAATTTCTCAAGTTACTAGCAAAATTTTGTCAAATACATCTTTAAAAAAAATCAGACAATAATCCAAATAATGATATAGCTGTCACTTTAAAAAATAATAATATTAAATTCAAATTTTAGAAAATATAAAATTTTATCAAAGTGAATTTAAGAAAAATCCAGTTTGTTACTATCTTAAACTATTTGTAATAACATGAGTAGTGGGTATACATTCAGGGACTACATGCAGCACAACTAGTTATAGGTTATATGATTGTTTAGTGACAAAGAGCAACATATGAGAAATGTCATTATTATTATTACAGAAAAGCTCTCAGATGCAGATTATAGACAAGAGTAGATATAACTAAAGCTGCAGATGTTTAATCTGCCCAATATATACACTCTATTCTACAGCAGGCAAGTGATATAGGTAATTCAAATAATGATGAATGAAATTTGAATGATTCAAATGTCAGAGAAAGAAAACAATGAAATGATTGAATCCCACACATGGTCTTAAAGATGTTGGTATGAAGACACATCTTGCCTGATTCTAAAAATAATTTCATTTACTGTTAACTTTTAGAACTTCCATATTTCTCATATGATATATCCCAGCTTTGCTATATTTTCTATATTTAACAAAGGAAGTAAGACACTACTTACTGGAGACAGCACTAAACCTACACACTGGCAGCTGGGGTTGAGACGTATACCGTAATTACTTAATAAAATCTTCATCTATCAATTCTTGAGAGCAAGTGTTTGTGAAAACTTTAATTTCATATATTGCATTGGTTTGTTGTTTAATGCTGCACTCAGCAATATTCCAGCTATATAGTGGCAGTCTGTAAATAATCGAGTCTGGACCAGACAATCCAGTGTTCAACAGCATGAGCATCGATATACGAATTGGGGACCGATGATATGTCAACCAAGTCAGCGAGCCTGACCACCCGATCCTGTTAGTCGCCTCTTAACAACAAGCATGGGTTGCTGAAGACCAGTTCTAATGCTGATCCTCAGGGGTTATTTCATGTATAAATCCCTGTAAAAATATACTGCATCAAACTAACACGTTTATTTTGATTATTTACAATTTTAATTGTATTTCTCTTTCTTGTTACACTTGCCACTTTTGAGTATGCAGAGATCCATATCCTTGTGTTTATCTTTCTGTAAAATATTCTACAAATAGCAAGCTCATTTTTTCTCCAAATCATCTTTATGTGATTCAGTAAAAATACCTCTGTACGATAAACTTAGAAATATTTTAATGCAATTATTGAAAGAATTTTTTTCTGAAATTATCATTGTACCAGAAATAACATATTGTAATATCTTGTTAACAAATTGATGCATGTACTGTATATAAATTCACAAGGGTCCCTTACCGGTTACTGTGGTAGATTTGGAACAGTTTGATTGATCACCATATCATATCAACCATTCATTCAAATACAAGTTTCTTTCGGATAATTTGTCAAAAAGTACTATTTTTCTACTGTGACACATAACTTTCAATCTTGAAAGAAATAATATTTTCCTAACATGAAATACATTTTATATTGAAAAGAAAAAGTATTTTCCTACTCTCAAATACTACATTCCTATCTTGATAGACTACATTCTATTTAGAAAATATATCCTACTTTCTACCCAAACAATACTACTTTCCTATCCTGCTCAAAATCCACCAGCTGCCAGTCTAACATCACCTGGGAAGAGAGCACCACTCGGGCGGGGCGGCAGAGTTCGACCCGCCGCCCTGTCAGCATACAAGCTGCCGACAGCTAGAAACAAGGCGACAGACAGAGTTGAAAGGTCACGCTGAAGTCAGCAGGCGGGCAGGGCAGCAAGGTGAGGGTCAGTTGCTGGATACGATGATGACGCAGACAAAAAATAAGAAAAAGATAACTGACCTACCTCGTCCAGGCGGCGATCAGTGCCGATTGCCAGAAGGTTGTTGAATTCCCGCTCTAAAACTTGCCTAGCCTGAAACATAAAATGGAATGTGTTCTCATAAAAACATAAAATGGAATGTGTTCTCATAACTTTCCCCAGACCCAAAATAGATAAGAAAACTCTGAAAGTAACATGAAAACTTTTCATAATGAAAACAAATAACAATATCATAAAAGTGCTGTTACTTGAATGCATCACGGTATTATACAATTTTAAAACTTAATTGTTACAAAAATATTTGAAAAAGAACCTGCTTCAGGTTTACAACAATTACGGTCAATGTCCTAAAATCTAGTTGCGGAAAAGAAAGAAAAATTCTTGATGTAACCATATAAAAGCAAACTTGCCCCATTTCCCATAACACTAAATGTTGGTTCCAACATAACACAAGGTGACCGACTTACTTGTTGGTTTTGTGTGGGTATTTGTAATGCGAGAGCCATGCTGTTGTGATCGAAGCTCTCGTCTAGTGCTATTAGTGACCCATGGACTCCAGATTCTAGCAGAGTAGCTGAATATTCCCGCAGGCCTATAGACATCGACCATTTGATAACCCGCTCATTCGACCACACTAACACATCTGCAACAGAACAACTGGGTGTCAGGAAAATTGGTCAAAATGCTTTGTTCAATGATTATAAATATTTGGGATTAAAACAATAAATAGTGTTTTTCACATTGCCGCATAAAAACCAGTAAACTTACAAAAATATCTTTAAAAGCATTAGATTTGTCAAGCTCAAACTACAGTCAAAAGCTTTTGTGTCGAATGTTTGATGTGTTGAATTTATGGTTGTCTTAAAATAAAAGCTTGGCCCGATGTAAGTTTTCTTTAATCATCATTTTTCTGTTGAGTCGAACCTTGGATAACTTAAGTATTTAAGTAGGTCCTTCAACTTTGACAAAATGGTGTAGTGTAGTGTAGTGTAGTGTGTGGTGTGGTGTGGTGTGGTGTGGTGTGGTGTGGTGTGGTGTGGTGTGGTGTGGTGTAGTGTAGCTCAGTACAGTGTAGTTTAGCTCAGAACAGTATAGCTACACTAATGAAGTACAGCTTAGCGTAATGTAGTGTTGTGCAGTGTAGCTCAATGTAGTGTAGTGCTGTGTGGTGCAGTGTAGCTCAATGTAGTGTAGTGCTGTGTGGTGCAGTGTAGCTCAATGTAGTGTAGTGCTGTGTGGTGCAGTGTAGCTCAATGTAGTGTAGTGCTGTGTGGTGCAGTGTAGCTCAATGTAGTATAGCTTAGTGTAGTGAAGTATGGTGTGGTGTAGTGCAGTGCAGTGTAGCTTAGTGTAGTGAAGTATGGTGTGGTGTGGTGTAGTGTGGTGTAGTGCTGTGTGGTGCAGTGTAGCTCAATGTAGTATAGCTTAGTGTAGTGAAGTATGGTGTAGTGTAGTGCAGTGCAGTGTAGCTTAGTGTAGTGAAGTATGGTGTAGTGTAGTGTGTAGTATAGCTTAGTGTAGTGAAGTATGGTCTAGTGTAGTGCAGTGCAGTGTAGCTTAGTGTAGTGAACTATGGTGTAGTGTAGTGTGTAGTATAGCTTAGTGTAGTGAAGTAAGGTGTAGTGTAGTGTGTAGTATAGCTTAGTGTAGTGAAGTATGGTGTAGTGTAGTGTGTAGTATAGCTTAGTGTAGTGTAGTGTCCAGTAGTGTAGTGTAGTGTCCAGCCAGTACTGTAGTTTAGTGCCATGTAGTGTAGTGTAGTGCAGTGTAGCTCAATGTAGTATAGCTTAGTGTAGTGAAGTATGATGTATTGTAGCGTAGTGCAGTGCAGTGCAGTGCCGTGTAGTGTAGAGTAGTGTAGCGTAGTGCAGTGCAGTGCCATGTAGTGCAGTGTAGCTCAATGTAGTATAGCTTGGTGTAGTGTAGTGCAGTGTAGTGTAGTGCCATGTAGTGTAGTGTAGTGTAGTGCAGTGCAGTGTAGCTCAATGTAGTATAGCTTAGCGTAGTGAAGTATGGTGTAGTGTAGTGTAGTGTAGTGCAGTGCAGTGCCGTGTAGTGTGTGTAGTGTGGTATAGCTTAGTGTAGTGTGGCAGTGCAGTGTAGGTATAGTGCAGTGTGTAGTGCAGTGTAGTGCAGTGTAAGTAGTGCCAGTGTAGCTCAATGTAGTATAGCTTAGTGTAGTGAAGTATGGTGTAGTGTAGTGTAGCTCAGTGCCAGTGTAGTAGTGTAGTAGTAGTGTAGTGCAGTGCAGTGTAGCTCAATGTAGTATAGCTTAGTGTAGTGAAGTATGGTGTAGTGTAGTGTATGGTGTAGTGTAGTGCAGTGTAGCTCAATGTAGTATAGTGCAGTGTAGTGTAGTGCAGTGTAGCTCATGTGTAGTATAGCTTGTAGTGTAGTGTAGTGTAGTGCAGTGTAGCTCAATGTAGTGTAGTGTAGTGTGCAGTGTAGTATGGTGTAGTGTAGTGCAGTGTGTGTATAGTGTAGTGTAGTAGCAGTGTAGTGAAGTGCAGTGTAGCTCAATGTAGTAGTAGTGTAGTGTAGTGTAGTGCAGTGTGGCTCAGTGCAGCTTAGTGTAGTGAAGTAGTGTAGTGTAGTGCAGTGTGCTCATGGTGTAGTGTAGTGCAGTGTAGCTCAATGTAGTATAGCTGTAGTGTAGTGAAGTATAGTGTGGTGTAGTGTAGCTCAATGCAGTGTAGCTCAATGTAGTATAGCTTAGTGTAGTGAAGTATGGTGTAGTGTAGCATGTAGCAATAATCATACCCATGTTGTGATGCACAATGCTCACTCTGCAGCCATCCTAAACCCAGTCCTGCTCCTGAATGGCCTATTATGACTAGCAAGATACACCTAAAGAGGTTCCTGGATGGAAATGATGTTCTGTTCTCAGATACTGCAAAAAGTTTCCTTTCTATATCTAGATTTAGTCAATCAAAAGCTGGTAAGTGTCCATAACAAATGATATACTTACCTTTTAATTCATTTGCACTTTCTTCTCTACGCCGTTCTAATTCTTTTCTATCATAGTTTAATTTCTTTAATGAATTTATTCCGTACTGTAAGCTTGTTCTGGAAACAAATAAACCACATGTCAAATATCAGTGAGAATACATCTGTGGACATATACCAGAATCCCCAAACTAGACAGGGACATATTCGAAGTTTACTTTTAATGATATGAAACGAGTCTAATAACAATGACGAGGGATATGGTAACCACTGCTAATTATTAGGGAGAATCTTGGATTCCAACCCATATTCTGTGGATTCTGTTCCACAGTGGTAGAATGATTGGGTGAGTTTACAGGTCTTAAAAGGTAACTGTCATTTTAAAACCCACCAGAACGAAAATGGTGCACACAAACCTAGCAGTATATAAGGCCAAGCAGGATTCAAACATATACAGTGAGACCCCGGATATCCGGACACATTCGTTTGTGCGTAAATCGTCTGGATAACTGAATATCCGGATATCTGGATTTCTGTCATCCAGGCTTAGGTGTTGAAACGGTAGCGAGCATACACTTCAGGTTTAGAATCACTTCCAAAACAGAGTGGTTGTTTTGATTTGCCAAAGTATTACAATTCACTTTGTGCCAGATGGGCCTACTAATCACTACCAATACCCTGCTGATCGGTCATTAATCCGGATTAGCAGACCTGTCTCGTGTCAAGACACATGGGACACTCGCGCTTCACTTCACACGGTCAGCAGAAGATCAAAGCTCCGTGCTGACAAGTGACTCAATTTTGTGATTTAGCTGGTTGGTTTGTAAAATTTACCGTCTGGGAATGGAAACCGCATATCCGTTATAGACAGTGACTTTTATAACGTAAGAAATTGTTTTTTTAATGAGAATTTACCGGAAGGCGAGGTTTCTGGACATTTGGGGTCTGGGTATGTGGGGTCTCTATGTAATTAGGTTTCTGGCACACCTAAGGAAACACAGCTCTGCTTTGGCAGCTAACTGCAGCACCTTAGAAGACTCTTGATTAGACCTAAGTCATCAGATCCTGACTGGCGAGTCATAAAGAGGTACAAATAAGGCAAAACAATTAGTTCAAGATCAGTAAACCATGACCATTCTCCTTGTTGTTCACTCACCTATGGAAACTATCTACCATTTTTAATTGCCCTCTCAGATCTTTTTTGGTGAGGTGATCAAGCATGCGAGCATCGACCAGACACTCCATAAAATGGCTGCGATACTGCGGTAGACCCAGACTTGGCAACCAGTCGTTCCCGATCCACTCATGGTTCATATCACCAAACGCTAGAGTCTGAATAAGAAATGGTAGCAGACGGTCACATATGTAAACAAAGTAAGCTAGAAATTATGTTTAAATCAAATTTATTTCTTTTCATCCTGATCTGCTCATGGTTCATATCACCAAATGCTAGAGTTTGTCAAATAAATAAAACCTTAGACATTTGAACATTCTGACAAATCATAGATTTTTATCAGTTTGACAAGCCTTACACATTTGATCATTTTGACAAATTGTAGATTTTTATTCATTTTGACAGCCATCGAAATTGGTCCATGCCGACAAATAGCAGACATTTGTTCATTCTGACAAATCATAGACATGTATTCATTCTCACAAGCTTTAGAAGTTTGTTTCCTTTCACACATAACCCAATCTGTGTGTCAATACTGACATAAATGATCACTTGACAAAGAAGTCTTAAATTCTACTTGTTCAAAAAGAAATGTCAACAGTTTACACTTACTGTTCGTGAAGTTTTTGGCGCAGAAGGACTTGTTAGGCTAACCATTTCCTGAATGGCTAGTCTGAGTTTGAGCCTATGTAAGGGTTACTGATACCAATCTCTCGTTGAATCTCGGTGTCGGACAATGCAGACATGATAGCTCCACTTTTGACATTGGCTCGACACGCTGCTACATACCACGCAGGCATCCCTACCCATAACTGAAACAACATGAAATGAGTTGTTAGGACACTAGCATTTGAAACAACACACAGTCAGTGGTTAGGACACTAGCAGTTGAAACAACACACAGTCAGTGCTTAGGACACTAGCAGTTGAAACAACACACAGTCAGTGCTTAGGACACTAGCATTTGAAACAACACACAGTCAGTGGTTAGGACACTAGCAGTTGAAACAATACAAAATCAGTAGTTAGGACACTAGTGGGACATGCTTACTCCTGCTATAATAGCTACTCGATTCTATTCATCCAAATATAATGAAAAGAGAGAGAAAAACTAAGAAAAGCACTGATGTTTCTTTACGTAGCAAAGTCGCACCGACACATTCAGGACTTTCCAGATTTAACTACAAGAATGACTAAAATAAATCTCAGAACAATTCAGCAAGATCATATGTTAGTACTGAACAAAATGCCTTGCAATTATAATAATAATAATCATAGCATATTTGTAACGCGGATATATCCATGCTTATACATGCTCAAAGCGCACAAATAAAAATGCAAGTAAGCCAAAGAGCTACAGTTCAAAGGCTATCTTGTGTTTTTAGATTGGATTTAAAGGTATGAAAGTCAGAATAGTCTCTGAGACTCTGTGGCAGACTGTTCCTGGCCATTGATCCTGTGTGGATCAATGTTAATGTTACACTGCAGGATAAATGGTAGGAAACTGTCACTTACTTCTAACCAGGCTACAACAGTTGGTCCATTCCACAAGGCAAAGGGTGTGCCTGCCTTCATGGCCTCTTCCAACAACTCATGTCTGAAAATACAATATTCCTCATGACTACTCATAATGATCACCAGCCATAGCTTGAGTTATCTTATACATCAGTGTTAGGGACACCAATCTCTATATAAGGTATGTTTTTAGTCTCACACTAGGAATTTGAAAAAACAAACACTAATCACCATTTACACACAACTATTTTCTTTTAAAAGGAACTGAATTTCTTTTACATCTTCCAACACATTTTCTTTTCAGGACAACATATCTAGTGAACAATTTGTTTCATTTTATTTTTTGATTAAAATATATATCATAAATAAATCCAAGGCAAAAGAAAATTTCTTTAATTTCTTTTCAGGACAACATGTCTTGTGAACAATTTGTTTCATGTTTTTTTTTTAGAACAAAATATATATTATAAATAAATCCAGGGCAAAAGAAAATTAAACAGCAACACAGAAATTAGTTGATTGACACATGTGGAGAATTCACTTGTGTCCTTTTCAAAATCTGACAAACATGTTTGAAAGATTTAAACGTCAGTTCAACCTACTTCTTCTTTTTCCTCCTATCAAATTCTGATTGTCCTAGCCCCAGGGTGAGTGCATCTCCACTCCCGTCTGTATCCGTGAAGGCTGTAGCACCACGCTCCAACCCCATAGTCTCTTTGGGTTTCTGCTTCTCCTTCTTACTGAAGAACCTGCCTAGTGAACTCTTCAAGCCCTTCTTTTTTGTATGCTTGTGTAGGGAGTCTTGACTGCTGTGTACACTCCCCATCGGACTTGCTGTCCCGTGAGTAAGTTCATGCAGTTTGCTGCACCTGGAAGGAAGATAACTCTTGATAACAGTGAATTTGATGATGCATAGATGGAAGGGAGATAACTCTTGATGACACTGAGTTTGATGATGCATGGATGGAAGGGAGATAACTCTTGATAAAAGTGAATTTGATGATGCATAGATGGAAGGGAGATAACTCTTGATAACAGTGAATTTGATGATGCATAGATGGAAGGGAGATAACTCTTGATGACACTGAGTTTGATGATGCATGGATGGAAGGGAGATAACTCTTGATAAAAGTGAATTTGATGATGCATAGATGGAAGGGAGATAACTCTTGATAACAGTGAATTTGATGATGCATAGATGGAAGGGAGATAACTTCGACACTGAATTTGACGATGCATAGATGGAAGGGAGATAACTCTTGACGACACTGAATTTGATGATGAATAAATGGAAGGGAGATACAGTCCGTTTGGGTTCAAATAAGAACGATGAATGATTAAATAACTCGAAATCGGGATAAGTGCACAAAACATAAGTAAAAGACATGGTCCTGAAACCTCTGTACCCAACAGGATCTGAAATCTGATGTTTTATGATCGATCACAGAAAAAGTTGTTTAAGAACCTATCATGTAATATTGTTCTATTTCCACACTTCACACCGAGGGGTGACAAATGGCTGGTGGAACAGCGCCAGGATGCACTTCAGGTGCAACTCAGCACAGCCCCATACTAGTCAGGAAACAGTCGGTGCTGTTCCACCAGCCGTTTGTCACCCCTCAGTGTGAAGTGTGAAAATGGAACAATATTAGAAGACAGTTTCACTCTGGATGTGCCAGAGATCTGTATCTGTTAATATGGGGCATGCAGCACAGGTAAACCTTCATAGTTTTGATATGGGTTTTAGAAGGTTAATGGAGTAACACCTGGGATTATCTACTACAGACCTAGGGTAGATAAGGGATAGATTTGAAGACGATCTAACATGGTGTTCACATCTCCTTCACATACTCACGACCCGTGAAGATCCGGGGTAGAATAGGTCTTCAGCAACCCATGCTTGCCACAAAAGGCGACTATGCTTGTCGTAGGAGGCGACTAATGGGATAGGGTGGTCAGACTCGCTGACTTGGTTGACACATGTCATTGGTTCCTAATTGTGTAGATCGATGCTCATGCTGTTGATCACTGGATTGTCTGGTCCAGACTCGATTATTTACAGACCGGCGCCATATAGCTGGAATATTCCTGAGCGCGGCTTAAAACTAAACTCACTCACTCACATACTAACAACAACTATCCTTAGTTCAATATAGTCTAGCCACACTATGAAGTTGCACAGCCCATTTATCCATATTTCTTTTTTTCAATGTCTAAAAGTATATTTGAAATCTATTCCAACTGATAAATAGAAACAAGCATATGGCACTTACACCGGAGAATTGTCAGCACTTTGTTGAGCTAGTGCTCGGGCGACCCGTTCTAACCTCAGTGACCGTGGTGTCGGTGGACTAGATTCGCACTTAATCTGTCTCGCTTCATCTTTACTGCTGAGGGCGGTGTCGTCGCGACTGTACTGGGGCTTCAAAGACGAAAACATGGGAGTGTAAAATATCCTTATAATTCCCTCCCCTGTTATCACTCAGAGAAATGTTCATCACAGATATAATCTTCGCATATTCTTGAACACATCATATTCAGTTTTCATTAAACAATGCTACTCATATGAACATACACAATTCCTATGACCAATAATAATTCTGAAAATAAATGTTGTTATTTACATGACACACATCTGGAAAAGAAAATATGAATTAAGGATGTAAGAATTTTACACAATGTATCTCGCTTCATTGGCTGTGATAAGATTAATGGTCACTTTGTATTGACCTGTCAAGCTGGTCATAGCACCCTGCGGTTGTTGGCCTAATGGCAAACACTCTTAAAGGCATACCAAAATATTTCTGGTTTAAACAACTTTTTGATCTCATATTCTTTGATAAATCTTCAAGTTTCAATTACAATAATAAAAAGAAATTATATTTCTATAACCAAGTGATTGCATTATGTAATGCATATTTGAAGAACACCTGACATTATCATGCCATTACTGAAATGGTAATTCCTATTCTCAGACAGATCAGACTAAAATTTGTTTCACCAACTCTTCTTGACATTTTACAAGTGTCAAAAAAAGCATGCCTTTAACAATTCTTGCCACTTCCAGCCAATCAACCAGCCTAGAATAAGCCAACCCTTGATGCCATAATCACTATGGTAACGTCTAAGAACCTTCCCAAAGCATTTATCTCATTTGCAAAGCATATGGAAAAGCCAATGAGTTGCCCTCCCATCTGCGCTAAACAGCAATGGTGAACAATAGCAATATAGCGAAGCTACTAAGTCATAAAGTCTCTGAAGGCTACCGCCTTCATGACAACGATAACGACCCATCAGCAGTTCCCTCCCTTGGATTTCAATTGGCAAAATTAGATCGTTTATTGATTTTTGTCTGAAAGCCTGCATCTACTTTGACTTGGCCTGTTTGCAGTTCTACTGATAAAATGGTTTAAGGAATGGAGGAATTCTCTGTAGCTATGATGTACAGAGAGCTACTCTAGGCTCTAGAGCGAGGTCAGAGGGCTGACCCATCTAAACTTCTAGACAGGTGAGACTACACTGTGTGACTAGCTCTATATAGTCCTGCAAAATAATAGTACAACATTGTTACAGAAAACAAAATTTATTTATTTCAAAACATCAATTGCAGAAATTTAACCATGCGTGAAATAGTTGCCACATTCCACATAGTGCTGCCATTTTCCTGTACGCAACTCAGATAGGCTTTTTGGAAATCGAAAAAAAAATATGTCACGGCTAAAAACCTTAATAAATATCCTGTATACAGTTTGACCTTTGACCTCAGTCATTTTGAAACTGTGTTGCATATACTTACAAAAATCAGGACAGATAGTCTTGTTTGACAAACAGTCTTGCTTGAGTGGGAAAATTTCTCATACAATCTTTACAGATTCATCTCCATAAGAGTTTAATGTTTACATCTATTACTTTTCCAAGGAATTATGTTACAACCTTTCAAAGAGAGATTTAATATCTGTCACCCTGTGCAATATATCTTTCATTCCCTTCTTCCTTGAAAAATCTCACATGATAAGAGATATCGTCTTATATTGTGAACATAGGCTGAGATAAAAATATTATTACCTTTGCACCAATCACACACTCATGAGAAAAAGTTATTTTCTGAAAATGAGACATGAAATAACTCGCTACGTTATTTATCGCTTAAACTAGATTTTTTCTGCTTGAGCTCAAGGTTCTTTTACTCAATGAGACAAGAACCTTTCTGCCCTGAGATATTTTTTCTTATCTTTCCAAAAGGAAACCAATTTCTCCTGTCAGGAGATTTGGTCACTTATTACCTTTGCATTAGAAAAGTTCACCCCAATGCTGAAACCTTTAAGTGAAACACTTTACCCCTATCCTTGAGACACACTATTTATCTCCTGCCAAGTGAGACATTTCACCCCTACACTGAGACACACTATTTATCTCCCACCAAGTGAGACTTTTCACCCCTACACTGAGACACACTATTTATCTCCTGCCAAGTGAGACATTTCACCCCTACACTGAGACACACTATTTATCTCCTGCCAAGTGAGACATTTCACCCCTTCTCTGAGACACAATTTTTAGCTTCCAATGAGTGAGACATTTCACCCCTACACTGAAACACATTATTTATCTCCCACCAAGTGAGACTTTTCACCCCTACACTGAGACACACTATTTATCTCCTGCCAAGTGAGACATTTCACCCCTCCTCTGAGACACATTTTTTAGCTTCCAACAAGTGAGACATCTCACCCCTATACTGAAACACATTATGTATCTCCCACAAAGTGAGACATTCCACCCCTACATTGAGACATATTATTTATCTCCCACCAAGTGAGATATTTCACCCTACACGGACACATTATTTATCTCCCACCAAGTGAGCCATCTCCCACAAAGTGAGACATCTCACCCCTACACTGAGACACATTATTTATCTCCCACCAAGCCAGACATTTCATCCCTACACCAAGGCACATTATTTATCTCCCACCAAGTGAGACATTTCAGCCCTACACTGAGACATATTATTTATCTCCAACCAAGTGAGACATTTCACACCTTACACTGAGACATATTTATCTTCCAACAAGCCAGACATCTCATCCCTACTCAAAGACATATTATTTATATCCCACCAAGTGAGACATCTCACCCCTACACTGAGACACATATTTGATCTCCCCCCGGAGTGAGACGTATCTAATATACCTGCTGCGCTGCTGCAGTATCAGCAGATGTTGCCAATTGCGGACTAGATGAGGAATAGGTGTACAAGTGGGAGGCAGATATACCCGCTGGTGCCTACAATGACAGGAAAAGGTCCACGTTATCCCACACGCTGGGAGATGCCTGTATCTCACGCTGGGAGATACCAACTTTATCGGCGCATGCCTGATCTCAATGATCCGTTTTGTCTCAGTCAATACACTATAATTTTTCTTCTCAATTTGGCAAATCTCATGCAAAACCACTGGGTAAAACAGACCTCAAATGACTGAAGTTAATTCTTTGAATTCTTTTGCAAAGACTTCAGCCAGAACAGGCTGAAGCTGCTTGTTTGGTGTCTAGAAATATTGGTGACAAAAGTTGAAGTTTTGTGCCTTTGGTATCCCCCAGATGAGCGTTATAAGGTATAATGCATGCTTGGGATGCAGTGTTCACAGTGCAACCTAGCTATGATTATATTTCATCAGAGACGCTGCCATTGGGCATCCCACTACCAGCATGGAGAATAAACTTCTGTCAAACACCCTCACTCATAGAAGTCTTTGAAAGGCATTTAGATATTGATTACTGAGACAAATCATAAACCACCTTTTCATCGTTTTAACATTTACTAGTTACTTCTAGTCCATTTATGACATTTCAGGGTCAGGTAATGATGGGGCAGATAGTGGCCCTGAAAAAACACTACCCAAGAAAAAAAAAAAAATAAATAAAAATGTCACGTTTACTTTCTTTAACGAAAAAAAGCTACTTGGAACTAGAAATTGAAATAATCTTCCTTTAAAGAGCTATTTTGGAAAAGCTCAAACATAACTAAATGAAGCCAATAAGAAACATTGTTCTACCAATTCATAGGATAACACGTAAGGTATGTGACTTAGGCTATGAATTTTTAGGTGCACACTCAGGCTAATCTGCAGACCCAGCAACTTTGATTTCAGTTCTTGAAATTAAAACCATGCTACCGTTCTGCTGTCAAGCAATCTGCCAAATAATGATGGCCTGACTACATGCAGACAATGTCTGTTAAACAAGGTAAAATCTCCCATGCTTACACATTTGGTAAACGAAGCAAATATGAGGATTTGTCCTCATTTCTCTCAGGTAACACTGGGCCAATAACAGTTATCTGTCCAACCCCTGATCCCCTCCCACATGCTGATAGTGGCTGGCAGGGCCCTGTGTGGCTATATATATATATAGATATATATATACATATAAGTATATCCTTATCTAAGCAGGCAGGTTAATCATGCATGTTACTAATTAATTGCACACAACCCAAACAATTAGTTTAGAGACAAAATTATTTTAAAAAGTTTTTTGGGAAGTTTTTAATATTTATATGTAATCACAATTTTTCAGTTTTTAAAGAGACAATCTGCCAAAAATTGCCTCAGATTAGGGTATCAGTTAGTAACACACATGATAAACATTCAAAAAGCTTCTATAAAAACAATGAAAACATAGCAAAGCTTGTAAATATCATAATTAATAAAGCACCAATTATGCAGTAATACCCTTTATGTCTAAATATTTATTGACTAGTATAAGCAAGCAATCAAAAGTTCTTAGTGCAAGATTCAATATATACTGACAAAAGTGCATAATATGGATGAATATAATAGTTAAGAAATATGCCATGTACAATAACTGGTACCAGGACAATTTTGTACCAACGATCATAATGTAGGGTATATTCCCGAACTTTTCATGCTTATGAAAAAGAGACGTCTTTTATGAATTTGTATACTGTCATCCCTATGGCTTAACAATTACTTTTATCTTGCCTCACACATAAATGTTGTTTTCTGATTGGCTGAGCGCTCTTCTCTTATTTTCAATGTACCCTGCTAACAAGCGAGTAACATTTTCCATGTACCCAGCTGGGAATGCCGAACTCATTTGGTACTTCGTAGTAGTAATTCTTTATCTCTAATAACATTGAATCAAATATGATGTACGGAATTACCGACGTTTTGCAAATGCATATCAATGGAAGGGAGATAACTCTAAATTTGTTTTTCTTGTCATCTGGTACTCCATACTATGACCCGATACCCGTGCTTCAAAAAGGTTCAAAATTACCATTGAGGTGTTTGGTAAAATAAATACGTTGTTCACTGGTCCCTCGAGACCAGTGAACAACTTATAATATGAGCTGCTGATTAATCAGTGAAGGAGTCGGTGTATGCTGTTTTACACCACATGTACCAACAAGGAATCAAGGCTTAGTCGGAAAACCTGAGGTTGATACCATGAGCATCCATGGGGTACAATAAAATGCAATCAGCCATGTGATACCATCCAGCGATTCAAACAGCGATACGGTTTATCTGGGATATTTCTTTATTTAAAGTAGTAATTTCCCAAATGATTCTGTAATCATTATCATCATGTCCCCATGTGCAGTCTTGATGAAACAGATATTATCTCGGAAACTTTATTTTCTGTATTCGAAATCTTCCCATCACAAACTAAAACAAGTGATTATTAATTGATATTTTTTGGTCATACATGAGAAAAAGACTGAAGGGGATCAATATCGTGGTTTGAAAAAGCAGTCAATGTTTTAGAAACAAAAATTAATACTACATTTCATGTAATCCTATTGGCGGAATACAGATCCAAATATTGTAATCATTCTTCCAGATAGCAATGGCCAGTACCTGATTTGCAGATCAGTTGGTATAAAGACAACCATGTCAGACTTAAGATCAATTCTGTCTCGGGAGTCACCAGGACAAACTTAAAGGCACAATGTCACACATTTCCGAATATATTTTGGCCTACATTATATATATTGGGCATATGCAGTCACTTTAACTTCCTATTGATGTAATAAAATCCCTTATGATTTGCCTGAAATTGATAATTGAAACTTCGAGGCGAACACTTGCCATATATGGAATGCAAACAACTGCTCCGTACATTGAAAACTCTCTTACACGGTGTTGTCGGTGTTTGCCAAACTGGTTTCAATCACAAGTGGTGTGTAGGATATTTCGTAAAGAGTGCTCCAATGGACAACTCTATGGACTTCGCTTGAAATAATGTTCGGCCGGTAGGCAACGTTGCATTAATAGATTTGAACTTTTAAATTTAATATTGTAATCTAAATACGTAATATTTTGGAGTAAATTATATGGCAGCTTCCCCGAGGGCAGATAGTTTGTATTATTGAGAGAAATGCATTATATATTTTTAGAGAAGTGTGGTGTGATATAGTGCCTTTAAGGTTCGGGAGATCTCTCTGTTAACTCTGTCAACCATTCAGTTAATTTAGTTTGCATATTCCAAAATTCATTTTTTGTAAAACCTTGCTGACCAGTAACCATGGCAACGCCCCAACATAGCAGCATCATACTTACATAGACACAGAGTTTATACGGTTGAAGCCATTACTTTGAAGCAAAGATGACAATAAACTGTTAACTAGGCATTTTAGAAGTTGGTGACTGTAAAGGTAAAATACTTCCCTGAATGACAACTTCATAATCTATTATGATGCGAGATTTCGGTATAGATCTTTATACTGTTGTCAGCAACAGTGACACATGGTGTAAAGATCTAAAGAGTGAGCGAGTTTAGTTTTACGCCGCACTTAGCAATAATCCAGCCATATGGCAGTGGTCTGTAAATAATTGAGTCTGGACCAGACAATCCTGTGATCAACAGCATGAGCATCGATCTATGCAATTGGGAACCGATGACATGTTCAACCAAGTCAGCGAGCCTGACCACCCGACCCCGTTAGTCTCTTACGACAAGCATGGGTTACTGAAGATCAATTCCGACCCGGATCTTCACGGGTAATTAAAAGATCTAACAAGCTGTCATCCAAAAAAGTATCTTGCCTCAAAGATGACAATAGTGTTACTTGCAAACAGTCTGCACGAACATGGTGCAACGCTTTATCATGGACACGTCACAAAAGCAGCTCCTCTTGTTATGGTACTGGGAATTAACTGGCTCTATTAATTTACGGCTATGATTTGTTTGCAGTCATACAGCGAAACTGATCAATATTTCATCTCGGGTACATCACTGAAAACCATCCACGGCAACTCAGGGATGTTTCTAGGACACCTACCTAAGTGCCTTAGCTAGCAAATTGGAAAAAACAAAATCATTATTCTCAGAAAATTGGCATTGTCTAAAGTTATTATTTTCTTAAATTTACAGGTAGCTTAACAACCAAACACAATAACACCTCTTCCTCTTTGTGTTTCCTGATGTCAGGTAAAGAAGTCTACCCCATAACTATATATTGGTTTTAACTACATTAACAAGAATTAGGAACTTTTATCTTTTAGGAATTTTTACAGACATTTCTTGCAGACTTTGGGCAAAGATCAGTCCCTGTGCAAGCCTAAAACAATCCCTGAAACTTAATAATAACCCCCAACCTTGCAAAGGATAGTACCAGGCAACTGAGATCAGAAGTTATAAACAGTAAGACAACGATGCCAATGTCGATGTCAACAGTTTCATCTATGATAGGGACAAAAAAATACCAGACAGGGAAGATTTCCTTATCAGCTGATGTACAGTGAGACCTCGGATATCCGGACACATTTGTTTTTACGTAAATCATCCGGATAATTGAATATCCGGATATCTGGATTTTTGGTTTTCATACACCTTTAGGATAATCCAAAATGTTTTTGATCATCAAGCCTTTATTGTACATGTATAGACATTAAAAAAACAGCATCACAACATAATAATCATACCTTTACAATTATTATTTTATTGAGGACTGCTTACACTGGGTGCCGCTGCTTTGCAACACGATGGAGAACATTTTTACTTGAATATCGAGACACTGCACTTTTATTGCTTTGACTGAATAAACAACTTAACAGTTAGAACTCAATGTGTCAGCTAGGCCTACTAATCACCACCAATACCTTGCTGACCGATCATTAATCCGAATTAGCAGACCATGTCTCGTGTCAAAACACATGGGACTCTCGCGCTTCCCTTCACACGGTCAGCGGTAGATCAAAGCCTCGTGCGGATACGCGAGTCAATTTTGTGTTGATTTAGCTGGTTGGTTTGTAAAATATACCGTCCGGAAACGGAAACCGAATATCCATTATAGACAGTCACTTTTATAACGTAAGAGATTGGTTTTCTCTAAAAAATTGACCGGAAGGCGAGGTTTCCGGATATCTGGGGTCCGGGTATCCGAGGTCTCACTGTAATTTGTTTTATAGCAATTGCTGCATCATACAGACCATGGCTTAATCACTTAGTACATAATTCTATACTGACAAGTAGTGCTGTTTTCTGATGGCTACTGTGACAAACCTCATTTCTCCTATCAAGGAAACTCTACGGTATACCTTTGAAACACCCTCATTAATGGCAAACCCCTTTCACTTATATACGTACACTACTTCGCTGTTGAAAGGGATACCGGTACTTATTTATCAGTGAGTATGCTTTTACGCTCCTTTCAGCAATATTCCAGTAATATCATGGCAGGGAACCCAGAAATGGGTTTCACACATTTTGTACCCATGTGGGGAATCGAACCCGGACCTTTGGTGTGACGAGCCAATGCTTTAACCACTAGGCTACTCACAGCCCACCAACACATGAAGAAATTATCTGTCCTTCATTAATTACTTGATTCATGGAAATACCTCTGTTGACAGCAATATAGAATGATGCATCGATCAGTTATTGTAATACCCCTATTTCAATTATATTTATAAAAACTGCAGAAAAGATATAAATTCATTTATTAAAGTCCAACCATTATTCTGCAATGTTCCTTCAATGTTTCCATAAGCATATACTTCCCACTTTTCAACAGTACAAGGCAAATCTTCATGTTTTGTATGAGCACATCACATGAAAATGTTCCATAAACAACAATATTGACGAGTCACAATGGACAAGTGTGGACAGAACATCACCTGCATGGCATATTTCTTAACGTGAGTCTGATGAGATATAGAGTGCTAGCATGCTACACGGATGAGCACCCTCTCACAACAGCCACGGACAACATCGAGGTCAAAGGTCAAAGTCAGGAAGTCATGCTTCAGACAAGTTCAAGGTCACCAAAACAAAAATAAACTGAAGAATATTTTTGTCAAAATTCAATCATGCATTTAAATAAATGACATAATATTTAATGTCCCAAAGAACCTTTAAATGAGTTAAAAACATGCTTGCATGCATTTGAAAGAATTAAATTTGAATTGAAATATGCATAAAATAAATCAAAATCAAGAAAAATGATGAAAGATGATTATGATCAAGTGCGACCAGCAGCGAGGTGAAAGTATTCAGGTAAATTAGTCAAATTTCAACTAAAACATCTGGTCAATTTTGATATAAAATACAATATAAAATCTTGTTTCCATCTAAACTGAAAAAGTTTAAAAAAAATAAAAATAAAATGAATAAGTATGTCACAAAATACAGAACTAAAGTACAACACGAGAAACGAAACCTTGAGAAAATGGCATGTGACCATTTGGCGACTGGGGAAGGAAATATGGGCAGGGAGGGGAGGTGACTCAAGCATAAGCGACACGCATGTCTGAAACGCAAATATAGCAAAATAGACTCGTTGTTAGCAAATTAATATCCAAAGATGTTGGTCATTAAATCTACACAACCACCCCAACATCTCTAAGCAAATAATTCAAAACAATTCTCGTGTAGCAGTTAATTGTAAGTCAGAACAAACATTAAGCTTTCTAACGACCATGTATTAGTGCAAAAAAGCCAAAATTTACTCAACTATTTGCAAACAGCCAACAAAGATACAATGTTTTAAAATACATTATTAATACAACTGTGTTAAATCAATGAAAAAATCTCAACATGCACAATTGTTAACCCGAGCAGTATCGCTAAATGACAAAGCAAATTTGCTTTACCACTTAAGGTCGATACAAGCTGAACTGACCAGTCTTATATCTATACGCCAGAGAGATATTTTCCAAATTTCATCCACAGTATTCCTGTTGTATATTCTGCATACATGTATGAGCTGATATAGGCCAAACAAATTGTGAAAATGCACGTTTACAAAATGCATGCATCACAAGATACGCTTCATTTTAGTATTAGTTGACAATACTACCAAATTTAGCAATGGGGCCACAGTTCACACGATTATTTAAGCAATTAATCATGTCCAAGTACGGAAACAGTCTGTTACAGGACAAGAATCACACATGTATGTTTTTAAAAACGACTGCCGACTATAGGTACGAACTATGGACGTGAGGGGATTAAGATTAAATCTAGACTCTTTCGTTGTCACCACGTCACCTGGGCCATTAGGCATGCCAGAAACAAACCAAAAGGAGGGGAAGAACTAAAAATAGCACAGTGCTGGGAAGATTCACAGTCTTCACTCTCGCTCGCACCCTCCACTCATGGCCACTACACACGCACGCTCGGCCGCTGATGACACGATGAGTGAGTATGCTAGCCGTCAGCTAGCCCGGCCACGGACTTACGGTGTGGTATTTTTGGAGAATATCTCTCGACTGATATGTTCTGGGCGTGGGTGTTGAGCGCCCGCTGAGAGGGGGAGACGAGCGCTCGTAGCCCTGCGGCCACCTGGTGGCAGCTATAGCATCAAGACTCCCGCTTCCTACCCGACTCTCCAGTTCTTCCGCTCTCTGCTCGGTGCTCTCCTTTTCTTCCTGTATTAACCTGCAACAAATTTGGGTCTCTTAGCGGGCACGGAGGAAAGGAGGGAAAGAAGGTGAAAATTCTTATCAGATAGTCAACACAGAGTCTTCTTAGGAGTCGGTGCAAGTGAATGTACCCGATCTCAAAACAAAGGTAAAAGGACAGTTTCAAATGGAAAATAAAAATGGCCACATGGAGATCATAAAGGCTTGTTTGTCTAATGTTAGTGTCATAAATTTAAATCAATACTGCTAATTCTAAACCTAATTCTAAACCACAATACCCACTGAGGTTTCTTAGAAGAAGAATCAGTGAGTGAGTTAGGGCTGTGTGGCACAGATGAGAACATATCAGTCAGTGAGGGAGACCTTAGCCAATTAGCCATCCCTGGATCCTGTCGCACATAAGGGAGACAACTCTGGAAGCTTCGTTGCAGAGCCTTAGACCACTACACCCTCTATACCCAAAGACGCAGCGCTGAGGACTGGGGACAAGGGGAGACAACTCACCTAATCTCATTGTTTATTGCATCGAGCTGTTCCTGTAGCATGAGGGCGAGGGTCTGTGCGTCCGTGTGTCCGGTAGGAGACAGCAGATCCACAGCTCCGAATATTGACTCGTTATCATCTGTTCCCTCGGTGTCCGACGTATCGAATGCGTGTTGAACGTTTGCCAACACGTGCGCTTGTTGTAACTTCTCCCATTCTTGTTCATTCAGCGTGTTAACCTGTTGGGATGCCATGCCAAAATATTGCATAAAATAGGTCTATATTCATGTGACTGAGCATATCTTATTAGAAATAGTCATATCTTTTCCTTGGAATCGGTTTTCAGCCTACAAACCCCTATCCATACCTTGGACTTGTCAATCAAACCTTTGTCAAGACTTGCATCAGTCATTGACCCTCACTGAAACTTTGACAGGTCTTGTACCCCCCATCACAACTTGGCCCACTACCCATAGTACCACCATGGACAGGCCCAACACCCCCATCATCACCTTAGACTGACCCCCTATCAATATCATCACCTTGGAGTGGCCCACAATCCCTATCACCACCTTGGACTGGCCCACCACCTCTTTCCCCACCTTGGACTGGCCTAACACCCCTCTCCCCACCTTGGACTGGTCCTCCAGGAGTGCCTGCTCCCGACCACGTTGTACTCTCCTCAACACGCTCTCCTCAACTCCAAGTCCCGTCCTGGAAAAGAACATAACAGAAATAACAATGATATTTATGAAAACAACATTAACTACATAAGTGTTTGCCCTACGCTTAACTGTGGGAATTTTATATTCATACTTTGATCTTTGATAATATAAAGTTACAAACAATGGCTGATGCAGGTATCAGATATTTACCACTTCGGTAAAACCACAAGTCTGAGAATGGGTCTGACAAACCTAGAAACATAGTCCGACCAAACTAGGATTCAAACCCAAAATGATAGTGCATTTTATGCCGCTTTTACCAATATTCCAGCAATATCACGGCAGGGAACACCAGAAATGGGCTTCACACATTGTACCCATGTGGGGAATCAAATCTGGGTCTTCGGCGTAATGAGCGAACACTTTAACCACTAGGCCACCCCATTGCCCCCGAAATGATAGTGTCTTGGGTGCATATAAAAGTGCCTTGGATGACTTGGCCACATGTCTTCCCTTAAATTAAACCCTGAACTTGAACTGGTAGGAGTTGGTATCTATGGAAGAGCTATATATTTATTTGAGCTACAGATAAATGTCCTACCTCATAATTTGTTCAATCTGGGCTCGGAGAATCTCCACCTCTTTCCGGTATCTCTGCAGGTCTTCATTGATTCGTTCCTGGAATAGACATGTGATAACAGTCATACCACACCGCCATTGTAACAATGTTAGTTTCAGTGTTTGTTTGTTGTTCAATATCGCACGAAGCAATATTCCAGCTACATGTGTACATGTGTAATCATCCAGACAATCCAGGATTGAGATCGGTCCAATGATTGACATCATGAGCAATAATCCACATTGTCAATGTTGCCTTATGAAATGCTTGGGAAAAGCGGTAACATGTGTTGTGCAAACACATAAAGGAATCTCTTTTTACATGAACAATAACTTGACCTTCCTTTACATATATGTAAATTTTAATCATACTGCATAGGGCATTGTAAGTAGTTGGTTGGTTGGTTGGTTGGTTGTGTAACACCGCACTCAGCAATATTCCAGCTATATGGCGGCGGTCTGTAAATAATCGAGTCTGAACCAGACAATCCAGTGATCAACAGCATGAGCATCAATCTACACAATTGGGATACGATGACATGTTGTCAACCAAGTCAGCGAGCCTGACCACCCGATCCCATCAGTTGCCTCTTACGACAAGCATGGGTTACTGAAGATCAATTCTAAACCCGGATCTTCACAGGACAGGTTGTAAGTAAAGATTGCACACACATGATTGATAAAAAGACATATACTTGACAAAGTCATCAAATAACTGTGACAACTTCTACCACAAACATAGGCTACTGGAACTGCACCTTTCCTTGAAGGCACAAGGGCACGCTATGGAGCAGGATCAAGGATCCTGATGAAGGAAAGGGACATAACTGCATGGCTTACCTTCTCCTGCTGTGTGTCATCGAGGAGTTTCCGAGTGCGGTCCAGCTCCTGAGTCAACTGGTTCTTCTCCTCAAGTGCCTGCATTCTCTCCTTGAGGTGAAGCTGCAGCCGCTCGTTGCTCTCCGATAACAGTTTGTCCACAGTCGCCGATAGCCGAGCATTATGTTCCTCATTCATCTTCTCACGTTGACGAGCCTGTCGACACATCAAGATAACACATAGCAGTGATGTCAACACCACAGAGGTCATCAAAATACTGGAATGACTTTGATATCAAAATCAATAAAATGTAGTGATTGAGTTCAGTTTTACGCCGCTTTATACCATATTCCAGCTATATCACGGCAGGGAACACCAGAAATGGGCTTTACACATTGTACCCAGATGGGGAATTGAACCCGGGTCTTCGCGTGACGAGCGAACGCTTTAACCACTAGGCTACCCCACCGCCCCACTAAAATGTATTTGTAGGAGGGACAAATAGCATCTTTCTGGATTCAACACAGGTAGAACAGTGTAAAAATACAGGAAACAAGGAAACAAAAGCCCCTCTCAAAAAACTAATAAAGGGGACTCCAAGATTCAAACACTACAGCAGAAACCTGCGGGAACAGAAGACCTCTCTTCATGTTTTTAAACTGAGGTCAATCAGGGCTCCAGATAAGGGCCGTATTGGCGTATGTATGGATATAAAATATGTACGATACGGTAGGAAATAATTTTAGAAAAGTAGCAGATACGCACCACAGCAATGGTGTACGGTGTTAGAATCATTTACAGACATATTTTTTTAAAAGTATTGTCTTTTTGTTTATTGACCTGTTTAACAAGAGTAGCAATGCTGTGGTGCATATATGAAACGAAACACAGGATTACTGATACTGATTGAATTCCATTCAGTACTCTAAATGTACCTTAAGGTTTTCCAGTACTCCTGTATTGAAAAAATAAGGAGTAAGTACTCCTGATGAAATTATCTGGAGCCCTGTCAATACAGGTGAAATTTAGTTTCTTATTGTCCTACCCGCTGTAGTTCAGAGTCCTTGTCCTGGAGATTGGACTCCAGCTGTTCAAGACGCTCTTGGACTGAACCATGCTGCTCCTCTGCCTGCAGCACAGTGAGTGAGTGAAACGTAGCACCAGGGTGAGTGAGGGTACACAACAAAGGATTAGGCTAACTGTACTTCACATATATACAAGTTCATGTAACAATCAGATTCATATATATTCAATGATCAGATCTCTATAATAACTGATTCATGTCAGATCTCTATAAACAATCAATCAGATCTCTATAATAACTGATAAGAGCTACATTCAACAATCAATCCATTAACAACAATTCAATCAGATCTCTCTAATCCTCCATTCAACAATCAACTGATCTCTATAATAAGAGCTCCATTCAACAATCAATCAGATCTATAATAACTGATAATAACTGATAACTGAGCTCCATTCAACAATCAATCAGATCTCTATAATAACTGATAAGAGCTCCATTCAACAACAGATCTCAATCAGACCTCCATTCAACAATCAATCAGATCTCTCTAACACAATGAACAGATCTCTATAATAACAGATCTCTCTAACACAACTGAACAGACCTCCATTCAACAATCAATCAGATTCTATAACAACTGATAAGAATCCATTCAACAATCAATCAGATCTCTATAACAACTGAACTCTCAACAACACAATCAATCTCAATCAATAACACAACTGAACAGACCTCCATTCAACAATCAATCAGATCTCTCTAACACAACTGAACAGACCTCCATTCAACAATCAATCAGATCTCTCTAACACAACTGAACAGACCTCCATTTAACAATCAATCAGATCTCTCTAACACAACTGAACAGACCTCCATTTAACAATCAATCAGATCTCAACAACTGAACAACTGAACAGACCTCCATTTAACAATCAATCAGATTTATGTAACACAATCGATCACACCTCCATTTAACACTTTATCAATACCATTTAACAATCAATCAAATCTCCAATTAGCAATCAACAGGACCTCCAGTTACTAGACCATCAGATCTTTCACCAATCTTCAATCAGACCTCAAGAAACTTAATCAATAACATGTAACGATCAGTGCAAGATTTGGGTTTTGAGCAATATAGCAATATTCCAACAAAGTACATTGTGTAAATGCTTGAACCACCTGGATACCCTCCATGTAACAATGGATTCTTCCTCTGAATGCAGTTTTGTTTAAAATAGTTTAAAAAACATACTGGTTCTTCTTTTCTATTTTCCAGCAAATCAAAATATTTAAAAAGCAAACATTTTCAGCCAACTAAATAAAACCTATCAATTCTCTTGTCAACAAAAGTGATCCTGAATGCTTGAAAACTTTGGGAGTCTGGATCAGAGGAAACTTCCATTTTGTGGATTTTCATTTATTTAATTTTCAAAACATTCAATCTCCACTCCAACTTTCCAACTTATGTTCCCACATAATCACCGACCTGTCATCGGCTCTCACTACGACAGACAGACAACACTGTCACAACACATTCACCTTTGTGGTTTATTAATACCAAAATAAATTGCATGAAAATTAATCTGATCGCATGTTGACGTATGTCACCAGGGCCGAGTTTCAGGGCATGTGACGCGCGGAAGACACTAATTAGTGCAACTGTTACACCAACCGTCCCACCGAGACAACTTTCAGGGCCAACATTATCAGCAGCATCTCTCTTCAAAGGCAGCCAATCAATACATGAGCTCATCTCATTGCAGCCTAATGCTACTTGCCTACAGACAACTTCCAAGTCTGTATGCGCACGACATCCTCCCTACTGACCTGAGTGGGATTGTGATTACGTAACACCAACCTCCCTTCAGTCATTAGTGCTTGTAAATAACGCACAGGTAGTGAGAAAAACTGGTATTGTTTAGCTTTCATTAGGAACATTGTTTTAAATTGTTTTCACCACAAATAATGAGTAAATAATTGAATCCCCCTCCTTTGACATACAGTGGGAATGTTGGATGATCATGGAAGGATAGTTGGACACATCGGGCTCTGACTAATTACGCCACCATTTCTTGTTGTTCTGTCAATAAGGTAACCCAGCCTACGTGACTCGACGCCGTTTACAGGTCCATCAAACTTTCTATTTGAAAAGAAAACGATAGTTGTGTTTGTTTTAGGCAATAATTTATCTTGCACTTGGCGAGCCATTAGGATCAGTCAGATAGTGAGTCAGTGATGGGGTGATACGATCTATATTGCAGGTGGTATCATCCATATTGGATGAGTCTGCAAAGTGTTATGGGGCTGGAGCAGGAAAACAAGTGGTCGATAGCGGAAAGCTGATAATTCCTGACACAGATCGGTTCAACAAGATGAGTGAGTGAGTGAGTTTAGTTTTACGCCGCACTCAGCAATATTCCAGCTATATGGCAGCGGTCTGTAAATAATCGAGTTTGGACCAGGCAATCCAGTGATCAACAGCATGAGCATCGATCTGTGCAATTGGGAACTGATGACATGTGTCAACCAAGCCAGCGAGCCTGACCACCCGATCCCGCTAGTCGCCTCTTACGACAAGCATGGGTTACTGAAGGTTTATTTTAACCCAGACCTTCAAGGGTCTCGACAAGACGATCAAAAAGCAACTACAGTTAACTACAGTTATAATGAGTGAGTGAGTTGGGTTTTACGCCCCTTTTAGCAATATTCCAGCAACATCACGGCTTAGAAATGGGCTTCACACATTGTACCCATATGGGGAATCAAACCTGGGCCTTCGGCGCGACAAGCGAACGCTTTAACCACGAGGCTACCCCCTCACCCCTACAGTTATGATGAACTGAGAGGGACCACTAATTCTAGGTCATTATGACCGAAGTTCATTATAACCATTTTGAAAATAATTGTAAGGAAGTGGCTGGGACCAGAAAAAAACCCCAGGTCGTCATATCCGTCAATTTCGCCATAAACACAGTTTACTGTACTTCCCATAATCAGACTTATGATAGACATAGTGCTATGAACTCCGTTATAAATGGTGTCCTGAAAGGTTACCCATACACTAATTATCCACACTCTGTGACTGTGACACTCATCTCAACACCTCCATACACAGGAAGTGATCACCCCTCTAGCAATCACCCATGCTCTACAAAAACTGTGACGTTCATCCCAATATGTCCATACACAGGAAGTGATCACCCCTCTAGCAATCACCCATGCTCTACAAAAAAAACTGTGACGTTCATCCCAATATGTCCATGCTCAGGAAGTGATCACCCCTCTAGCAATCACCCATGCTCTACAAAAAAAACTGTGACGTTCATCCCAATATGTCCATGCTCAGGAAGTGATCATTCCTGTAAAAACCATCCATACTCCACAACATGCCAAAAGTTGTTCCTCACCAAAAGTTGTTCCTCAAGTTGATCCAACAACCATCCACACTCTGTGATTCCTTAGACTGCTCCTCTAATAACCATGCTGCACCAACCCCACCAGCCTTTCCACAACCCAACACACCTGGTTCAGGGCAACCATCACACAACCCTCCACACATTGTGCCTGGCTCAGGGCAACCATCACACAACCCTCCACACATTGTGCCTGGCTCAGGGCAACCATCACACAACCCTCCACACATTGTGCCTGGCTCAGGGCAACCATCACACAACCCTCCACACATTGTGCCTGGCTCAGGGCAACCATCACACAACCCTCCACACATTGTGCCTGGCTCAGGGCAACCATCACACAACCCTCCACACATTGTGCCTGGCTCAGGGCAACCATCACACACACACATTGTGCCTGGCTCAGGGCAACCATCACACAACCCTCCACTCTGTACCTGGCTGAGGGCAACCATCACACAACAATGTACCTGGCTCAAGGCATCCATCCTTTGCTGTAGCTGGGCTTCTATCGTTGGCAACACCTCCACCTTTTTCATTGACTGATGAAGCTTCTGCTCTGCCATCTCATATTTCTCCTGGACAGAGCGTATCTTCTCCTCATTCTGTAAACAGAGACAGGCCAATATTACACAGCACAAACTGATGGTTACAGATGGCATGGATCAGGCTGGATGGCATGGATGAGAGGGTCCACTGTCTGTGGGGTTGACAGTATCGATGAGAGGGTCCAATGTCTGTGGGCAGACCAGCATGGACAAGAGGGTCCACTGTCTGAAGGGAGACCAGCATGGACTGGGAGGGACCATAGACTGTGGGCAGACCAGCGTGGGCAAGAGGGACCACAGACTGTGGGCAGACCAGCATGGACAAGAGGGACCACAGACTGTGGGCAGACCAGCATGGACTAAGAGGGACCACAGACTGTGGGCAGACCAGCGTGGACAAGAGGGACCACAGACTGTGGGCAGACCAGCATGGACAAGACAAGACCACAGACTGTGGGCAGACCAGCATGGACAAGAGGGACCACAGACTGTGGGCAGACCAGCTGTGGGCAGATCAGCGTGGACAAGAGGGACCACAGACTGTGGGCAGACCAGCATGGACAAGAGGGACCACAGACTGTGGGCAGACCAGCATGGACAAAGAGGGACCACAGACTGTGGGCAGACCAGACTGTGGCATGGACCAGCAGACTGTGGGCAGACCAGCATGGACAAAGAGGGACCACAGACTGTGGGCAGACCTTTATGGATCAAGAGGGACCACAGACTGTGGGAAGACCAGCATGGACTAAGAGGGACCACAGACTGTGGGCAGACCAGCATGGATCAGAGGGACCACAGACTGTGGGCAGACCTTTATGGATCAGAGGGACCACAGACTGTGGGAAGACCTTTATGGATCAGAGGGACCACAGACTGTGGGCAGACCAGCGTGGACAAGAGGGACCACAGACTGTGGGCAGACCTTTATGGATCAGAGGGACCACAGACTGTGGGAAGACCTTTATGGATCAGAGGGACCACAGACTGTGGGCAGACCTTTATGGATCAGAGGGACCACAGACTGTGGGCAGACCTTTATGGATCAGAGGGACCACAGACTGTGGGAAGACCTTTATGGATCAGAGGGACCATGGACTGTGGGAAGACCAGTATGGACAAGAGGGACCACTGTTTGAGGGCAGGCCGGTATAGAATTTGAGGGACCACTCACAGATGGGAGACCAACAACACTTACAGTTTTCAGCTGCGACTCCTTCATGGCCAACTCTGACTCCAGCTTGTCGTTGAGGTCATGCAATGATGTTGACTCTCGCTGGGCGTTGAGGTACCGCTTCTCTAAAGTCGCTATCCTCTCTTCTTGGTCCTCCTTCTGGGCCTGAGACTACAAAACAGCCATGTTACTACCGCATGTTCATTCATCAATCACATAAAAATTACTGAATCCTGTAAGTCGAGAAAATAACCAACAAGCAACAAAGAATTAAGACCAAGGCAGACGGATGTAAACTTGAGACGTCAGAGTATTGTTCCCCACAGTGAAATGACCGATCAGCATTGACCCTAACAATCCTCCCTCTAGCTCACCTCTCGAAGATCCCTCTGCAGCTTGACCACCTGTTCCTGAGCTTTGACGAAATCTTTCTGGTTTGTGGTGAAGCTCTCGTCCAGTTCCGTGCACTTGTTGGTCAGCTCCAGCATCTTCGTCCGAGCAGATGTCAACTCACTGTTCTGCTTCTCAACTGTTTCCTGGAGCTCGATGACGCGGTTAATTTCCGAATCTGGGTCAATTGACCCATTGGACAATCGCTGAAAGTAGGCATTCTAGGGCTTTGAATAAGACATAGAAACAAACACAAATAATTACACTCCTTTGGACATCAACTTCCTTAAATGGTAATTCCATAATTTGTTAAATATATTATTGTGGCACATCAATTTTTTACATACATCATTCTGCCTGCTGAACTAAAGTTTTTCACATCTTAGTCATTACTGTTGTACCATTACAGACTGTACGTAACCACATGATCACAAACCAAAGATCGATAGCAAGAGCATGAACCAATCTTGTCCAATAAGACCCTGTGTGTGTTAAGTTGGAGAGGGTCTTCAATATCACCTATCAAAGTATGATTTACCTAAAAAAGGTAATTTTATCATAAAGCATATTGTAACAATTCCCAGAATTCCACCTACTTTTGGATGTGCCTCTTTTTGATTTTCTTCCTGTGAAGAGTCAGCAGATGATACCTTCCTCAGTTTGTCCCCATCTTCCGTACTGCCACTGGAATGGCGGGACTTGGTCTGCTGTTCACGCAGAGTAAACAACTGCAAAAACACAAAAACATTTCAGTGAAGTGAGGTGAGTGAAATGGGGTTTAATGTCGCACTTAAGAATATTTCACTCATATGACGTCGTGCATGTGTGGCTTCTTGTACTAGTACAGACTTAAGCTGGTTTTATAGTTCTAGCTCACTGAGATCTATGCCGCAGTTAAGCATGAATACCCCACTCAGACACATTATACCGACTCCGAGCCGACCCGTCCTTGTTTTACCCATTAATGCTGAGCACCAGGCAGAGAACAAGTACCATATTTTTACGTATTTTGGTCTGACACGGCCGGGGTTAAAACCGGGCAGACCCTCTACCCACTACATCATGTAGGCGGTACATTTCAGTGAGTGAGTGAGTGAGTGAGTGAGGTTTAGCTATGCCATAACACTGTTTCCCTTAGAAGGGTGTGGTCTGACAACCTAGAAACATCAGCAACGTGACACAGGAATTTGTCTCCATAATCAAACGAAAATGGTCAAACTACAAATTCCAGGCCTGTTTCAACCATTTCCCATTCTGCAGTGTATTACATTTACTCATGCGGTAACGATTAGGTGATTAGGATACATATCATGAATACTGGCTAACACATACAATAACAAGTCAGCAGGTGATGTATTATTCAATATGATGTTTTCACCATGTTGACATTGTTTATTTCTCACAACAATGACCAGCAAACACATTATAAACAAATTAAATATATACGACTGCTTGCCATTATCCTGCGTGGTTGGATATATTCCATGATGCATGTCATTTTGAATAAAACCCCAAACAAATCAAAGTGAAAACACTCCTTTTTAAATAATTAATGACTATACGATCCTGGTGATTGCAAATTGAAATTCATGAAGGGATACGGTTCGATTCACTGAATACACTAGTGAATTGTAACTGGCCTAACACTTACATTGTATTTTGACAAAGATCCTACTGGACCCATTTGCTACCATAACTTATAAATCAGGAATGATTCGAACAGCATTATGCTGAAATGCTAAACCAATTAAAACAGTTCCATGAGACTGAGAAATTCTGTTTTAAGTTAAGTGAGTGAGTGAGTAAGTTTAGTTTTACGCCGCACTCAGCAATATTCCAGCTATATGGCGACAGTCTGTAAATAATCGAGTCTGGACCAGAAAATCCAGTGATCAACAGCATGAGCATCGATCTGCTCAATTGGGAACCGATGACGTGTCAACCAAGCCAGCAAGCCTGACCACCCGATCCCATTAGTCGCCTCTTACGACAAGCATGGGTTACTGAAGGTTCATTCTAACCCAGACCTTCACTGGTCGTTTTAAGTTAAGACAGTACTGACGAAGATGACAACACTTCTTCAGTTAAAAAATGATGGATGACAAATCTAAGGTATTACTCATAAAATATATTACACTTCAAACTTGGGGCTGTATTTCAAAGATACTTGCAGCATTTTTTCCTCACTGCTTATGCGATTAATTAATAATATTAGCTTTTTCCCCGTAAAATCCAATCCATTACGTTGCATTTTACAACCGCATTAGATTTCAAGGGAACCTACTCTGAGCTGGACTCCCACAGAGCGAGTGAGTAACTTTTTATGGCACTGTAGGCAATATTCAAGCAATATCTGGGGGGATTCTGGTAGTTTTTAACAATTATTGTGTCAAATTTGGAAAAAATATCCAACATACATAACCTTCCACAATAAAATCATCTGAACTAATCAAAATTTCAACAAAATTTCCATACTGTTGACTTTGTAAATGTTTAAACAGATCGACTACTTGTTTCACAATCCATTAGGGCTAGCTGGGCATCACATAGGAAAGAAATATGAAGACGTTATGAAGTATTTTGTTCAAAATGGAGATTAGGTTCGACAGTTTTTTACCCTTTGCCTCTAACATGCAGCTTCAGATCTGTCCATTACGAGAGGTTGAAAATAGCAAACAAGAATATCTTGGCATCAAATAACATGTCATTAGAACATCATCTCAGAGATGACTAACATCTGCTTTGCTATCAAGCCTGATCAGAAATGAAATTCTTTGGTACATTTATGCCTAAAAGCCTCTGGAAAATTCAAAATTCAATATTCTTTTATAATCTAGTCATTAAAGCGAAAACCAGTAACTCGAAGGTCGGTCTTTGCATAGTCTCACAGGCCTCCCTACAGATAAATGGAGATGGCATTCCCTGACCTAATGTCAAGTGCTCGTTAATTTTCATTGTAATAAACATCATGTTGTCAATATGTCAGAGAGGAGAATCCTTCTCCCGAGCCAATAAAACACAACTCAAATCTAAATGAAACCACAGCTTGCTCTCTGACGATATTCTTGTTTAGCCACCTGTAAAATTAGTTCAATTTGCCCTCATTTAAAAAAACACATCAAAGAAGCTGTAGAAATGCATGTCTAATACAGTTCATCAACCACGGCTGCGGAGGTGAGGTTGTGTTTGATGATCGGAGTCCAAAGATCAAGGATTTCGAGATCTGGATTTCATGAATATGACGTGGACGTGGTTATGTTATCTGGGCTGCTTGACCATTATGTAGCGGCCTATCAATCACCATCGGATCTCGCTGTTTTTACAAGCTATTATCGCTAATGAGACGCCAACACTTCCAACGTGGCAGTGGCTATCTTGTATGCTTCCCCGCGCAAACACTGCTTTCCGATATGAAGTCAAACGAGACAAATGATCGCACACATGGAATTCTACACCCTTTTGTTTGAGCAGACAGTTTCATAAAACGTCCATTTCCCTCACGGCTGCATGCTACAGATTTGTCACAAAAGCCAAAACGTCCTCCCTGCATGGGCCAGCTATTTCCATGGATTTGATGGAATAAGACTCATTTTAGACAGAGAAGCAAATATGGTCATTCCTTTTTTACCCCAAGGCGTAAGCGATTCCTGGTCAGAATTTACACATTTTGGCGGTTTGTTTGAAGAGGGCAGTCGTTACTTGATCAGTATTACGATGAGTGAATGATGTTATTTGATCTTGTCATTGGAATGCATAATGCCATCCATATTGTAGGCGGCCATGTTCTTTCTCCCTGGTCAAAATAACTGGCAAGATGGATAAGTGTGACTGTCGTGTCAGAAAGACACTGATGATGGGGGGTATTTAGCAAATTTTCTTTGAATTTGTCACTTATATCAGAATACAGGCTCAAGACTAGTTAATTAAGGTGAGGGACCGTTCATAATTTATGGCTAGGGGGGTGATGATCATTTTAGGGGTGGGGTGGTGTTACCCATTTTGTTCTGGGGAGGTAGGGGGTCATCAATTTTGTACACCTGTACAAGGGGGGGGTCAGCAATTCTGTACATAAATATTATTAAAAATTACGCTTAACAAGCATTATCACTAAGGTGACATAATCCCCCGACGCAAATTATCAATCAAACTTATAAAGTAATGAAAGTTTAAGTTAAATGTCAACAAAAACATGACCAGTCCACCTCTCTTGATATCTTGGTCTTTAAGTGTTCAAACACACACATATTTTCAAGACTGACTTTGACCTTGACATGAATGTCATAGTGTATGAAATATGCAAAAATAGTACTAAAGATATTGCTTATTGAAAAACATTCAAGGGAAGTCTTGAAAATCTATGAAGAAAATCCAGTGAACTGTTCTTGAAATATCTTGCTGACAATTCAGGTTAACATGCTGAAATCTTCGATTGGGCCCTGCGCCTTCCCTGGATGAAGCTTGGTGTCAAATATGAAGAAACTCCAGTGAATGGTTCTTGAGGTATCTCGCTGACAAGCATAACCTGCAGGTTAATATGCTGAAATCTTCAAAGTGTCTCTGTGACCTTGAAAATTAAGTGAAGGTCACCAAAATTGACTGGGCCCTGCACCTTCTCTAGATAAAGCTTGGTTTCAAATATGAAGACAATCCAGTGAACGGATCTTGAGATAGCTTAACATGCAGGTTTACATGCTGAAATCTTCAAAGTGTTGCCATGACCTTGAAAATTATGTGAAGGTCACCAAAATCGACTGGGCCCTGCACCTTCCCTAGATAAAGCTTTGTAATGAATATGAAGAAAATCCAGTGAATGGTTCTTGAGATAGCTTAACATCCAGGTAAAACGTTAAAGTCCCCTTGTGACCTTGAAATGAAGGTCAAGGTCACCAAACCTGACTTGGGCCTTTCTTATACTGTGATTAACCTAGGTACCAAATATGAAAAGAATCTAGTGAACGGTTCTTAAGATATTCCAATGCGTACATACGGACGTACGGACATAGACTAAAACTATATCCCCTGGTTTGCGCTAAACCCCACGACACTGTATTGTGACTCTGAACCATCTAGTCCTTGTTTTCTCTTAATACCAAAGGGGTGGTTGGGTGGCCTAACGGGTTCGATTCCCACATGGGTACAATGTGTGAAGCCCATTTCTGGTGTCCCTCGCCGTGATATTGCTGGAATATTGCTAGAAGCAGCGTAAAACCTTACTTACTCACTCAAACCATGAACAGTTTGGTCTGTTGGCAGACATGTCCACTAGACCATGGAGGTGGTTAGTTAACAGAAAACGAATTGGTTTATTGGGGTTGTGTGAAATTGGTTGTGCATGGACATGGATTTGTGTCCAACAATTTCTAGGGCCCTTGAATCGCTCAAAAACCCAAGTATGGAGAGAATAAAAAACATTTTCAGGATGGTCTAACATTACACCATTTCATCCCTCTACACAAAAAAAACATTCACTGCAAAAATATAGATAAAAATACTTTTAAAAAAGAATTCGGAAAAACTTTCGTCAACAAAATTCTTCTCAGAAGTTCCACCAAGCATATTCCCTAAATCAGCCTGTAAATCAGTTTGCATCACTTAAATATCTTGACAGAATGAGTTTTAAACTCCAGAATACTTCCATCAACCCATCTTAATCATACTGCTTCAAAAAGAATAAAGATCAATTTCTTTCAATTTCATCCCACCCTCTTACAGATTACCAATCAATCTG